GTTAATATATTGTGTCATGAAGGCGTTAAGATAATGCTATGTCTATGGAGGTTTTAAGATTACATTTTTGCTATAAAGGTAGTAAGATAATCTGAGGGTTTGTAAGATGTCATTTCGTTGAGAGTCGTAGGAATAAGAAGTGAGAGCGGGTCTTCATCGGTGGCCGTTCAACTTCGAATATCCTCCGCAGGTGCTTGTGTGGTCAAATTCAATTTGATTTTTGTACTTTGGACGCACTAATAAAACTGTCATTAGACCAAGCAATTAATTATCTAAAATTAGAGCTCGCTCTCGCTGAACTGAGGTTATTTGGCCTCTTGAATACACTGATGATATCTCATCAATTTGCGGTAAATTTGTTGTTGACTCCCTATGATTGAATTTTAACGAGTGGGTCTGAGCAATGATTCGATGGAAATTATGTGATGCAATTTTGCTGAATGGAAGTAAGAGATGACTTGTGATGACTTGACTGGTGGTGCATTAGTGACGAACGTGAAGAAGTTGAGCTGTACGTACATGAATGTCTAATGATGATTTGGCTGAAAGGGAAGTAAATGACGTGTGGAGATGCAGTTGTATGAAAGTTAATGACGTGTGAAGATTTGATTCTACTAATTGCGGGTAAGTTTAGAGCGTAATCTCGGCTGAGCGAAACCGATTTAAGAGCGGTGAAGGTGTTGAATGGGAGTAATGCATCCGTAGATTTTGTTGAGTGGAGCTATAGGTGACCAGTGGAGCTATTGGTGCCCTGTTGGGAAGATAGGCAACTAAGCAGCAGTGAGTTTGGGTTTGAAACCAACAGCTAGCTGTGAAAATTTAACGAGGCTATTATTATAGGCCTAATCGACCAAATATGGCCTAATATTCAACGACTACGCTGAATTTTCTATTTTATAATAATAGAGGATCTGTTCAAGTAAGGTTTGATCGTGAACGTTGTATTTCGAAGTTGATAAATCAACTTCCCCTATGTTGAATTCAAAATTGTCTTAAATGAGTTCACGTGAATCAACATCATCTTGTCAACTAAATAAGAATTCCGTTAGAATGTAATTTTTTACATTCTACATTTAATCATACAGTAATTTTTTTACTTTTAGCACATTTTCTCATTTATGGAAAAAATGCACTATTGTGCTCACCATGTCCGTCTGTCTGTCTGTCTGTCTGTCCGACTGTCCGTCCGTGACCTCAAGTTTTCGTCGACGAGAAAATGCGCTCTCTGTCACTCACTGCAGTGAGTACTGAGTTATATTTTTTTATTACCTGCGTTCAGATGTCAAGCATGCATGCACTAACACATGCCGTGTATGATTTATTGGCATAAACTTCTTGAGCGGCCATTTACTAGGAAATAAGAGGAAATTTTTAGCCGCGACAGGGCATTAATCTCATCGTAGGAGCAATAATTAAGAGAGGCGGGACGGGGGATTGTTACAGTAAGGTAGGATTTAGATGTTCATTTGTAAAGGGGAAAGTAAAAGTATCGTTAGGGAAGGAAATTAAATTTAACTGAGCTGGTGCAGCGGAGAAAAGAATAGAGAACTTTGTAAGCGGGAAACGAAATGAAGGTGGCAGTTCATTATTATAGGACATAAAATTAAACCAATTTATTTAAGTTGAAAAGATAAATCGTAAGAAAGATATGAGAAAATTGCATTTACTCAATAAATCAAGCGTTGTTGCAAGGAAAGAAGTTACCAAGAAAGCAATCCATGATGGCAGAGTGGGAAATGCTATTACATGGTAAATACAAACTGTGAAGGGGGCTAATTTAACAAGAGGGCTGTGAAGAGAAATGACTCGTGATGAAAAGGACTTTTGAGAGGCTTGTGAAGAGGACTAAAAAGGCTGCGAAGAGGCAGTGGTAAAAGTTTACTGTTAACAATGCAGTCTTTAGTATGTTGTGTCGTATTTTCATCTGCTTGTAAGGTAGCTCACATAGATCTTCAGCAGCAGAATTACGGATATTTAGTTATTCGCTAAGTAAGTTGCACCAATGTAACTTTTCAGAGAGCACGACCTCGAACCATGACACAGCACAGAGAATTTCATCATGAGGAATTGCAAGCTGCTACTGGTGACAACTCGCGACATTTCCACAAGGGAGCTGAGCAAGGCTTAGAATGTGAGCTTCATGGCCATCAAACGCCACAAGATGAGGCTTGCTCAACTCGCTGGAGGATGCGCCCAAACGACCTGTCAGAGAACATATGCTCCCCGCGTGTGGCTAGTAGAGTGTGGACGTTTCTTTTTAGCGCATTTTCTCATTTATGGGAAAAATGTACTATAGTACTCGCCATGTCCGTCTGTCCGTCCGTCTGTCTGTCCTTCCGTGACTTCACGTTTACGTCGACGAGAAAATGCGCTCTCTGTCACTCACTGCAGTGAGTGCTGAGTCATATTTTTTGTGGACATTTCCAGTGTGTGGACATTTCATATTTGGTTCATCCTTGAAACCTTATCTTGGGTTACTCTTTTTGCATAGCCAGACTCATCATCTAGCTGCTTATCCACTCATGTACGACGTCATTTGCATAAGTGTGTTTGAGTGTCTTGTTGTCGAGCTTACTGCGTTCTCCTTAAAACTCAGTGCGCTCAGACTTTACCTTCACTTAGAGAACATTAGGTAGCATTGTTGCCCATATCTTTCCAAAAAATATTTTTGACGTAACTGTTACTTACTTTGAGGAAACATTTTGTCACATAACATTTACGCAACAATAATTTTTTAAACTATTATGAGAGAAGAAAGAAGTTCCAAAATTTGATCCGTACCTACAATTAGGAATTAAATTTTTATGTGTTTGATGCCTAATCCTTTAATCAAATGAATTTTTTATAGAAACATGATGCTCTACAAGTTTGAGAGTCCACATATTCGCTCAGATTACGTTTTCGTCCACTGCAGAATTACGAGCGTTGATCAGAAGAATAGTGCTGCTTCTTGGTTCCAATTCATTAAAATCCGCTCATTGCAGATATAAGTAAAAAAGCGTTGGAAATAATCAGCTTCAGTAAAAGTGAATTTGGGATTCAGTAATAAGATCACAGTCTGAGCAAACCGGCCTCTCTTAATTTGCTTGTGATTTTATCGGAATTTAGGTTTAATAATGGATTGTACTTGCATTCTTAAATTTTTCAATTGACGGTGAAGCTGTACTCAGAAAACATTTTATTCTAAAAGGATACGGAGAAGTTTTTGTATCATTTCCTTTGATTTAAAATTCTTGAATTTTAAATTAATTTTGATTGTCCCGAGTATGCATCAAAAATATTCATTTTTAATTTCGAGGATATTAAATGGGTTGGGTTGATATTTCTCGATAATTAGTGAGACAAACGCTCCTTCTTTATAGTTAGGGCATCTGCTACCAGAGAAATAAACCGCACGAAGAATTCTCCTGACACTTTACTGATCGTTACCGTTCACTCAATTTTACCATGGATGTAAATTTTACATTATTTAATAAGGCCTAGTGGCACCTTTAATAAGGCCTTTCAGTTTCCAGGTGCCAGACGTGGTTGAAATGTAAATGTTGAAGGTCTAACAGCTTGCTGTTATCATTGGGATTTGCCTTGAAATTTTCTCATTTGTCAGCGCGTGACCTCCTGGCTTTAATCCAAAGCTCGTTAAACACGGCGAGAAATCCTCTCTGATACACATTAATACAGGTCCTAATTTAACCTATAAACTTAATCTCGTTTTTTTTTACATTTGTATGAACGAAGAACGATAAAATGTCAGTTATTCCTGACACGGAAAAGAAAGTTCAAGTCTCAAAAATTTTTGCGTTTTTCTTCGAATTATTGACGAATACCTCCCTTCAACATTTATTATCTACAAATAAATTCTATATTTAAATGTTATGCTAACAAAATTTTAAAAGTATAGAGATAAAAAATATTTTACAAATTTCGACCGAATTAATAGAATTTGCCACTTTATTGTTCTTGACAGCCATCGGTATTAAGACAAACCAGCATCCCATCAATTTGAAGTTTATTTCATATCTAATACATGTTAATACTCCTGCTATTGATGCTTCTTTTATAAGAATTACTCCACTCACGCTTTGAATTAATCATACTTTTCCAAATATGCTACAATAAAAACACGCATGATTAGCTGAGACCGAGGAAATAATTATAATAATAATTAATAAAATAATTTCAGACGGCGAAATAAAATAATAAAATAAAAATAAAATAATTTCAGACGGCGAAGAAATAATTATATCGTTCAATAATTTTCCATTTAATATCAAGAGGTGCGTTGTTCGATCACTTATTTGTTTTCTCATCGGAAAAAATAGCAGTCTTAAAGATTTCAACTAAAACATTATTGTTATCCAGTGTTCCGATTTCAATACTAGTTTAAGAAGTGTAATTTTACAACTGTGTAAGTTCATGGCATCGAATATTTTGTTATAAATTTGTTCCAAACTTCTCGTAAATAATGTGGCCATGGAATTTGTTCTTTATATGTGTGTACCATACATTAATAACGCACAATGATAATCCCCAATGATGCCAAGGATGCATTAGTATTTTTATCTCGTGTATAAAAAACAAAAGTATACTATGTCATAAAACTCGAACTACAAGTTGTAATTATCCTGTAAGAAATAATGGAGTTTCGCGACTCTGCTGCCGGGTTTTGTAGACGCTCTCCGTTAATTACAAACCTTAAAGAATTTTTTGGCCCAAAAAAAATTCGCTAGAAATTCTGAAACACGTTTTCAACCCGTTGAGAAAGGAGGCACTTGTCTGTTCCGTTTTATTTAATTATATCCATTTTCGAGTTCCTCTGTATAAAATGGCATCTCTTCGAATTCACATGAGCAATTTAACTTAATTGAAGTGCATTGCGCGGATACCTGAATCTCGTCAAGATCGTTGCTTAATTGTATTTTTTAGCCTTTTTTGCTTGGTAAACACTGCAGTAATGTTTTCAATGCTTAAATCAAAAAAATAAAAATGTTTCCGGTTGGCAGGTTGTTCGAGACACATCCCGACGTGCAGGAGTCGTTCATGTCCTTCAGAGGCGTTCCTCTACCGGAGGTGCAGCAGTCCAAGCAGCTTAGGAACCACGCGTTGAGGTGAGATATCTTATCAAGGACCTAAATCTTCCCTTACTTGAATATTAGGACTATTTGAAAACCAATTATATATGGAATGTTTTTTACGTTAGTGTTCAATAATCAATGATTGTGGCATGAGAGCATTTTCAAATTCATTCAACACCTTCCTTGCACTTGGATTTTAAGCCAGCAATTGTCAATGCCGTTAAACAAGCCTATTATGAAAATCACCGTTGAACCGTTAAATCGCCGTTTAACACTGTTCGTAAAATCACCGTTGAACGGTATTTTCGGCGATTCAGTGACTGGCCGGCACGTGAAAAAACATGCTATTTTTATTCTTATTTAACACTGAAAACCCGTTTATCTGAAAACAAAACGACGAATCGGTTTATTTCACTTGGCAACCGGTTTCTAGAACGCCGGTGAGACGGTTTTTTACTGTTTATATGCAAACAGTGCATGATACTCGGTGGATTACATAGTAGAGAGTTTATAAATTGTCTCGGCAGATTAAATACATTTTTTACTGGCAAAAATGTTGAGACTTTTGCCTCAAACTCAAATGACTCAAAGAATAACCAAGAGCGAGACATTTCTGTCATCTCTAGAACCTTCCTCACTCATCATATATCGCTGTCTCATAGGCAAATTTCACTCAGATCAGGTTCGCATCCAGCATTTATACAAAAGAAAAACAGATCCGAATGTTTTTTACATGATTGCAGGCCAAGTATAGTATACAAGACGGGAGGGAAAATTTGTAACTATACCTGAATGAATAGATGTTCAAATACGTGTTTGATGCTTGCAAAATTTACATTGAGTTATCGAAAAATGTAAGAAGAACAGAATCTCACAAAACTCTGCCTAAACAGATAGAATATTGAGCAGCAAATCGTTGAAATTGAAGGTTATATTCTGGAAATTCAAGATAATAATTAAAAAGAACTTATGCTCGAATCCTATTTGGCGTAACAATGGAAGGAGAAAGTAGCTGTGGGGCTTGCCTTTCCAATTACGCGGTGCAGCCGTTTTCACTTTCCAATTTCCTGCTTAATCGGAGCCTGGATCTCCGAGCCTAATACAAACGCTGCATTTCTCGAAATAACATCAATTTAATGGAATTAAAGATAGTTTTTTTCGTTTTAGGTCTTCAGCTACCACAAAAAAATTATCCGTCTCTGGATAATTTTTCAAGTAAAGCGAGATAATTTTTGATATTTCATCCTTATTACTGACAGGGTAGGTAAAAGTAAGAGTAAAACTCGTGGAAGTAATAATTTTGCAGCTCATTCGTTATTTGAACGTTTCATGATCTATCAGACGGACGTTCCATAATCATTAGTTATCAGACAATCAGTTTAAGTAATGATCCGAATGGGATTTACTTCAGGTAGATAAATGTCGGAAGGATAAAGTTTACTTATCTATAGCAGACCCTAAAGTGGAGTTTTTCCAAGTAACTAATCAGAACTCTTCTTGCTTCAAATTTTCCATGGCAACTTTGGAACCACCACTCAAACTTGAGGATCGTACATCACAATTCGACTCATAACTCCAAATACTAATGATATGTTAAAAATTTTTGCCCCGTAGGCTGTAGACCCGTGTTTAATAGGCAGCAAATTTGAAATTCCAAGATTTCGAAAGAAAATCAAACGAGAATCAGCCACCTACAGTATTCGACTAATAATTGCGATCTATTTTCGGGATTCACTTGCACTAAGAGCCGAATCTGCATAAGACAGCCGAAAAGAGGCTAAAAGGACTGTCCAATATGTTCATCCTGTTCGGTGAAGACCAGAAAATGTAAGTGAAGTTTCTACAGCCATGCGTCAGCACTCCTGCATTGAGTGTACTTCAACGTGATAGCGTTAGGTTACCTTCAGTACGCTTGATTTGAGTGCTCTTTGCTCAAGCAAACCACTTCGACACTTTTGGGACGAAATTTTTTAATCGCGTAAGCGTTTCCAGTAGCTTCATTACTCGGGTGTTGAGCGTCCGTCAGGCGACCATTGAGCGTGTTTAACAAACACGCTTGCATTGCGTTGTCTTCGACACGCGATGCTTATGTCAATATGTCTGCTCTGGAAAGCAGACACAGCAGACATAGAGCCGCTAATTCACGCGTTGGGCAACTGTACGGCATCAGAAGCTGATATGACCGAAAATTTTTGATAATTAATTAGCGTTCTGTAAGTATGAGCGTCGTGTTTCTTTTTTACTGAAATACATTGGCTTTCGTTGATGAATTAGTTTAATTTACGTCCTTTTTAAACATTGTATACGTTTCAACTTAGTTTGATGAAATAAGCACGTAAAAGTTATATTTTTATCAGCCATTTCACTCATGGTCATGGGCTGGCATCGAGTTGGGGGGAGGTTATTATGTATCATGTTTTTTTCTTCCAAAATTCTCTGGCTTTTCCTTATTCACTCTGTTATTATATTTGTATCAGATGAAGGATTTGTTCATAGCATGCCAATAAATAGTATAACATTGGAATTTTATCAACAAACTTCGCGAGACTAGGCGGTCATGTAAGCGTGTCTGTTAAAGTGAATGATTTTGTTGCTGCTATATACGTATGTATATTCGGAATATAGTTTATATTACCACGTTTTTCTTAGCTCGCTTTCGTGTCTGTGATGATCAAATCTTGCAATCGATATTTCACCAACTTTCCCATTAGCTAGCGCTCTGAAACTTTTAGGGAAGCTCAGCTCCCGATAACAATACAATAATCAATAATTTGTTGCACGTTTCCTATATGCGCCCCACGTTTTTCGTTTTAGATGTTGTAAAATATTTTAACTGAAATACAAAAGACCAAGAGAATGAAAGCAAACAGAGATCAGTAGCTGCCGAAAAATTATTTTCTACTTTTGAGTCCACATGAAAAACGTGGTCTTTAAAAAAAATTTTTATACATTTTATTTATATCGAAGCTAGAAAAATTTCAACTTGGAAGATGATATGCGATTAAAGTTTAGTGCTTACTACCGCCATCTTGCAGGATGCCTTAGTCACATACTCGTTATTTATACGTCACAAAATCTTGCGTCCAAACGTCAGACGCAAGCCGGTCAGACACGTTAGGCATACGTCATGTACACGTCGCACTAATTTCATGTAACAATTTGGCTCGCCCGTTGTCCATCATCAGGCTTCCTGTTATGACAGATCAAGGCACTTTATTAAGAACGGCAGTAAGAAAGGAATTTTACGATGCTATATCTTCTTTATGTTACTGTAATGCTGCCTGGGGAACTCTACGTGATGGAAGTGATTGAGCGTTAATGTTGATATCTGTTGTCATGGAGCCTTATAACCTCTTTGACCCTCAGTGCACTATAGTATATTTTGGAAAAGTATTCGTTTCACGTTTTGATTTTAATGTTAGCGAGACTTCGTGAATTTCAAATTTTTAGGACCCGAACTCGTCACAATTTAGGAAGAGTTGTAGTTGTGTATAACTGTGGGACAATAAGTCCCATGGGACAATAAGTCTTTTAAATTGCTTCATGTGACTTGCTAAGGACTTAGGTCAAAATTAGCCCCGCAACCCAAAAGTCACCCTGTGTCTGCCGCATACAAAACTCCGTTTAAAAGAAACTTGTCTTGGGGCTTCAGTTGTGGCGCTAATGAGGTCTGTCGCTAATGAGGTCCACTCCTTTGTCTCGAGATATTAAAATTACGCTTTGTGGAATTAAACCAAAATTTATGAGACATTAAATGCTTCAACAATCACCGCAATTAATTGTAGAACTAGAAACAACCTAATCATTTGTGGCTAAATTCATGGCGTCCTGGCAATTTGTGTTTCGGCGGCAAACTCACCATCATTAGTGTATTGGGCAACGTTGTTTCTTTATTCGGAATTACGATTATTATATTCAAGGTTAAGGTTACCACTACCATGTATTTTGTCATTCATCTGTATTGGGAAGGTTCTTAATTCAGGCGTTTAATTCATTAGTTTTTTTTATTCGAACCTTTAATAAAATTTGACTGCTCGTTTTGTTAAACTCTGTTCCGTATGTTATTTATCTGCCGTTCAATAGACTAAAATTTCAAGGTATATGTATTCCTGATTTATATATTCGTATTTCTGATTGTAGTCATTGTGTCACTCTGAGCCCTCCAGCCGTGCTCGTGTGCAGGGTGCAAGTAAGTGTATCACTATTTGGATAATATGCCCCCCTCATTGTTCTGCGTGTGCAGGGTCATGGGGTGCAAGTAAGTGTATCACTATTTGGACAATATGCCCCCCTCATTGTTCTGCGTGTGCAGGGTCATGGGGTGCAAGTAAGTGTATCACTATTTGGACAATATGCCCCCCTCATTGTTCTGCGTGTGCAGGGTCATGGGGTGCAAGTAAGTGTATCACTATTTGGACAATATGCCCCCCTCATTGTTCTGCGTGTGCAGGGTCATGGGGTGCAAGTAAGTGTATCACTATTTGGACAATATGCCCCCCTCATTGTTCTGCGTGTGCAGGGTCATGGGGTGCAAGTAAGTGTATCACTATTTGGACAATATGCCCCCCTCATTGTTCTGCGTGTGCAGGGTCATGGGGTGCAAGTAAGTGTATCACTATTTGGACAATATGCCCCCCTCATTGTTCTGCGTGTGCAGGGTCATGGGGTGCAAGTAAGTGTATCACTATTTGGACAATATGCCCCCCTCATTGTTCTGCGTGTGCAGGGTCATGGGGTGCAAGTAAGTGTATCACTATTTGGACAATATGCCCCCCTCATTGTTCTGCGTGTGCAGGGTCATGGGGTGCAAGTAAGTGTATCACTATTTGGACAATATGCCCCCCTCATTGTTCTGCGTGTGCAGGGTCATGGGGTGCAAGTAAGTGTATCACTATTTGGACAATATGCCCCCCTCATTGTTCTGCGTGTGCAGGGTCATGGGGTGCAAGTAAGTGTATCACTATTTGGACAATATGCCCCCCTCATTGTTCTGCGTGTGCAGGGTCATGGGGTGCAAGTAAGTGTATCACTATTTGGACAATATGCCCCCCTCATTGTTCTGCGTGTGCAGGGTCATGGGGTGCAAGTAAGTGTATCACTATTTGGACAATATGCCCCCCTCATTGTTCTGCGTGTGCAGGGTCATGGGGTGCAAGTAAGTGTATCACTATTTGGACAATATGCCCCCCTCATTGTTCTGCGTGTGCAGNGTGCGCATGTTGACGTGAGTGAGCGTGCGCATGTTGACGTGAGTGAGCGTGCGTATATTGACGTGAGTGAGCGTGCGCATGTTGACGTGAGTGAGCGCATGTTGACGTGAGTGAGCGTGCGCATGTTGACGTAAGTGAGCGTGCGCATGTTGACGTGAGTGAGCGTGCGCATGTTGGCGTGAGTGAGCGTGCGCATGTTCATTGTTCATTTCCAAACCAATTTGTCCCTAAAACTGTTGAGTGATAGTGAGTATCGAGGCCAAGTTAGGTGACCTCATAGCGGCAATAACTGCAAGAGGCAAACGACAAGTAATGGATCAGGCTGATATTTTATTTAATTAGAGAATAAGATCAAAGGACTCGTCAGAACACTCGTGCTCTCCCTCTAATAGTGCTGCTGTTAGCTATGTGCCCCGTTCACGGTTGACGTAGTGTATCAAATAGAAACAGTTCTATTTGAACTGTTGAACCGATAATTGTTGAATTGTTGTGTTGTTGAATTTGAAACCGTCACGTCATGAACCAAGGGGTTAAACTGCTGGCAGAGGCTTCATCATCTTGGTCTGTATTGACTGAATAGGAGGCTGGAGAGGCATGTCATCCTGTACATGTGGGAAATGATAAGCGGACAAGCAAATAACTATTAAAGTGAAGACAGTCAATCAAACTTAGTAGGAATAAAACATATTGCAGCAGAGGAAGAGGGAATACCCTTCAACAGAGCAGCGGGCGAGTAAAATTTTTGCGTGAAGGGGTGACCACTCAGACGAGTAGGATCACTTCAGATGGAGTCGAGATCTTCAAAAGGGGAACGTCAAGGTAAAAAAATTTATTTACGGACGGATCATTTTTGAAACTTGGTACACATATGTAAAAGAGAAGTCTACAACTTTTTTGTTCGTGTAAATTTTTCAAAAAAAAAACAAATAAAAGAAGATGTGAAATTCATAAAAAACGGCCAAAAAGAGGGTACTGTAAAAATTCTAATCATTCAATAATTAAGGTGCTACAACATCCCGAGACATATCATTCGATTCGTAAATTTCATATCTAGAAATCATCCTGTCATTTTTTTCAATTTTTTTATGATTTTTCCAATTCCCCCTCCCTTCTCCACTCCGTTTTTTCAATACATAATCCGAACTTTAACGAAATCAAAAAAAGTGACCGGGTGATCACTCGATCTTTTTTTAAAAATTGAATGCTACATCTCTCAATGATGTAGCTTGAAAATCATAGGAGGAGATATATTTTTAAGATGGCGTATTTTGGAAATTTTAATCACTCAGGGGAGCCAAATAAGTAAAATTAATTGAAAAAAGACGAATATGCCAAAAAAATTGCTCGATATTGTAGCCAAGGCTTTCCCATTGCCAATTAGTTTCATTTAGGATACCAGCACGCGTCTTTAGACTTATTCATGTCCAGTTTAACGTGAATAATAAGCTGTAAATGGGAATTTTTTGGTATAAGTAAAAATGGTATCTTATATAAAATGTTTATTTTATATAAGTTCAAAACTACCTAACGCAAAAAACATTGCATATTGGTATTGTTTTGGTTTCTTAAACACGCATCGTTTGTAGCTTTCGAACGAGTGCAAACCCTGTTTAATTCATGCGAATGATAATCTATAAAAGCCATTTGTTATTAAAAATTTGCAAATATTTTTATAAAATGGTCATTTATAAAAGTTCAAAACTGCATTACGCAAACATTTTTGCAAGTACATCCACGCTATTAGATTTGTTAAACGCGTATTGTTTGCGGCTTTTAACGAGTGCAAACACTTTGCAATTAACGAGTGATCTATAAATACAGATTTATTTAAATAAATTTTTGCACCTATTGTTAAAAAAAGGTTTACTATATATATTTTGAAATTGCTTTACGCAAGAACTAGAGCACGCACATACATGCGGTTTGCTGCGTTAGACGCACCTTTTCAGCAGCTACAAAATGAGCCAAACAAACGGAAAAGCCAAATTTATCGATTTTTTTGACCCAGACGCTCTTCTTAACGCTTTGCCGATGTAACTTTGAGGGAGAAGTTCCACCCAGAGTGCTTCAAGAAGCTACAGGATGCTTTCCTGAGCACAATAACTAATCGTCCGCCCTTGCGCCATTACAAACAGCAAGTAGAGAGCATCAGCAAGTAGAAAGCATCAGCAAGTAGAGAGCATCAGCAAGTAGAGAGCATCAGCAAGTAGAGAGCATCAGCAAGTAGAGAGCACCAGCAAGTAGAGAGCATCAGCAAGTAGAGAGCTACAGCAAGCAGAGAGCATCAGCAAGTAGAGAGCATCAGCAAGTAGAGAGCATCAGCAATTAGAGAGCTATAGCATCGTCTATTAACTAGCCCAATCAACTCGGGGCAGATACACGGCAGTTACATGCTACTGTCCCACAATGTTGCCGGTGGTTTAGATGCCATCACCGTGGGTGTGGAAGAAACAGTACAGATCTTCACTGAAGTTAATAGGGATGAACGTGTGGATGATGAGATGATGACGCTAAGGTATGTATGTTAACGTTATAGAGTTTGGATGATGACGTGGTTATGTCGCTGATAACGTAAGTGCGTGGATGATCGCTTGAGTGCGTGGATGGTGACATATAAGAGTGCGGATTATGACATGAGAGTATGAATAATATAATCTTGCTGAATTTTTCGGACGTCCGTGTTTACGGGCGGTGTTGCTGGGAGGCCTGAATGTTAAACTCAACGTGCTTATGAGAACATGAAGAATGCATTTGCAAGCGAGCTTGCGCATACTGTCATGAGCGTGGGCATAGTGACATGTACATACCCGTACGTGCGCTTGGTGAAGTGTCCGCTCGTGTTTTGCATGTATCTATGAACATGCGTGTTGTGACGTGATGGTGACAAACTTTTATACCACAACAGAATTGTTGGCTTATAGGTACAAGAAAAACAGGCTTGAAGGTGCACCAATAAACACGTTGGTCTCCTCTACGACAAACACACTCGTCATCTGTTCTACTGATGACAGCGAAACGCTCGTCGTTAGGATGACAATATCGCGCCAGTTGTTCGGCCGACAATAGCGCGCCTGCTACAGAGTCAACAACAACGTGGCAATGTCCGGTTATTGTATCAATAATAGTTGTGATGCCTGCAATTACCGTCACTGTTATTAATTTTCATGGCGCAGTGAGAGGCGATAAGAGAAGACAAAACATTTAAATTGTTCACTATTTCTCTGACTCATTATAACTTTTGTTATGTAACTCATGCGGCTTTATCAGCATCATTCAGCGTTAAAACATTATTCTTGTAACAGACATATAACATTTAATATGCATTCATTTATTATTCATGTTGTGTCATGCAGCATTAATGAAGCATTCAAAAATCATTTATCCTGTATTCAGCAAGCATCAGATTGACATTCACAAAGGTTTTAATAATATTCAAGAAATATTTTCCCGATATTCATGGAAAATTCATTTTACATTCAACAATCCCGTATTCTTGCATTCATTCTTCCCGTATTTGCTTGGCATACAACCAGCATTAGGTTACTATTTTATAGAGCATTAATTCACACTAAATTAAATTATATTTCTTGTATTCATGCATTACCCAGACAAATTTTTAATTTTCAGCTGTGTAGACCATTACTTGTGAAGCTTGATTTCTACTTGGCATAATTTCCTCATGCCTTAAATTCAAAGTTTACTGTTTAAAGTAACTGTCGAAATTGTATATCAAGATTTACCGCTGAACACTGTGAACATTTTCCCTGAGATCCGAATTTACCAACGAGAATGACGTCCGAGTTTCCAATTATGTTTACAGCTAAGCTGGGATTTAGCTCCGTAGATTTTCCGCCCGAGTGTTAACCGTGATGTTTACAGCTCCTGCATGGCGCTCTTAAGTAGATATCAATGCAACAGAACACAGGTGGAGAGCTTCCAACTTTAGCAATTTGTTGCTTTTTTGTGTCAGTAATTAGAATTCGAAGAGCCTCAGGAATTATGGAACGGACGAAGTTACGATCGACACCCTCTCTCTCAGCGAAGACTATGATCGAGTTGATCAAGAATGCCAACTAAACCTTGTAGTTTAAATAAGGAAATAATTTTTGTATTTTTACGTAACTATATACATTTTATGACAATTAATTTTTGGGAATCAAGTTTTTCATCAAAGTTCCTCCTATTCAAATTCAAAGCAATTAATTAACAAATTATTTCATAAGTTTGTCTGAAAGTTATACACATCATAACCCGTGGAAATCAAAACTCATTGCAAGTAAAATATATTCATTTTCAATTACACTTCAAACCATCTTGATATTCATTCAAATATTCCCCTGTTTAATCACAGTACCGAATTATTTTAATTTTTGATGAAAGAAAAAGTTCCATCACAATAAGATGGTATAACGAGAATGCCACCGAGACAGCTGACATACGTTAAATCTATAGGAGCTTGATCTAAAAGAGGATGATACTGTGACGTTAGTCTTGAAATTCAATATTTTGAATATTTTGGTGCTGCCAATTTAAACTAATGAAAGTTACTGTGCTTCTGAAATTTGCATTGGCATGTCGAGGAAAAAAATACGTGTGTTTCTTTACAACAGAAATAAATGTTTCTACTAGCGAGTGTTTTAAATCAACTTGATCATACGTTGCATTCTATTTTGATGTACACTTTTTATCCCACAAAGACAAGATATTATTGCAAAAAATCTAATCTATTAATTATTGCAAAAAAATCGAGATTGAACTTTTGAACCATCACGATTGAACTTTTTTCATCACTGAAGATAACCCCTCACCGATAAGCACATTTTTCAACTAGTTTTAGTAAGTTGATAATGTGCTTTTCTTTGAGCACAGGGACATTTTTAGCTTCATGTACATGAATTTCTTCCAGTCATGCAATATCTGACAAATGCGTTGTGCAGTCACATCAACTCCAGTGGCCAATTTTATATAAGTAGAGGTAGCGCCAGCTTTAGAAGCCTCTGAAAACAATCGCCTAAGATCCCAGTCGGTTTATTTTAGGGCTGGCCCAAGGTACATTTTTGGTCAGTAGCCGTGCGCATACACAAAAAATGATTGTACAACGGTTTTTAAGCTTTTTATTACCTTTACGATTTCCCGTTGGCTTCTACCGAATTTCAAAAAGGCTAAAATCTGCGCCTTCTCGGCCTATGTGAGTCCTGTACCCTTTGGCATTTTTTTTACTTCGAAAAAATATAAATGAAGACACTGAAGTACGCCAGAATTACCCTAAATGGCGAAAATCAGGATATTCTTTATGTTGCTGTACTTTTTAACGTGAAAGTATTACAGAAAGATACTAAAGTATAGAAAAACCCATCATGGTCTTATAACATTTTCCACCTAGGTTTTTCTAATTTTCATCATTTCTTCTCATATACATATTTTGAACAATTAATTTTATTCGTATAGGGTTGGAACAACTTTTAGACGCAGTTTAGCCTCGTATAATTAGAATCCAGCATTTTTCTATGCAAGAACAAATATTCAGAAAAAAACGGGTGGTCGTATAGCCATTTCCGCCACAGTACGAGAAATATTATTATTCGGCAGTTTTCATTTTACGACTCATGAAGGAACATTAACGTCGTCGAGTCGTACCGTCGTAAACCATGGTTCATTGCAAGCGGAATGATGGCATCGTAGAACATTTGTGCTGCACCAAAATAAATCACGAACGTATGGAAAACTTAAGCGAAAATAAGCCTGTATATCGAACTTTCCAGTCACCAATATTGAGGAGTCATCTTCCAGCATCGATCTACCGTCGGTTAGCCATGAGCTCCTATGTGTAAAAGGGCGAAAAGTGGAGTTGAAAAGGGCGGTGAGCCATGTGTAACAGGGCGAAAATCTTGAAGGTTGATTCATTGGATAAAATAATTGAAAGAACGGATTTTATGGAATAAAAACTAATCTTGATTGCTCCGTAAGCCTTAACATAGCGCGTGGCCATAACTTTTAAAAAGGTACAGGTGACAAAAATTGCATAATTATTTAGGCGTTTAAAATTAAATGTATGAAGTTATTCAATAATTAATTTCATAGCAAAGTGGAATCAGTTAAAATTTGTAAGCTTTCGAGTCTTTGTAATATCATGACACTATATTTTAGTAATGAATACCTATTTAAAAATAATAAATTGATAAGTAACAAATAAATTCAGACAATAACTCAGTATTTACATTCGCAGCTAACATCAAGGCCTTTAACAGTTTGCACGGATTGATCATCTCGCTTTTAATTCAAATTAAATGTTTTATTCGTGTGTAAATAATAAACAAAGGTGTCAGCATTTCAGTTGATTCCCAAACTGAAGTAATTATAGATGTATTTGCTTCAAATGCACGCAATTAAGTTGACCCAAAACGAATTCCTTTCAAAGGCTTGTGGCCACGCTTTGTCTTGGAATTCAAAGAGCTCGTGTTTAGCCTTGGAGATTTGACCTTTAATCTTATGCTGCAATCCAGATTGGATTAAAATATCAAGACGTAATCGCCTCGTATTTCAAGGTTAAAAGTAAAGTAAATAACGAATGCGCATTATTTAACTGCCCTATTCACAAAAACATGGGAGCTTCAGTCCTGCATATATAACATTCGAAATCGACTCTTTTAATATCCAAACTCATGTAAACAAGGAATTTTCAAAAATCAATTTTCATGATGACTGCGTTGATCTCAGCCACTCGCTTAACTAAAAGTATGCATTTGATTTTATACCTCTGGAGCTCGGATGGAAGATCTCCTAATCACTGAAATTCACTCAGGTTGCAATAGAAATGTCAGTAGGTATGTTACCAAATTATTTACAATGTTATCTTTTGTCCGTTCGAAGCACGAATGCACCATAATGCCTGAAAAATTTCACGCTCTTAAAACCAGGAGAGTCTTGAATATAATACTGAAAGAGTGATTTAAACCTGTGTCGTGAAATTCTGTTGTAGTGCTCACAAGCACATTGTATTCCGTACTATTGTGTATGCCTGTACATTACTTCATGCCAGTAACTATTGGCCATTTTAGAAATTACTCGGCTCTTGTATGTTTAAGACTAAGGGCTACTGTTCTTCTTGTAATTTTTCTGTAACTATGTTTCTTTATGTGTAAGACCTTCACATATAAACATATTCCCGTGACGTTACCGAGTTTTCTGTTTTAATAGTAGTGTTATTTGATTCAGGATGGCGCGTTCTTGTTGAATAAAGGTCTATATGAGTAACCTCGGGTTTCGCTTACGACAGTCTGATAATTTAGAATTTTTTAGAATTATTTCCATCTGCTGGTTGCGGAGCCTAACATTCTTGCTAACCGATTTACGGAATTTTAGTCGAACAACTATGAAGCAAACTTCTCATGCGCGCGCACCAATTGTCAACACGCCTAGATAAGGATGCTTGCTTTCCTACATGTACACAGCCATTCGGTCAGTTTAAACTGTCTTAATGATCTATGGTTATTTTGGTTAACAGTTGTTATTATCAAATTCATATTCGTTTTTTATGCAAGTCCCATGCATTTTTAGCGCATTTTCTCATTTATGGAAAAATGCACTATTGTGCTCGCCATGTCTGTTTGTCTGTCGTCCGTCTGTCCGTCCGTCTGTCCGCGACCTCAAGTTTTTGTCGACGAGAAAATGCGCTCTCTGTCACTCACTGCAGTGAGTACTGAGTAATATTTTTTGTTGCTTGATTCGTAGAAACCGAATGTCACAGACTCGCTAGTTTAATATCATGCCATGGCTGCGCGTCTCAGAATATTAGTTGCAAAAAACACAATTTCAAGAGACTTCTTTCTTGCAATTCATGTAATAAATTATTCATTCTTCAAATAGTAAATTGAACTGTGATGTATGAATTTACTTGAGAATAAATCTTCGGAATCACTTTTTAATAAGACGATTGTGACAATACTGAATTGAACTATAAAACTAAAGTACTTTGTGTTGCGCTCATACTTTTCATGGTCTCAATTAATTTCAGAGTCGATTTTCACTTAGCCTCAAATATCCTGTCAATAGATAGTATTTTTGTAAAATAAAGAGTATTTTTGTATCATGATGGGTAGGTCAATCAATAAGTTGGTTCAAGCACTTACAGGGTTGTTAATATAGGTCTTCAAATGTGTCGGTTTAGGCCAACAATTGGATTGTCCGACACCCAAAAATCTATGTGTTGGATTTAGCTTAGAAGAGGCAGGGTTATACATTGAGCCATCACATTGAGCACAGGTTATCCCGTGTCGGCTTACGCCTCTCGCGTGATGGATCATCGCTAATACCCCGCGCTGGATGGGCAAGACTTTAGGCGGAACTGATTAGACTTTGAGGGAAACTGCCAGACCATAAGTGGGTTGGGTTAACTCTTTAGAGAAAGAGGTTAGAACCTCAACGAAAAATATAAGAGCCTCTAATGACGCTGTTTGGAAGCATAACAAAAGGGTTTAGATGGCCAACACGACGGCTTTGGCCCTGAGTTCGTATTTAGCTACCGAGACGGCAAAGGAAGCGCTATTTCTGCTACTCATTTGCAATTCGCGAGACAGAAGAACCGCTATTATACCATCCATTATTTGAGCACATATGGCTCATGTTTTCGTTGTATATTTGTGAGCAACTGTGAACTGAGGTTATTTATAGGTTTTGTTTCTTTTGTAACAATTGTACAAGGATTCTAATGTCAACTAAACCGTTTAAGTAACCACTGAAATTGATCTCGGAACTAGCAATAAAAAGGTATTGTTTACACATGAGATTGGGTCTCACAGCAAGCACCTGGTCAAAGTTTAAACTCAGTTTATTTTGTTATGTTGTCTCCAAACTGATATTTATTTCGGCCGGCGTAACTACTTACTATATTTCGATACCTTCTACCAGACGCTGCAATTATCTCTCTCAATTGAAAAATATCTTTTGAATGTTTATTAATATGGATTGATTTGTTGTTAAAACTTAACAGCAAAAAATTCAATTAGATATCTTTAATCCATTTATTTATGATTGATTTACATACTTTCACAATTTTTCCTTTGTCTGGTCTTGAAACACTGCCCTAAACATTCATTTGTTTATCTTGTACTCCCTTCATTCAAGGGATATTTTTTCTAGGCGAAACTCCTCAGTAACTCTAATACTTGTATCTTTTTTGGTCCTCTCCATAATTTTTATCAAAAGAACTTCATAAAATTTTTATCATCTCTTCACTGAAACTTTCCGAAAATTTACTTAAATGTTTTTTTTTGCAACATTTTTTTCACGCCCCAATAAACTATTACTCAAACAAAAAAAGTTTACTTCCTCTTATGTTATGTTCGTCTTTCACAATAAGGTTCCCGCAAGCATTCAACTAATTTTCTTCTATGACCTTAATCAATGATATGACATGAGATAATCATAAATTTACAATGCGATTAATCAAAAGATTTAACATGAGATAATCAAAGATTTACATGCGATAATCAAAAATTTAAGAAACAATAATCAAAGAATTAAGATGCGATAATCAAAGACTTATTTAACATGCGATAATAATCAAAAATTTCACAAACGATTATCAAAGATTTTACTAACAATAAATAATCAAAGATTTAACATGCGATAATCAAAGATTTAACAAACGATAAAAAAAGATTTAACTAACAATAAATAATCAAAGACTCAACATGTCTCTTAATAAGAGCTGACTTCAGCTCTTATTAAGATTTAACATGCAATAATCAGTGATTTTGCACGAGTAAACCAGAGATTCAACATGTGATTAATCAAATATTTACCATGCAATAATCAGTGATCTAACATAAGTAAACCCGATATTTAACATGGGATTTATCGGGCAGCTTATCGGGCCTCAGTTCATCGCGGCGATGCAAGGGAGCCTACAGCGTCGCTGGGAGGCCTGCGTGGAGGAGGCCTGGCTGCGCCTCTTCCGCTGCCTCTCCTTCAGCATGAAGGCGGCCATGTTGGACCTGACGGGCGACTAGCGTGGCTAGTAGTGTGACTAGTGTGACTAGTGGTGTGACAAGTGTGACTAGTGGTGTGACTAGTGGTGTGACTAGTGTGACTAGTTTGGTGTGACTAGTGGTGTGACTAGTGGTGTGACTAGTGGTGTGACTAGTGGTGTGACTAGTGGTGTGACTGGTGGTGTGACTTGTGGTGTGACTAGTGGTGAGACTAGTGGTGTGACTAGTGGTGAGACTAGTGATGCGGAAAAGTTTCAGGGCGTTGTGGGACAAGGAAAGCGACTAATCGTTAGGCTAGTTGCGAGTCTTAGTAGGACTTCTGGCTAGATTTAGTTGGACTTCTGGAAAGACTGACTAGTGGGTAACTATTGTGATGAAACTAGAGGTATAAATAAATATTTGGGTGACCGAAAGGTGACTCAATCACAGACTCAGTTTAGTATAAAAAAGTTCCGGTATTTCCAACGGCTTCTTCAGTGAATGACCGCCATCTGCAGTCCTGACATCGCTATTGAAGGCCAACGGCCATTGAAGAACGCTGCCCTGTCGCATATATTCCAAAATAGAGCAATTCTCCATAATTTGATGATGAAATGCGGAAAAATTTCCTCAGCTTCCCATATTTCACTAAAACTCAATTCCCAGCAACTCGCTAACTCATGAAGTGCCGGCAGCCGGCAACGAGATACTATTTTTCACGCTGAGAAGCGGGCGGCGCTTCACAGGCTTCGTGTTTTGATCAAACCGCGGCGCCTCAGTCCCATTGAGATGGACGGTGAGATGAGAACTCTGCAAACTCCACCACAAGACGGCGCTGAAGCTTGAATAATATTTTTGTTTTTCAGTGCGCGATTTCTATCAAACAAAAATGAATATAATTTACGTCATTCAGTAAATTTTAACGTTTTTAAATTTGAGAAGAAATTCTGCCTTGAAATGTTTGAATTTGGACTTCTCTATTATTTTTTCAAAAGACGTTTATGAACGAGGCCTTATCGAACGGATAATATTCCGGTCTTCAGAAATATTAACTGGTCTTATATAACTTTCTTAGTTTTTGCCCGTGCCAATATAATGCGAGATCAAAATTTGAATAGACGTCCTTTCGTTTACGCAACCAAACATTAATTTCAATGACCTTCCTTTGTTTTCTTTTAAATTCGTTTAGTTTTTTGTCGTTGTTGGTCAATCAGTCTCTTCAACTGATCATCAGTCTTTTCAACTGATGTTACTGATTTTATGTTGCACAATAAGGCAAACTTATAAGATCAAGTGATGTAAAAGACAACCTCAGTGCAGGTCTAGCTTATTCTAAACTCTAAACTCTAGTCAGTATCTAGTGATTATCATTAAAGCTTTAAGTGTGTTTCCGTTCTTTGATATGTTTAAGTTGATGAAGAGAAGAATGACCCGTAATAAGCGATGCTTTAGAGAATAAAGCACTCCCAAAGTTATTGTTGGTCTGTCACGGAACCTAACTGAAAGTAATTTAAATGCCCAAGTTATTCCTTAATTTTAATCACTCTACATTTTAAACATTTAAATTAAATTCTATTAAACTGTTTCCCAAGCTCGGACCAGAATTTTATTTATGTTACATTGAAATTTGATTTATATTGAATTCATTACTTATCATGGACAATACAGAATTTAAAGATATTAAATATGACAAATTCCTAATGACTTCGAGATGTTGTGCACGTTGGTTTTGGGGGAACTCGTGCATAGCTGCTCAGAAGTCAATTTTTTTCTTTCGCACTGAGGCACTATTTCGTGGGATTTTGTTTAATTATTTTTCTTGAATTAGGTATTTATGATCAATATTATAGTAGTTAATGATAATATAATCAACACTATCACTTACTCGGTATGGTTATTCTTATCATTATTACCACAGATTTGCTGGACGCAGTACATCTCGAACAGGTACATTGCGTGTCAATAATATTATTTGTTAAATATTTGATCATGAAACCAAATGTACCTGTTTGCGGACCGTTCATTTTTGAAGTGAATGGTTGAGCTTCTCTTCGAATGAAAAATATTGCGTTATTTTAAATGACCAGAATGTATCTAGAAACTTAAAGACTTTAAAAATGCCAGCCATTCGACTTCTAAATTTAATATTCATATTATATATCTGCAGATACCTAATGTATTTATATGGTTTCCATGTGTTCGGCCTAGATATATGAAATAGTTCAACGCACTAGAATGACCTTAGCTTTAAAGCACTCGTATAATGCGAAGAAATGCTCGTTTGAGAATAAAATACTCGTCGTGTGCGGGTAAAAGTCTAAGAAGCGACATTAAGTTCCAAGATATATTAAAGGTTAATTCAAAGTGGCCTGAAGATAAGATTGGATTGAATTTACATTCTGCATGTATTATATATAATACGTATGAGTTAACACTTCGGGTCGATCAATTTTAGTCTGAGGAACTGCTTAGAAATATCTTTTAGCCACTTGTCATATATATTTTGCCACTTAGAAATATATTTTAGCCACTTGTAACGTGCCCTCGAAGTTCGATCTGAACGAGACGCCACGACAATCTCTTCGTGGAATAATAATAATAATAATAATCTAAAATATCATAAAATATCAGCCTGATAGGCCGGATAATGTAAAACGTTTCTTCTTAAGTAACTTTATTATATCGTATCAAATCACACATTAAATTTTCATGTATTATTTCTCAAGACCGAGCAAATATTGGTCGAGCAAAGTCGCGTCTTTAATGAAAGTTTTGGGGTAAGCGTTGATAGAGCGGATTATATCATGGAAGTGAAACGTGAAAAATAAAGTGATCTCGCAAATATGTTTTCAGTTCAACGAATTTTTAACTTGATTTGATATTAGTAGTTGAACGAAATTATTGATAGAGACCACGTGTGCCTCAGCAACAACCTAATTTTTTTAATTCAATGTATAATTTAATTTGGATAAATATTGCAAGAATTTTTGTGTAATTTTTAAATTTTTGTGTCAGTTTTTCGTGTCATTGCAAAATAATATCAAGATGATTGTTAAATTTCTAAAGCACTATAAAGTTTTTGCCCTTATTAAAATTTTATGACTTTTTGACATTTTTACGAAAACGAAGATAGCTACGAAATAATTCATCAGGTTTTAATTGTAGACTTATACCTGCATGGCGGTCGTCAACCTGATGAATAAATTAGGTTTATTAACTCAACTTTGGACGGCAGTTTTTAATCACTTTTCTAATCACACTCGTTGAAAATCTTCGTCCTGCGATGCTAGCTAAATATTGTAATTACCGAGAGCATGTATATAGAATATAAAATATATAAGTATCCACACGGACGGTGTTTTCAGAGACAAATGCGCATTTACACGACATTTTAATGTTTAATGCCTATTTAAAACAACGCAATACTATAATAAAATGCCTCTTGGAAACTTAATAGTTGAACTCTCAATTCCTACAAAAATGTCTAATTCGTAAAACTAAGAAGAACAATAAAAAAATTGTAGTGAGAGTTACGCTCTGAATTTCACAAAAACCACACAATTACAGGGTCATCATTAAAACCTGCATCATGGGAAGGCATCATGTGTCGAGGTGTGTCATGCATTGCTCTTCCGAAGTCCCCTGCAATTTGACGTTTATTAAACCATAATATAAGGGTTTTTCATGGGTTTAAAACCAAAAACGTTGTTCCTGAGCGCCCCGCACAGAGCACCTGACCTCTGACCTCAGCAAAGCGTTACTTTGTAGGTCGCGGAGGCAGGAGCTGCGTAGGATCTTCATCACTTCATCTGTAGGATCTTCAACACTTCTGTGTAGGATCTTCATCACTTCATCTGTAGGATCTTCATCACTTCATCTTTAGGATCTTCATTCACTTCATCCGTAGGATCTTCATCAATTCATATGTAGGAACTTCAACACTTCATCTGTACGATCTTCATCACTTCATCTGTAGGATCTTCATCACTTCATCTGTACGATCTTCATAACTTCATTTTTTTGCCGGTCTCGTCCGGGAACCTCAAATATTTTACCAACATCTTAATTACCAAGTAACTGTGCCTGTTTTTTACACGCAGCTCGGAGACTTCAATTGTATTTTTCTGGTCATCTATTGACCCATTGAGGCTAACCGACACTTGTTGGTGATATAAAATTTTCGTCGTAATGCTTATCTGTGTACAACGCGTATGTTTTTGCAAGAAGCTCAAATCAGTACCATGATTTGAGCTTCTCGCGTGAAAGTTCATTAATCACTAAACTGACGGTTGTCATAACAAATTTGATGTATTTTGTATTCCGCGAAGTTATTTGATGTTTCGCCAATCTTTATTCTATACACCAGTTGAATTTTTTAACATTCTTATTATAATCAGACACACATTCAATTCTACTTGAAACTAATCATATATTATCGATTCAATTTGTTGCCTAATCAATGATTATCTTGAAGTTCTTCGACCTGAAAGTTTGTAGAGATGAAGTACCAGTAAATTAAGATTTATTCTCTGTTTCCTGCCTGAAATTAAGGAAGTGATTGTCATAAATTAGTTGCTTAGCGAATGGACGTGTTTTATGTAGTGTGCGACCAAGCTACATTAATCAAATGAACACCGAGTATCAGACTTCATTTCAGCATTTTGCATGTTCTTGTGAGTGATTTAATTTACTACATTTTTATTGTAAATTATTTTACAGTCGTACTTTGATTTAGTAAAATGTGAGTTTTAGAAAAATAGAATTTTCTTACGTTTTATTTCGAATGCTTTGATGTTTATTGATACTAAATTTTTTTAAGTGCGACAGTCAACGTGTTATGTAGTTGAACAATGTTCCATAAAATTCAAGCATATTCTGGAGTCATCCTGTTATGCTGTGTGGGAGTGGTGAATATTTTAGAATTTTAAAACTTTCTCTAAAATTTTAAGAGCTTTGAAGCTTTTTCGCGACGCTCCAGTTCTTCTATAGACTCCTGAAATATCCTGGAAACATTGCGAACATGGACGAGCGTTTAGATTTTCCACAGAAGCTTCTTGAGGAATTAAGAAAGCGTTCCAGCAGCTTTATGAGGCATGGTTGCTTAATAACTCCAGTGTTTTGTGTGAAATTTAATTATATGCAATTTTTTTGAAGCGTTTTCGCCTATCAAAAGGAGATTATTGTGTCTTAAAGAACCAAATTATTTGAACAGTACTGAACGAGAATATAAGTTGATCGGGTCAGCATTATGTGTGGCTGCGTATAGATACCTTCTAAATAACGAATAAAATTGAAAGATTTTCATCCCGTAATTTTTTTATACATTTTTCGAATGATCCTCTCAACAAAATTAATGGACTTGACGGTAAACAAAGAGCTACGTTTGCAAAGATTGGAGGTGTAGGAGCATGGGATAATTACTTGCATTACTTAATCAGGTAGGGTAGATCAAGGATCAAGGGTAGAAATACTGTAATAAATTTAAGATTATTTCCCTATTAAAGAGGTTCAACACTTTTTGCGGCTATTACAGCATCACATCTCCGAGGCATTGATTCTTAGATATTGTGATTTTTGTTCAAACGGAATTTTAACCCATTCTTCAGTGAAAACTCACTCCAGCTCCTCTTAATGACGATAGCGACGGGAATTGACTTCTGACCTGCATCTATAAAATCAACTATAAATGCTCAATAATATTGAAATCTGGTGATTGTGGTGGCCATAAATGAGATGCTCAACTTCATTAGAATTTTCCACGTGCCATTTTTTAACAATTCCAGCTGTATGGATGGGGGCAGTATTACCTTAAACAATATTAATCCCGTTCCCCACCGGAAACAGTGCTTGAACTATTAGTTGAACTAGCAGCACCTAAACTCAGCAACAATAAACAATAACACAAAAATATGTCACGTTTTCATTGTTTAGAACATGCTCATAAGTTGCGATATCAAAATGTCAAGAGTTTCCCTTATTTTGTCCAACTTCTGTACATATCACCTCTATTTCAGTACACATGAGGAACAATTTCTTTTCAGTATTTGAACACGGATCAAATGTATCATTCAGTCAAGCGTCAGCAATGACGGTTTCACACAAGTGTTTTCATGACTTTTGTACATTGCACGTTCAAATATCCTGATAATTTATCATTTTGGATGAATAGAAGCTTCAAGTTACTGACAACTTCCAACACAACCTCGCTTTCACTCAACGCATTTCACTCAAGTGCAAGGTGTCACGAGTTGAAAAATGACTCGGACACATTCACATGGTGTAGAGTTATCAATTGTATATTTATAGTGTTTTTCCAGAGCTATATTTCCATGTGGCTTGATATATCTAGAGATTCACTCCCACGGGCTTGACATATATGCAAGTTTTCATATATAGTGGTGTTCGTGCAGTTTATTTGATGTGAATATTAGAACTTCGGTGGGATGAATGCCTCCAGTGCTTCTTCGGACATGGAGTGGGAGTAACGTGCCACTTATCTAGTGCAGGGAGGTGTGAAAGTATAGCTTATTGAAAGAATAGCTTATAAATTGGCGTTTGCTACATGGATCATATGACTTCAGCCAGCTAATATCATGAAAAAATTGGAAGACAAATACGACGATCTTTAACTTAAATTAGTAAATAATTACAATATGAATGATGTTTCTTCTTACATTTTCGCTTATTCTGATGTACCATAGATTTATTGTCTACCTGTATTGCTTTAATAAAATTCTCAGACTTGTTCCTGATCTTGGAAAGAATACAATTTCTTCTTAGAAATAACACAGTCGGAAATACTTTTAATTGGAGTCAAAACAATGACGTCAAAATATCATAATTATAGACACTAATTTTAGTTAACCTGCTGCAAATTTAGTTGAATGTTTTTCATAAGTATTCTTCTCTTTCTAGAAGAAAGAAAAAAGTGCGGGCGATCAGCGGCGTGTGAGGATTTAGAATAAACAAATTTTTGTTTAATCAAATAACAATCTGCGCTGGATCCGAGGGTTGGTGTTGAAAATCACTTCAGCTCGATGAGCGCTAGAAATATGGCGACCCTTATGTGGATTTGTTCTTTTCTTCTGATCTTAAACTTGGCTGTGAGTATTAAAACTACATTTCATCGTATTTTTTCAATAATATATCACTAAATATATATCCCAAAAATTCATAACACATGTAAATTACTATATTTGTGTCAGGAATCGTTTTCTTGGGACTGATTCATTTCAGCGTTCGGTATTAGCCTCATCTGTTTCCAAATTGTCAATAACGATCCACTTCCTTTCCGGTCACGTCACAGTCGCAGTTAATTGTGGTATATGCAGTTATTTTATATTCGATATGTCCACGTATAGCTTCAACTGTTTAAAATCCTTAAATTTCTAATTTGAATGCTCGTCTGACCTGCTCTTGCAGATAGCGGGTGCATTAATGGCCGTAACAGCAACAATAACATCGAGTTACATCAATTATTTGGCGGTATAACAAAGCCTTGGTTTATGACTCATTTAGGGAGAAAGCCGCAAACCAATTACGACTACCATTATTACCGAGTGGTCCTAATCGGAACTAAGTATTTAATTACATGAATTCATACCTGTGAAACTACCCCGTACCCTTTCAAAATACATACTTTTTTCAATATAATTGACGACAAACCTATAATGTATAGATCACTTGCCATCAGGGATAAAACAATGTATTCTCTTCATGTGTATTCACAATTTTAAATGTAAAGTTTGGAAAAGTTTAGTAAAAGACCACCGCATTTTCAAGAGCGGATCGCGACCGCAAAATCCATGTGCAAATCGGTTTCTTCATTTCGATATGGGGCGGCTGGATAGATATATGAATCCACGGCAATTTATTCAATTAGACAAGAAATAAAACTTTCACACAATGCGGGTATAATTGCTTTTCTACTTAGTGTTATTTCGTTCCCCCTTAATATCCAATTTCCCCTAATCCAATTTCCCCTTATCCAATTTCCCTCTATCTAATTTCCCCGTATTCAATTTCCCTAATCCAATTTCTCCTAATCCAATTTCCCGTTTCCCACAACCCGTTTCCCACAACCCGTTTCACATAACCCGTTTCCTCTAATCACGTTTCCTTTTATCCCGTTTCATTTAATCGCGTTTCCCATAACCCGCTTCCCATTACCCGCTACCCATAACACATTTCCATTACCCGTTTCCCATAACCCCTTTCCCAAAACCCGTTTCCCATAACCCGTTTCCCATAACCCGCTTCCCATTACCCGTTTCCCATAACCCCTTTCCCATAACCCGTTTCCCATGTTTCACGGACCTATTTCCTATAACCTGTTTGTCATAACCCGTTTCCCATAACCCGTTTCCCATAACCCGTTTCCCATAACCCGTTTCCCATAACCCGTTTCCCATAACCCGTTTCCCATAACCCGTTTACCATAACTCGTTTCCCATAACTCGTTTCCCATAACCTGTTTCCCATAACCCGTTTCACTTAACCTATTTCCTATAACCTGGTTGTCATAACCCGTTTCCCATACTCTGTTTACAAATTTTAAAACTGAATTTATTTAATTCGTGCAACCCAGAACATTTTGGTACATAGTACATTCAGTATCGAACATGAAAAATTAGAGTTAGCTTCCGTTTTGAAATCAGAATTGTATTTTTCTACTGGTTCTAATGCTTCAATTATTGAACACAAAATCAAATTTCAATCTCTTCCCCCCAGCTTCAATGTCTCACCTACAAAAACTAAATTTCCCAGGTAATATTTCGACACGATAAATATCTGGAATACGCGCCCAAACAGACCATAGATATTTTTCGGCATCAGACCTCAAACACACAAACTAACGCCCTTTGACGAATATATATAATATTCTCGGTAGTTATATAGAAATGTGTTTAGGAAAATGAAAAGTATCTCTGATCCTAAAAGGAATACATATAGCTGTAACTAGAAAACTTAAATATTTTCATTTATTACTCCTGACTTCGACGTAATTCCAGACGTCAGCGTCGGACGTCTGTTGGATGAACCCTCCTACACAATGCCCAGTTCCCCCCAGCGGGGGCGAATGGACCCCTGAGGAGTTGGCGCTGGGGATCAAAATCCTCGAAGACAGCGGGGATTATGTGGGCCCCAGTGGATTAGGAGCAAATCACATGGATTGGATAGAAGGAGCTCCAGGAGATTTTCAAAATTAGGGATATTTTGGTATTTGACTAATCAAATTTTCTCCGAGAGGAATTTCTATCAGGTGCTATAAATGAAGTCTTCAATACTATCAAGATTTAATATTTATATACATTTTCTATCCTTTAGATTTTCATAATAAAAGCATAACTTCTATTGGTGGTGTTCTCCAGAAGAAAAATGTGAAGAAATAGCGATAGTAAAATTGTATGTCACTGATTTGACTGAATGTCTCTAAGTTAGCGTCAATCTCTAATCTTTATTACTAATCACACTTGTTCGGCTCAAAAATTATCTCGTGGAAGATTTCTAAGCAGCGAACATCTATGTTACTTAATAACAATAACGAACAAATCAGGAATTTATTTACTAATTTCAGTAAATTTCCTACATTTATTAGCCTCAATTTTCTCTTTAATTATTATCAACAATTAAGAGCCATACCCGATCATACTTTTATATCGACAAATCCATTGATCAGTATCAGCAGCTGCCAATAACCAGTAATTTGGCGCGATCATCAAAGAAATTTTAGTCGTCAAATTGTTGGCAATTTGTTCTCTGTGCACGGTTTGTATGCGATGTTTTTTTAACGCGTTCACCAGCTAATTATAGCCCCTGGATTTAGTGATGATAAAAAGCTAGAGCCATTGCCTTTAGCTGATCAAAATTCCTGCCGATTTAGAGCAAATATTGTCTGTATTGCGGTAAACTAAACTAAGAATTAAATTTATAAACTTGAATTTGCAGCCAAATTCTCAATCTAAGGTTATAAATAAAATGACGCTGTGTAATTATATCACTTTACAAGGACGGTTTATTTTCGCTGTTAAATGAGAAATGAAATGAAAAATTTTATGATGAGTTAAATAAAAAAAGTTAAAAGTAATAATTGTTTATCCTAATTTTTTTTATCCAGAGTCTCCCCAAATAAAGCAGTTGATTCAAACTAAAACTGAAAATCTATTTCGTCCTATACTGTGCACATCTTTAAGAGCGAACATCAAAGCAGTCAGACGCTATTGTCACATATGGCATTTTTTAACTGTGAATTCGACCAATAACTACCCTCCTAAATAAGAGAGAAGTCTGAAATTTTGAATGCTATTCTGGCCAATTATGTTCAATTAACGGACTTTAAGATAAATTACGGAAACTTATTATTACCACTATTATCGCGGAAGACAATTTTGAACCGAAAGAATCGCATAACACTTGATAAGAAATTTAAAAGCAAAGAAAATGCCAAGAAAATTCACCATATCGATATTGATATTCAATATCGATATGGTGAATTTTCTTGGCGTTTTCTTTGCTTTTAAATTTCTTGTGAACTTGCGATATAAGCAGACTAATAATATAAGTACTTATAACACTTGACTTATCAAACATTTTCGAAATACTAGTTGGTTTAACTATCTTTTTTTCATTGATCGCTATACCCAAGCATTTCTGAATCGTTCTACTATTATTAGATATGCACTAATAAAACAAAAAGTTCAGTGCAACTTCCGTAGCTTAAAGCAATCTTTTACCCTCCGTTGTCGTACTTTCGTGGATGCGCATAAATAAACCGAACTAACTGAAATAAATGCGTTCAAATAATAAAGTAATAATCGAATTGGAGGGAAAAATGTTTAATTTTGCTTTTTAGTGTCAGGGAACCTTGATGCCGTGTAAATTCCAAATATGACGACTCTACAGTAAATTGACTCTATCATTCCAACCGAAATGGTCACCATACATCATCAACGGTACATGAAAACTGAATAGCAATTATTTACTAAATAAATGCACAGGTTGACGAACAAAAATCTTAGAGGTGCATACGATAGAAAATTGGAAAGAGCAGATACTGCTGCATGGAAGTACCGCAAATGTCGGCCAACGAAGTAGCTGCACTTGGTGGCCAAGCAAGAAATCAGCCCTGCCTATACAATAGCGGTCAGCAAGACTAGCCCGGAAAAAAATGCAATACATCGACCCAGTTGGTGCATCAACTAACAATTATCGGAAAAGTAATAATTTCAAAATATTCTAGGATTGGCATAACTTCTCTTTGCACGTCACTCATCTGGTAGGAAAACTACACAGACACATGAGTTACAGTGAAGGTACCTTTATCCGACCGAGTTTCAATAATCGCAGGAGGAGAAATTCTAACGGGAGCTCGAAAATAGAAATATAAAACAAATTTTAAAAATATAATATAACAAATATATCAACAAGAAGTAAACATCAATGCGATCACAGAAAGGTTATAGTAGCCCCTCCATACATTAATCATCTTTCTAATTCTGATCATTTACGGCAGTCCGGGAGATTCACATCTTGTTACTATTATTGTGTGCGGATTTAAGAGAGATGAAATATTATAATTCATTAGGAAAAACTCAAATTTTCTTCCTTCTATATGTTGCAATAGTGACTTTGAAACTTCATCAAATTTATAACACAGTTTTTGTATTTGTAATTTTATCGTTTGCTATTTCGATCGCTGATTTGCTTCTTGTTCCCAATTTCCGTTGCTTTCGAACGTCGCTTGTATCGTCTAACGTAACGTTACGCGTGCAGAGATGCCTCACGTCATCCGTGCGTTCATGCCTTAAAATGATTGATGATGAGTGTCTTGAAGCCTAATACTATGGCAGAAAATAACTGAACTTGAAGAGCGTTTCCAAGTGCAGAACTTCTAGAGGTGCGGCGTACGCCTTACATTAATGAGAAAGTGCTGCAAGTACTCAGTCGTTGCGGGCACGCACTCATCACCTTTATAATCAAGATTTCAAAAATTTACCTTACTATGCAAAAAGTTCACATGGTGAGTCAATTATGAATCAGGCATTTTGTGTGCGAGTGGGTCAAGAATGAGGAATACGACGCGACTCCTGCATATTTTCGTAAAACTTGAGTGATTTTCCTATCTATTCATTTTGTGAGAGGAGTCTCCCGATCCCACATAGTTTTTGACTCCGTCTAAGAGGAACGTCATAACGAGAAGAATTGAAATAAACAGTCTCGATAGAAGCAAACCGTGGTGTTAAGTAACATTCATATAATTCTTGTCCACGGCAAAATTAGTTATGAACAGTTAAAAATTATAAGAGGTGGCGGGTTAAAATTATATGATAAAATGAGATATGAATTAACTACTGACAGATAAAATTAGTTGAATGGCGGTTTCTGTGGCAGTGGAACTGTGTCCCAAAGACATGAGCGACGAGGTAGCGAGGTGTTCGTCAGGCGACGGTCATAGAATAGAATAGAAGTGTCGGCACTGAAGAAATCGGTATGCAGAAGTGGCATGCGGAAGGTGTGGTCCAACAGCAATACCAAGAGAAGACCGGAAGAGATGTGACGAAGCAGCGAGGTGTCGTGCAAGGAGCTGTACTTGGTCGAGTGGGCCAAGTACAGCCCGCGAGCCCGCCCGCGCCTCAACATCTTGGCCGGTGAGATATTACATTTGAATTCTCCAATCAAAACCATGGACTATTCTTCAATCACACACCAAGTTATATTTTCTGGTTTGATAGCTGTTGATCTGATATGGAATAACACGTCTATAATGAATTTAATCATCTCCCTATTGGCATACAGGGTCTCGATGCCGATCTCCTTTCTACGAGTACCCGGAGTTTGGATACCTAAACTTCGTTACCAACAACCTTGTTAATTTCACGACAGCACGCAAATCTTGGCCTTTATGATCTCACCTCTAACCATTATTACTAATCACACTTGTTCGGCTCAAAAATAATCACGTTGAAAATTTCTAAGCAGCGAACATCTATGTTACTTAATAACAATAACGAACAAATCAGGAATTCGTGTACCAATTTCAGTAAATTTTGTCATCCTAAATTTATTAGCATTAATTTTCTCATTAATTATTATCATCAATATCACCCGATCATACTTTTATATCAATAAATCCATTGATCAGTATCAGCAGCTGCCAATAACCAGTATTTGGCGCGATCATCAGAGAAATTTTCGTCGTCAAATTGTTGGCAATTTATTCTGTGTGCCCGGTGTGTATGCGATTAGTTTTTTAAATTTAAATGCGTTCACCAGCTAACTATAGTCACTGGATTTAGTGATGATAAATAGCTAGAACCATTGCCTTTAGCTGATCAAAATAACGCTTCAAAATTCCTGCCGATTTAGAGCAAATATTGTCTGTCTTGCGGTAAACTAAACTAAGAACTAAATTTATAAACTTGAATATGCAGCCAAATTCTCAATCTAATAAGGTTATAAATAAAATGATGCTGTGTAATTATATCACTTTACAAGGGCGGTTTATTTTCGATGTTAAATGAAAAATGAAATGAAAAATTTGATGATGAGTTAAATAAAAAATTTGCTAGTAAGAATATTTATCCAATTTTTTTATCCAGAGTCTCCCCGAATAAAGCAGTTGATTCAAACTAAAACTGAAATTTTATTACGTCCTATGCCATCACAGAAAGGTTAGTAGCCCCTCCATACATTAATCACGTTGCTAATTCTGATCATTTACGGCAGTCCGGGAGATTCACATCTTGTTACTATTATTGTGTGCGGATTTAAGAGAGATGAAATATTATAATTCATTAGGAATTACTCAAATTTTCTTCCTTCTATGTTGCAATAATGACTTTGAAACTTCATCAAATTTGTAACCCAGTTTTTGTCTTTGCAATTTTCTCGTTTGCTTTTCGATCGCTTATTTGCTTCTTGTTCCCAATTTCAGCGTCTTTCGCACGTCGCTTGTATCGTCTAACGTAACGTTACGCGTGCAAAGATGCCTCACGTCATCCGTACGTTCATGCCTTAAAATGAATAATGATGAGTGTCTTGAAGCCTAATACTATGGCAGAAAATAACTGAACTAGAATAGCGTTTCCAAATGCAGAACTTCTAGAGGTGCGGCGTACGCCTTACAGTAATGAGAAAGTGCTGAAGTACTCAGTAGTTGCGGGCACTCACACGTCACCTTTATAATCAAGATTTCAAAAATTTACCTTACTATGCAAAAAGTTCACATGGTGAGCCAATTATGAATCAGGCATTTTGTGTGCGAGTGTGTCAAGAATGAGGAATACGACGCGACTCCTGCATATTTTCGTAAAACTTGAGTGATTTTCCTATCCATTCATTTTGTGAGAGAAGTCTCCCAATCACACATAGTTTTTGACTCCGTCTAAGAGGTACATCATAACGAGAAGAATTAAAATAAACAGTCTCGATAGAAGCAAACCGTGGTGTTAAGAAACATTCATATAATTCTTGTCCACGGCAAAATTAGTTAGGAACAGTTAAAAATTATAAGAGGTGGCGGGTTAAAATTATATGATTAAAATGAGATATGAATTAACTACTGACGGATAAAATTAGTTGAATGGCGGTTTCTGTGGCAGTGGAACTGTGTCCCAAAGACATGAGCGACGAGGCAGCGAGGTGTTCGTCAGGCGACGGTCATAGAATAGAATAGAAGTGTCGGCACTGAAGAAATCGGTATGCAGAAGTGGCATGCGTAAGGTGTGGTCCAACAGCAATACCAAGGGAAGACCGGAAGAGATGTGACGAAGCAGCGAGGTGTCGTGCAAGGAGCTGTACTTGGTCGAGTGGGCCAAGTACAGCCCGCGAGCCCGCCCGCGCCTCAACATCCTCAAATCCCTGGCCGGAACCAGCTGGGGACAGCAGAAGGAAACCCTCTTGGTGACTTTCAAGGCTCTTATAAAGCTTATAAAGTCTCTCATCACCTACGCTGCCCCAGTGTGGTTCCCTAACGCCTCTCCCTCGGCAATCTCCAAGCTGCAAACTATTCAAAACTCTGCCCTACGCATAGCCACGGGATCTCTTCTTTCAATATCGATATGGTGAATTTTCTTGGCGTTTTCTTTGCTTTTAAATTCCTTGTGAACTTGCGATATAAGCAGACTAATGATATAAGTACTTGAGTAAGGTGATTTTGTGTCGAGGTGTTGTCCTAATAAGTCACAGAAAAAATATAACTCAGTACTCACTGCCATGAGTGACAGAGAGCGCATTTTCTCATCGACGAAAACGTGAAGTCACGGACAGTCAGACGGACATGATGAGCACAATAGCGCCTTTTTTCCATAAATGCGCAAATGCCCTAAAAAGTGAGAGACAATTAACACTGAATCACCAGATTTTAATCTATTCGCATACAGTTTAGCAATTGAACGACGCGTCTGGAAACTTGACAGCTGAAAGTGATAAAAACATGTTTAGTCTCTAGATCTCGTCTGCTCGGAGTAAATAATCCAAAAGTTCGTCTAATAATACTGCAAGGCAAGCCATCATACCGAGTAAATGTTATCCAGGCACCGGTCACAAGTGGATGGAGTGCCCGGCCGAACAAGCAGGTGCTGTTACCTGCCTGCATATAGTCATTAACGCCTAACGAAACATAATTTAGCTATGCCAGGTTTAGATATCATGCTCGATGAAAATGCTTGATTATTGGTGTAGCGAAAACCACTACCAATTTACATTGTTCTTTCAGTCGCTGACTTGCTTTCTTTTCTTTGTGTCAACTTCAATTAGAAGCGCGCCATGTGAAGTTTAATGCATGAATTATGCAAATAATGCATAAGCCATGTAAGTTCTTAAATAAGTTCACATAATTAAATTTTTCAAGCGCAAGATCATAACGCACATCTTTGAATTTTCCACTACAGAAAATTATTTATTTTGATACATTTTATGCTCATACACGCACGATATCTTACAACCATCACAGTATATTTTTGTTGGTGACTATAACAGTTGAAAAATTCATTTCATAATATTTTGATAATTCAACGACGTCCATGTTCGTTTCAGGGGAAATCATGAACCTAATCTAATAATCGTTGAATCATCTGTTATAACAGATTACATCTATGCATAATTTATGATGATCGGAAACTATAGTCGTTTACTGAAACGGTGAAAGCCAAAACTTATTTATAGGGTTCAAAATTTCTGAAATATTCGAGGAATACTGGACATTACCTGCTATATTGGCCGTACGAATCTTAACTGTATAAAGAAAACGAGTCATAAATTTCATCACAAAGAGTACAAACATACGTGGTGTATGTGCTCTTTGTGATGACAGTTGATGAATATACTTACTGTCGACAATTACGGCCGAAGTTTGACTGCTATCGTGAAATAGTTTAGTCATAGATCAAAAACGCTTCAAAACGTGCATGCACAGTCATGGTGGATCGATGTGCACGCACCTGCAATAGTTTTATCCTAAATAATTTCTTTATATATTATTTTTGACGCGCACTGCAGGTATAATTGAAAAGATACGTGCGCAGCTGTATAGATGAATGCTGGAGTTTGGGAATAGCGCATCTGAATTCTGCAATATGCTAGAAGCGCCTAATGAACACTTGAACCGCTATATTATATATTGTAACAAAGACTTCATAACGAAGCTTCATTATGAGTGAAAACATGTACGGAAAATTTACTGAAAACGATTCAGGTTCTAACGGCATTCAGTAATTCCTATGTTATTCTGGTAATCTGAATAGTTTCTCCGTTCTGAAATGTTCGATGACACCATTAAGACCACAATAGATCGATATCAATTATAACAAGGCTTTACAAACTATACCGTATACTAACCTCAGTATTCGAATTCGATTTTCAAGGAAGCAGTAAATTCTGCTGTCGAATCATTCGCTACCGTACGTCAAGGCCGGATCGTAACTTGTTAACAGACATTTTAGTAGAAATCTACATCTCATTTTGCTGTAAATCGGACTTATTCACATATGATTGTGTTAGAATTTAAAATGGTCACTTCAGAAAGTCATTAATTTAGATACAGTTCATGCACAAACATGCTCAATGTTTGGCAACCATTCTGCACATTTTTGTGGGTGACTAGTACAATAAATAAACTTCATTTCACAATGTCCTCAATTCGAAAATTCAACGACGTTCATGTTCGTTTCAGTTGATATCATGAAAGTAATCTAATATTTGTTGAATCTCCCTTTATAATAGATGATTTTTATGCGCTATTCATGATGCTCGAAAGCGATAACAGGTGCAAACCGAAACTTATTGACAGGGTTCATATATTTGTAAAATAACTATATTCTTTACAAGTACTTCATTTCTGGGTAGTGACTGGTCACTTTTTGCGTTTGCCACGCGAATATTTTGCGATGGCAATGATTACTCGGCTCCGCCCTGGTGTATGTTATCTGTGGTTGAACTGGAGTGCCAGGAATTTGTTACACATCAGTGTCCCTTGTAAAATTTTTCTGTGTCCAGGCACAGAGAATGGGGTCCGCGCGAAACATATATATTTTGGTTAGTTAAAATAATAGATAGTGTATAGATTTTCATCAAATAAGATAGAAATATTTGCATATTTTCACCTGCACGCGATAAACTTATAGCATAAGTTTTGAGCGAAAATTTTTATTACTCGAGTGGTGCAAACTTGGGAAGCCATCGACATTTGCTAACGTACAAAGCTAGCCTTACATCCAGCCTCAATTTGCAGGTATAAGAATGCCTTTCGAAACCCGAATAACTCATAACTTTGCCAAATCAACAATATTCATGAGTAACTTGTGAATTTCTTTCGCGGCATTCATCGTAGCCTCATGCTACAGCTAGAAAATTTCTCATAAGAAAGGCTCGGAACACCCGCCCTAAGAGTGCTGTCACGATCATACTTGATTGATGCCTAAGGCTAAGAAAGTTCTTTACTGAACGAAAAGTCTATGAACTCGGCAATACATCAGTCAACTAAGTCGAAGGGCCACACGTTACATGTGTCAGTGAGGGCATAATCTTGGCTGAAAGGTTTGAATGAAATGTGTCGTAAATGAAGATATCATTTGATTATAAAAGCTTGTGTTAGAACCTATTGTGCAGGCTAAGGCCTCTCAGGCGATTTTGTGGAGTGAATAGATAATAATAGAATAATAACCAATTTACGCTCGGTTATAATAAAATTAATTTATTTCAGACGCACGACGTCAGCGATGCAGTTCTGGTGCCTGTACATGCTCATCTTTTGGTTCCTGCGAGAAAACGATGCAGTCATCAACAGCAGACTGTGGTACACCGAAAAAGCTGACCCCGCCTACGTGGCAGCAGGCGACAAGATCGAGTTCGCTACGACGTCCATGGCTCGGTGCGCCGCTGTGAGCAGCGCTGCAACGGGTGCAGATCTCGTGTGTTATGATGGCGTCACTTGCGTTATCATCACAGCTGCAGACCTCAACGGCATCAGGGGTCGCGTCTCAAACTGGAAATGCTTTCTGGCCGGTGAGATATTACATTTGAATTCTCCAATCAAAACCATGGACTATTCTTCAATCACACACCAAGTTATATTTTCTGGTTTGATAGCTGTTCGGTATGGAATAACATGTCTATAATGAATTTAATCATCTCCCTATTGGCGTACAGGGTCTCGATGCCGATCTCCTTTCTACGAGTACCTGGAGTTTGGATACCTAAACTTCGTTACCAACAACCTTGTAAATTTCACGACAGCACGCAAATCTTGCCCTTTAGGATCTCACCTCTAACCTTTATTACTAATCACATTTGTTCGGCTCAAAAATAATCACGTCGAAGATTTTTAAGCAGCGAACATCTGTGTTACTTAATAACAATAACGAAAAAATCAGGAATTTATGTACTAATTTCAGTAAATTTTGTCATCCTACATTTATTAGCCTCAATTTTCTCATTAATTATTGTCATCAATTAAGAGCCAATACCCGATCATACTTTTATATCAATAAATCCACTGATCACTATCAGCAGCTGCAATCAACCAGTAATTCGGAGCGGTCATCAAAGAAATTTTCGTCGTCAAATTGTTGGCAATTTATTCTGTGTGCACGGTTTATATGCGATTAGTGTTTTTAACGCGTTCACCAGCTAATTATAGTCACTGGATTTGGTAATTATAGATAGCAAGCGCCATTGCCTTTATCTGATCAAAGTAACGCTTCAAAATTCCTGCCGATTTAGAGCAAATATTGTCTGTATTGCGGTAAACTAAACTAAGAACTAATTTTATAAACTTGAATATGCAGCAAAATTCTCAATCTACGGTTATAAATAAAATGACTCTGTGTAATTATATCACTTTACAAGGACGGTTTATTTTCGCTGTTAAATTAAAAATGAAATGAAAAATTTGATGATAAGTTAAATAAAAAATTTGCAAGGAATAATTGTTTATCCTAATTTTTTTATCCAGAGTCTCCCCAAATAAAGCAGTTAATTCAAACTAAAATTGAAATTTGATTTCGTCCTATTGCGCATATCTTAATTAAGAGCGAAGATCAAAGCAGTCAGGCGCATATGGCATTTTTAGCGCATTTTCTCATTTATGGAAAAAATGCACTATTGTGCTCGCCATGTCCGTCTGTCCGTCCGTACGTCTGTCCGTCCGTCTGTCTGTCCGTCCGTGACTTCACGTTTTCGTCGACGAGAAAATGCGCTCTCTGTCACTCACTGCAGTGAGTATTGAGTTATATTTTTTAACTGTGAATTCGACCAATAACTACCCTCCTAAATAAGATAGAAGTCTGAAATTTTGAATGCTATTCTGGCCAATTATGTTCAATTAACGGACTTTAAGATATATTACGTAAACTTAGTATTAACACTATTATCGCGGGAGACAATTTTGAACCGAAAGAATCGCATAACACTTGACTTATCAAACATTTTCGAAATACTAGTTGGTTTAACTATCATTTTTTATTGATCGCTATACCCAAGCGTTTCTGAATCGTTCTACTAGTATTAGATATGAACTGATAAAACAAAAAGTTCAGTGCAACTTCCGTAGATTAAAGCAACCTTTTACCTTTACCTTCCGTTGTGTTTTCGTGGAGGCGCAATCTGCATGATGGTTTCTGTGGCAGTTGAATTTTGTACCCAAGACGTGACCGACGAGGTTGCGAGGTTGTTCTCCATGCAGCTATCACGAGGCGAACGGTCCGCAAAAGTGGCATGGTGTGGTCCAACAGCAATACCAAGGGAAGAGATGTGACGAAGTAGCGAGGTGTCGGGCAAGGAGCTGTACGAGTGAACGATGAAGAAACCGAGCGGATCTGAGGGCAGCAGTCACGCAGAGGGCGACAAAGCAACTGAATTAACGGGCCTGTGTGGCATTCACGAGTGGAGTGACGAAACAGCTCAACGTGGGCGAGTAGCGGCCACTACTAGAGTAAGGTGATTTTGTGTCGAGGTGTTGTCCTAGTAAGTCATAAAAAAGTGAGAGACAATTAACATTGAATCACCAGATTTGAATCTATTCGCATACAGTTTATCAAGTGAGCGACTAAGACTAGACAGGTGAAACTGATAAAAGCATGTAGCATCTCTAAATCTCGTCTGCACTGAGAGAAGAATCTAAACTCTCAAGGCAATACTGCATGTCGTATAATGCTGCAAGGCAAGCCAGCATGCCGAGCAAATGTTGTCATGGCTCCGGTCACAATTGGATGGAGTGTCGGACCGGACAAGCGGGTGCTGTTGTCTGCCTTTATATAGTCATTAATGCCTAAGGAAACATAATGCAGCTAAGCCAAGGGTGATTGAATTGCTGGATGAAAATGCTAGATTATTGGTATAGCGAAAACCTGAAAAAATATATAGAAATAAAAAAAAATATAGCGAAAACCTGAAAGAGTCGCTGATTCGCGTTCTGTACTCTGTGTCGAATCCAATTAGTAGCGCGCTGTGTGAAGTTTGATGTATGAATTATGCAAATAATACATAATCATACAATTTCTTTAATAAATTCATATAATTAAATTTTTTGTACGATTGGTAAACTAGAAGGAAAGACTAGGCTTTTTCATGCGCAAGATCTGAGCGATCATCTTATACAGTCTAGACAATAAACTACTGAACCATCTTCTTTGGGAGCGCGGAGAAAATTTTCAACCTATTCGATGGTAGACTCTGTCAAGTCAAAGGCATTAAAGAACTCTTGCGAATCAATTGGATACCAGCTTGCAAAGTCGCTGGTGCGTGCACATAGTAGCGGAGAAGCTTTGTCTCGGGCATCACTATCCCAAAAATAGTTGATTTCTTGCGCACGAATTAACTGTGCTAATGAATTATTAGTTGATGAAACTTGAACGATTTTCCTAACTTTTATTTTGAATTGCGGCATCAACAATGCTCCGCACTGCATCAACACAGTACTGCAGCAACACTGCTAGCCGCCTCATCAAGAGCGCTCTAGCACTGCATCAACAGTGCACAGCACTGCATCAATACTGCACACTGCACATCTTTGCATCAACACTGCACAGTACCGCACTGATACTGTACAGCACTGCAACAATTATCAATACTGCACAATGCACAGCATTGCATCAACACAACACAGCACTGCATAGCACTGGAGCAAAATTAACAAGCTTAGGAATTCCCAGTCCACGGTCACGCTAATGCGCCGCCTTCGTCGTCTTCCGTCTCCGAGTCGTCGATAGGCAAGTCTCAAAGTCCAAGTTGTCGACGATCCGGGATCTTGCTCATGAACTCGACCAGTCGTCTCTTGAATGTTGCAAGGGTGAACTACCCTCCTCTCAGTACCTTGCAATATTACTATAGTAATATTGCAAGGTACTGAGCATATATATACAGTAGCAATGTACCATATATACATATATACATATATACATATATGGTACAATCAGAGGTGGGCAGTAGCGCGCTACATGTAGCGGCCGCTACATTTTCAGTAGCGGTAGCGGCTCTACATTTAAGGCAATGTAGCGGTAGCGGTAGCGCCCGCTACATTTTTAAGTAGCGATACGAGGTTTTGCCGCTACAGCGCTACCGCTACATTTATATATAAAGCCTTTAGATTTTACTTAAGGGGACCGGCTACCCTCCAACAAAACTTTTTTGTTTACAGACGGATCGTTTTGAAACTTGGTACACATATGTAAAACAGAAATCTAAGACCTTTTTGTTCATATAAATTTGAAAAAATGAAAGAAAACGTGAAATTAATAGAAAACGGCAAATAAGGGGTACTCTAAAAAGTTTATAACTTTTGCAAATCACATGCTACAATGTCGAGACACATATCATTTGATTTGTAACAACGATATCTAGCGACTGTAGAGCCCCGACTTTTTATTTTCCTCATCGTTTTTTTTCGCGTTCTTCCCATTTTTTCACATTTTTTCATTCCCATTTTTTCACATTCTAGCGGTAGCGGTAGCACCCGTTACAATCTAGTGGGTGTAGCGGTAGCGGTAGCGCCCGCTACATTTAGAGCATGTAGCGGTAGCGGTAGCGCCGCTACATTTTCAAGTAGCGCTGCCCAGCTCTGGGTACAATAGTACCATATATACAGTAGCAATGCATTAACATTTTCAACTTAGCACAACATCGCATCAACACTGTGCAGTATCACACTAACATTACAGTAGCAATGCATCCACACGTAGCATTATCTCTCCAAAAACTCCGCGGTATCGCTGGGTCATCGCATCATCTGCTCTGTAGTATCATTATTCATCTACTCTGCTCTGCACCATCACTTCATTTACTCTGCACCATCGCTTCATTTACTCTGCACCATCGCTTCATTTACTCTGCACCATCACCTCATCTAATCTGCAGTTTCACTGCTTCATCACTTCATCCACTCTGCATTTTCACTGCATCATCATTTCATCTACTCTGCAGTCTCACTGCATCATCATTTCATCTACTCTGCAGTCTCACTGCATCATCATTTCATCTACTCTGCAGTATCACTGCATCATTTCATCATCTACTCAGCAGTATCACTTCATATACTCTGCAGTCTCACTGCTTCATCACTTCATCTACTCTGCATTCTCAATTCATCATCATTCCACCTACTCTGCAGTCTCACTGCCTTGGTATCCTTGGTATTTGTTTGGGATATATCACTTCATATACTCTCCTGTATCACTGCGGCATTTCATCATCTACTCAGCAGTATCACTTCATATACTCTGTAACATCACTGCGCTAGCACTCAATCGACACTCATGAAGCGCTGCACTTCCACAGCTGACCGGTTCTCCATGCAATGAACCGCCAAGGACGTCGCGGGCTCGCGGTCGCGGGCTCGCGGCGCGGCGGCAGCGGCGGCTGACGAACGTCTCAGTGTGCCTCGTGACGCGAAGGAGAGAGTGTGTCAAATATCGCTGCAACCGGTACGTGTCAGCGCTCGTGCATTGTGAAACGTTACCTATATCTAATCTATTGCTTTTCATGCCCGATTCTCTTCAACAATAGTGTCGTACAAGAGTGCATAACAACCAATTATTTCTTCTATTTTGCTACATTTGATGACAAAAACAAGTGCTATGTTGCAGAAGCACACTTGCATCCTGACTCGTGCAGCGTCGTTGGTAGACCTTGGAGTGCATATCTAAACTTCCAATAACTAATCTTTGCAATAATTTAATTAATGTAGGAGTTCATGCACTATTGTCTTGATTCGCGTGCGTTGAAACAAATTATTCAAGAGTGACTCGCAGATTTTGTCAGTACCTAGTTGTGCATGAGGATTCTGACATGAATCGTTCGCAGCAAGCATGAAGCATTCGTACCCCGCGTGTCTGTCTTGCTAACAAAATATTTTGTAAAATGAACCAATGCTGATAAAGTAAATTTTTAAACATGATTATGCAATAAACTACCTCCATTTAGCCCCGCTTTGAATGATATTTTATATTTAATCGTATTATACACCGTATTAAAATTACCCTAAATAAAATTTCGAACTACCTCAATGGTCCAAAATCTTTCGCTTTCCCTCGTGGGTCATTACAGGGCAAATTTCAGTCAATATTTCTATGGGATTTCGCGCTCCTATGGGGGATTGTTCCTGAGCGCCTCACCGCTGAGCTCGCGGTGTCTGACTGCAGGTCTCAGTTGTGGGGTTAAGTTATTATGTAGGTAGGATTCCTTACATTTCCCTTCTCTATCTCTCTCGTGCGGGCGGTCAACGTCTCGTGTAAGCAAGCTCTTGTTTGAGTGTTGCTTTTCACCTGTCCCCCCTTGTCACTTCGTCTCTTTGAGATGCTAACGCTGCTTCTTTCGAGCCAGCTTCAGCGGGCTAGTCAATTGAGACCTTCCGCCCCTTGTGGGCAATGATTAATTTGAAATTTTTGAATAATGGAGACCTTCCGCCTCGCTGGCAATGTTATATTTTAATTTCCGGTGCGAAATACGTAGCTTGATAGCTGAAGCGCTGGTAAACCATTATACGACTGTTACTACAGTCAATATTTCATACTTACTGGTATCGTGGATACGCGTTCACATGGGCCAGGGTACATATTGCTAGAGCCAGCGGGCTTGCATTGCACAAACACTCCAGAATGTTGAAATACACTTGTGACTGACTAATAAACATGTATCTATTGTTGCAATATTGCATCCAAGATACAATGAAATAACAAAATTCATTATTTAATTTCATTACATGAAAATAGATTGGAATTAAGATCATATTTCAAATAAATTCAAGTAAATCCGTTTAACAATCGAAAAATGTCCAACCACATCACTGTTAATATAAATCATCCGTGTCAGTTTAGCACATTTCTGCAGGCAGCATCTAGTTTTTTAATTTATAAAAGCATTTAGCTTTTTAATAAATTTGACTGGAATAATGCTGTAAATATAACAACTTAGAAACTTACCTGCAAGAAGTGGAGTACCTTACATTCATTGTGCGTAATACCCTAAAAATAAAGTTCGCCACAATTATGGGAAAAAACAGTCTCTAAATTTAAATGTCAAGCAGCGGTAAAAACTGTAGCGCCACTTTCCTTTCACGTGCAGGGACAGTCTGCAAGATGGCGTCCGCGGCAACCACGACCTCCGCACCACATTGCGACTTCCAGGAAATGGAGACCCTCTACCAGAACTATTACGGCATCATGGAATTGTGTCCCAAGTACGTCGGGAAAATTCTCTGCATCGAATGTGGAGATAAAAATCCTACAGAAACGTATAAGGAATACTTGGAGAGACTTTGGGGCCAGTCCTTCACTCAAACAGAATGGAAAAAAATGAGCGGAAACAAATCCATGGCAAGCTCATTTGAAACAGACACGACTTCTGATGATATGGATATGACTACGCTGTTCAAACTCTTCCAGATGATTTTCGAAATGAAGAAAAATGATGGGAGGGACCCGGCAGAAGTAATAGAAAAATTGAAAGCTGTCAAAGACGTTAGAAATGATATGATGCACAACGAACAATCGATGAAGGATCCAAGCAGAATTATTGAAATAGAAGAACGTATGAAAAAGCTGATCCAAAAGAGTGGCGAGTTTTATAACCTTCCCGATAGTGAAACAAGATTAATGGAATATAATCTGCAAGTCGAGATAAAAAGTGGGCCTACTTCAGCTGGGAAGAAGCTGGCTTACCACATCCACCGTTTACTTATCGAGGGGAAAAAATGTGCGGTCCGGCGTTTCCAAGACTTTACCGAAGAAGATCTTCCCTTCGACGTCGGCCGCGTGGATCGGTCAGATGTGTTTTACTCACCTGAAATAACACTAAAAGACGAGGAGAATAACCGTTTCGAATACCAAGCCATGTTCAATTCAAGTGATAAAATCGTAATAGTTCTGGGCGAGGCAGGGGCTGGCAAGACGACCCTACTCAAGAACATAATCTTGCAGTTCATTGAAATGTCGAAATCCGGCAGACACTTTCTGGACGATTTTGAACTTCTTGTCCACATCGAGTGCCGGAATAGGACAGTGAAGAATTTGCAGCAAGTCTTTGTGGGACTTTTTGGACGCGTGTGCTTTGAGATTGGAGAAGACTGTGTGCTGCAAGCACTGTCACGTCTACGCGTGCTGTTTCTGGTCGACGCATTCGATGAGCATAACGCGAAATCCATCACAGTTCTACGTGAGCTGTTCCAGGGGACCTGGGATCCCAGTTCACGTATACTCATCACAAGCCGTCCTTCTGCTGTCGGAAAACTTAGACAATTCCTTGCTAAAAATAACTGCCATTTCTCAGAATACGTAATTGCGCCTCTTTCCCAGCTCGAAGAACAAATGAACTTCATCGAAAAGTACGAACAAAGACTAAACACAGACCCTGCGGTGGCTGGAATGATGCCTAAATGGTTCTCCAGGCTGGACCCGCACATCAGGTCCCTCTTCGTCACACCAATGGCCCTGCTTCACTACTGTGCAATTCACCTACGTTTTCCAGACAATGTAAGAAATTGGAGAAGCGCAAGCGACGTGTCAGGAGACACATTGAAGCTGTACAGAACTATCTTGGAGGAAAAGCTCAGCGATATCAATGTCTTCGACGTAGATCTCCTTATTGATAACCTTTTCGTGATCATAGGAAAATTCGCCCTAGAGTTTCTTGTCAGTGACAGGATCACCTTTACTGAAGACGAGTTCCTTCTTCTCAAGCGTCCTTGCCACTCTGAAATAACGTCACACTGTAGCGACAAGGATATCAAGTCTGACGTACTGCTCTCCGCGATGTTCAGTATGAGAAAATCGCTGTCTGGGAACGCGGGCGCAACATACTCATTCGCACACAAGTCCATCCAGGAACGGTCAGCAGCTCATTACGTAAAAGAGCGTATGCTCAACACCGGAGAACCACTATTGAGCATACTGGGCGTGGCGTTAGAAACGAATGCAAGGTGAGCCTTTCACTACAAGAGTTTGACATACCGTATAAATATTCAAATAGAATTGTCAGTGGGAATGTGAGCCCAGTGGTGTGAGCGTCTGCTCACCATGAATCTTGAATAAAATTATTATGAATCCTGAGATATCTTGGATGGAAATTCAAGATCCGCCAATGATTCGTCCATTAACGTACTCTTACAAAGAGACGCCTGCAAACGATTAACGAGAAATTGAGGTAATGTCGTAACTGAATGATAGAAGGAACAATTGTAACTTTATTTTTATAAGGATCACTGGAGGATATTAATTTTATTCAAGTACATGGAAAATGTGAATAATCTGACGTATGATGCCATTTTTGCACGCAGCATCTCCGCTCATCGAGAGAGGCAACAACTAGCGGAGGAATCCGTCGACTGCGATGATAAGGAGTCAGAGTCTGTCGAGCAAAATAACCTAGAACAGTGAGTTGTTAAATGCGTGCCCACGCTTGCACATGGATTTTGTTACATGCAATAAAGTCTCGTTATTTGGTGCTTCCAACCAATGCAAGCTTCTTCTCTTTGTAGGATTCGTCTGTTGAAGACTAGGTGTCCATTACTCCCAATTTCATTCTTTGGTATTGAGTATTTTGTTTCCACCCTTGTTCCCACTTTCTTTACTATAACAATTTGAATTACCATCATTCCAGCTTCCTGGAAGTCTTTCTGTACGTCCTGAAGGAGCTGAGTAGCTGTTGCCCGCCGCAGTTCCAGAGATACTGGCCCCAACTGAGGGATGCCATCGCTGCTGCCGGTGTCACCAGAGGCGCCGATTGGCAGGCGGTGCTGCTTAGGAGCCCAGACGTCACTGAACTGGGGAAGCACGCGGCCAAGATCACGATCGAAGAGACGGACGTATGGGACGTTCACACCGGTGAGTCTATACATATACTGTCATACGTTTAACAGATCACAATACACGCATTTCATATTAATAAATTCACATTATACGTGTATAAACTTCATTTGAGAGTAAATTATTTGAGAACTTTATATATAAATTAAATTAAATGTTAGAGGTTAGCTGCTGAGAGGAAGAACTTCTTATTTAGGCTTATGCCTAGAAATGTTAGAGCCGAGGAAAGCGAGTTCGTATACAGTGAATGTCGGCGGACTTATCGCAAGAGACACGGCGTCAAGGGACACCAAACCATGCGCGATGGCTGCGTATTTAAGCAATTGAAAACCGTAATGGCGGAAAACCGGAGCTTCTTTTAAGGTCCGTTCACGCCAGCTAGACCTGCCGTAGATGTTGGTGACTGCCCACATCTAATGATTTACATTTACCAACTAATATCGTTAGGCTCCATGAAACGGCCATCAACGACACTGCTCATTTAAACGTGTCTCATTTAAAACAGTGTCTCATTTAAACATTTCAGTGTCTCATTTAAACGGCCATCAACGACACTGCTACCGTGCCGGTCGTGACTCGGCTGTTGCTTGTCACGTCACCTATTTTTCATCCCGTCACTAATCACCGCAATCTATTCTTACCATTGCTCTCTTTACCTTACTTCATCCATCATCCTCCTCTCACAGCCATTCATCTATGTCTCTATAAAAGTCATCACTTAACACTTAATCTAAACCAGTCATCTCATCATCATACGTATCCATTTTCATTGTCTCGCTATATGCTATTGCTCATCGTTCATTTTTCTACTGATTATGGCTCTTTCTACTTACTATTACTTCATCAATCTATGCTCCTTCTGTTTCTCTCTGTCCTCTTACATCATTGTTATTCGGTGTCAGCTAGCGACGTCGCGGCAGTGGCATTAATGCTGCCGCACCAGCAACCCCGCCTCATCACCGTGAAGCTGCCAGCTGCGGTGCTGCGTGCTGCAGGCACCAGCTGGTCCGATCTGGTGCGGCTTCATCGGGGACAACTAAAGCTCTTCACTGCAGCAGGGGCACCAAGTCCCGAGCCTTGTGACGATCTGCTGGAGTGCCTCAAGGACTCCAGGTTGTCACCATTACTGCAGGGGCACCAAGTCCCGAGCCTTGTGACGATCTGCTGGAGTGCCTCAAGGACTCCAGGTTGTCACCATTACTGCAGGGGCACCAAGTCCCGAGCCTTGTGACGATCTGCTGGAGTGCCTCAAGGACTCCAGGTTGTTACCATTACTTTAACTTCGTAATAGCTGGTCACATTTTTGGCCAATCTCCGGAGGAGAAGTAAATTATGCGACACAATTGTGAATAAATGCATTCAATGCAGAATGTTTGCATGGATATTCAGTGTGGGGGTATATTGACGGAAATTTTGTTTTGAAATATGCAAAGTATTTTGCGTAGAATAAATTCGTAGTAATTAGTATTCGAATTACGAATTAGTAATTCGTAATTGCGCTCAAAGTAGAATGCTCACATCAATTATATTTATTTATGTTGTCTGTCACGTGGAGGTGTCAGCTCGCTTGGCTGGATAGCTGCATCAGCAGCGCGTCTGACGTCGACGCAGTGGCTTCTGTGGCTACGGCCACAACTGAACTGTGGATCTCGCTCCCCACCCCCCTCAACCTGCACGCCCTGCAGGGCAACTATAAGCGTCTAGGTGAGTGTGAGCTGCATTGGGGTCTTCCGACCCAACTAATTTGATGCAGCATGACCAACCCCACTCATTGATACTATCCCATCATGTTTCTATGATGTCATTCATCAAGTATCTTCATTTTTGTGCTATAAACTTGTCGTAAGAGAGAATTTTGTTATCATATATGGATATGTTGCAGAATGTGTATCAATTGATGTGATTTGCAACCATCATGCTAATTCGGGTTGGAAACAATGCAGTGTGAGAGCTGCATTGTTGTTTCTCTTCGTGGGCTCGCCAGCTTCCACAAAAAGCTGGAAGATTGCGAGCAGTTTTTGTGCAGCGGGCATCCATGCTAAATTTTGTGATAACTGATGAAGTTCTCGCACATAATGCCCGCTATTGCTTCCCTCGTAGTCGTGAACATTTGGCCACTGGATGCTGCGTGGAGTGCGTTTCTCCAGTCAGCCCAGTCACCTTGCCAAGTGAATCCCGGAGCTGAGGTCGCCCCTAGCGATGCCATCGCTGATGGGGTGCGCCTGCCACCCTTGCCACCTCCGGGGTTGATGTTATGGGGCGCCGAGCCAGGAAGCTTTGAGACCATCGCCCGAGTCATCCGCACAATTGCCCCTGTATCAAAAAGGTAGAAACTAACTGGCAATTTTCCGAATTGTAAAGAATTCATAAAAGGACAGAAATGCATCGTTATGGGATTAGAGGTGCTTAGATTAGACAGGCTCATACTGGTGATGGCTAAGGATTATCTGTTCATTCATGAGCAGACTGGGCGGCACGTGGCTGCCGAACTGCGATTTGGGGGAAGATGAACTGCGGAAACTACTGGCGCAACTGCATTACGATGGCATAAGGAACGCCGAAACCAGCCACACGCGATATACAAAACATCCGTAAGTTACAGTACCGTCAAACTCTGGTCGAAAATTTTGAAGATATTGCATATTAAGAGCTCGCGCCAAAATTTGTTGAATAAATATTATTTATCATTTATAATAACGGAACGAGCATACTTTTCGTTGTAGGACTCATAACATACATTTAAATGAGTAAATTTTACATTTTCGTCACGGTAGGTGGTGATGCTTTATGTACGAAACGACAGACAGATGATAGCTGAATGGCTGAGTCCCGATAACTCTGACTCAAACACAAGCCGGGAATACTCGTGGATCTTTTTGAGAGGAGATTCCAAATGGCAATGTACGATGAAGACACGTTTGTTGCAAATCATTTGTTGAATTCAGTCCTACTTAGTATTTATTCCCAATTTTTACATATGAGGAGAAAATGAAATGATTAGAAATCAATTCTTCAGTTCACGAATTACTGAATATTATTGAATGGTTTTGTTGTCTTCATCGATGCATTTTCTTATTACTAATTAATCGTGTTTTCAGGTTTACTGATAAAATATTCATGTAAGATCTTAAAATCCTGACACTAGGCATAATATAATATAATATGGGTATTGAATTAAATAGACAATGGAACATCTGCTGTAGTTTTGCACGTGTTTATTGATGAGCGCTACCAAACATGCCTTCAAGTGAAACTAAATTTTGCATCAATCCTGTGCAGCGGTGGCCTCGTGAGACTTCATGTGACAGACGTGCCTTCTGACTTCGACGGGTGAGTGGCGTGGATAATCCTTACTTGTTAGTGCCTTGAATGACCAGCATTGCGTTTCCCGACACCGACGGTTGAGTTTCGTGGGTCAGATTGACTTTTGTGTGACTTGCACAACCAACGATACGGGCTACGTTACTTGTGAACATTTTTTTTTCCTCTAATGAATCATAAATGCAGTAGATAGTTTTTAAGTAAATAGTTGAAATGGGTCTAGAAGTTGATGACAGTCAATAAATTTATTAATATATCTAGCTACTTTTATGCATTATAACTTATATATTTTAACTTCAGTCCCCCAAATATGTTAAGTCTCTTTCGCACCAGCGCTACGAGCTCCGTTTGTAAAATCCTCGCCCGGCTGCAGTCCAGTGGCGCTGGGGACTTTGAGGTCCTGTGGCCGGAGTGGCGACGTGCGATGGAAGAAGCGAGGGCCTCAGCACGGGACTGGCGGGAGGCTCTGCTATGTCGCCCCTGCGAAGAGAGGCTTGCCGCCACAGCCGCCCAAGCTACTAGGAAGGAGGATGGACAGTTCATGATAACGAGCGGTGAGATTCGTGTTCGCTGTCTGAGGTCTTTCAGTGATTTTCAGTAAGTTATGTTAAAAGCCAGATCACTGCCTACATCTTTTTGATAACTTTTTTTTTGGAGCTGAGTATGATTAATATTATTATAGAGAGGACAGATATGGAGTATTATTCAGATATTATTTAGAGAGGACAGATATGGACTGACTAGGTGAACGCAAAATCACGGTAAAATCGAACGTAAATGTGAATTAATTATCATCTTACCGATACGCAATACAAGCTGGTCAACTGCAGGTCGTGATCTGGACGCGGTTGCCCTCATGCTACCTCACGCCGAAGACACGACGGTGAAGGTAGAGGCGTCACCGGTAGTTCTGAGAACTCCTACGTGGCAGCAAATTGTCTCTCAACACAACGGGCGATTGCAGCTTCATCTTCCACTGCTGGGCTCTGAGTTTCAATCTTGTGACGACCTGCTCCAGCCGCTGGCCGGCAGCAGGTGAGACGTCAATTCTTCCTGTACTCAGAGAAACGAGGTGACTTTGTCCAAATATCAATGAACTTGTTGCACTTTGTGTGTTTGGCCCGCCTGACATAGTTTGGCCTGACATAGGAGCGCATCAGTGCTACGCGCAGAATGTGTGTCGCTATTTGGACAATACGACGCGTTCCTTTTTCTGAGTATGGCTAATGCTTGACGCTCTGAATGCTGAAGGGCTGCGGCTTGTAGAATTAACGCATTTTTTTCAACCAGATGCCCCGATGGTGACAGTTGGGATAATATCTAATTCTTGCAGCTAAATATCTTCGAAAATCAAATAAAACAAAATTTAACAATTATATGTCAATTAGTCCCCGGTGGCGCTGGGGACTAATTGACATATAATTGACTAATTTAAAATTGAATTGACATATAATTGGCTAACCTATTTTACGGGGCTTCGCTGCAAAGGACGCAGGTATATCAGGCTGCTGGAGTCGAACGAAAACCAAAAGCTTAGGAGTCAGAGATGGCAAAAAAAGCTTCATTTCCTCACCTTCTCTTTTGTCATTAATCATATTTAATTCTAATTCATTGACGTAGTCAAGTCAAGCCTAACCGGATTGTGAGAACGTTTATTGGCCCTGAAAACGTCCGACCAACTCGCGGCGTGCCAGCTCTGCAGCCATTGAGCCTGCAGTGTCGTTCAGTGCTACCAGCAACTATACAAAATATTAAATTAAAACCAATTAAAATTTTAAATATGTGCCTTATAATAACGAGAAAGTAAATAATCTCATAATAATATTATTATAATAATGAAAAGTTATTAATAAATAATAATAATCTCTCTAATCTCATCCCTAATTCGTTTTTACTGGAAACAATAACCTGGGATTCATTCCAACATGGGTGCTAGTTTTCTTATCGTTATTTTATATACATCTTTATAATCGGATATTTGAATTCAATTTTTGTTAGTAAACAAATTCGGCAACAGAGCATGCACGATGGAAATGTTGGATGACGGAAAAAGTTCTTTCAATGCAAAATTCTGCTACCAACGTTACACAAATCAAAATTTCTTAATATTTTTGTATACAATATAAATTTACATATTTTTGTGTCATTTTTCATTAGAATATTAATTTTCTGCAGGTCCAAAATTGTTCGTTTCGAGAGCGGTATAAGTACGGCTGCAGGCGTCGCGGCTCTGTCGGCCGCAGCGGTTTTTGCTCAGCTTCTCATCCGCCTCGAGGCTCCGCTGTCTCTCGGCCCTCTGCTCGGCAAATACTCATTCCTAGGTCTGTTGTCTGTTAAAATGGTAGTGAAGTTCCGCAAAGATCAATATTTAAATATTTGGGCTTTTCGTTCCTTTAATTTCTAATGGCATTTTCCTCTTATCCTACTTGTTAAAAATTTCGCGTGTTCTTAAATTAACCTTGCCAAAATTAAATTATAAAATAACAATGAGCAAAAATTCTAAGTGACTTCCATCTGCCAACTAGAATGCTTCCCTCATGCCTCACATAAAGCAAAGGCTAAATAACCTCTTCGCATTTAACCCAAAATTGCATGTATGTGTCAATAATTTGAGACATGTCTACGTGAGCGGCGCCGCTCTGTGTCAATAATTTGGAAGTTTTTAGCATGAACGACGTTCTGTGTCAATAATCCGTCAATAGCAGTTTCCTTTGAGTCCCAGCGCCGAATGTTACTCCTATCTGTTCATTGCGATACGGGCATGAGATGGAAGAGGCCCATTTGTACGCGAAATTGTACCCGGGAAATTTACACGTTTGTTTTTCGCACACCCGTGGTTGAAATTGACGAGAACTTGCACACATTTTCCCCCACAGCCGTGTATACAGCAGTGATTAACCCCGCCGTGGCAGCGGTGCCACTACCTGCCTCTCCTCCTACTTGGCTGTATGTGCTAGGAGCAGCTGCCGGAAGCTGGGAGGCTGTGGCCCAGACGGTGACGACTTTTGCTCCCAGCAGCAAAAGGTGAGTTGCGTCGCTGAACATATTTTGGGCCTGATATTTATATAAGCTTAGCTCCCAATACGTAATAATTTATCATGTTTGTTGATTTATAGCCCAGTGGTTACAGTTCAGAGTACTAGGAGTGGAGCAGAGAGGTGCGGGTTCGAACCCAGCTCTGTGCGCCAGTTTCTGGTCAGAATCGGCGAGGAGGCCGGGCGGTTCAGCAATGCAAAATTGGAGCAGTGAGTTGTGAGTTCGAAACCGCAACAAGCTGTGAATGTTCTGCTTTGCTAGGAATCGGTAACAGGCCTATGGTCTAATAAACGCTGAAACCGTTATTACTATAATTATATTATAAAATCTGTCGTTATTTTAACTGTGATTTTTTGTTAAGCTAGAAGTTGATGGCTGACCAAGTTCGTTATTCATTCGCTAGAACTATGATTGTGAATCCGTTTCTGCATTTACAACAATGAATGAAATGCCATTACATCGGTCTCCAATCAATCTTGTTCTGACTTGAATAATGCGAAGAGTTTCCTCAGAAATCGTTTTCTCTCGGTTTTTCTTGCTTCCATCCCAATTGCAGGCATACTGATTATAATTCCGCATAAATAGAAATATTGAAACGATTTGGTTAAATTTGTTGTTCACTTCTCCACTCAAAATTTTTGACAACTAAATACCACGGCAATATCATTTCACGTTACATAATTCCCTCATTGCACAGTCACTATAATAAAATATTTATTTAAGGTTACAAAGTGCTACATGTCTTAACCTTTCCATCACTCAGCCTGACGGCATTTGTCCCAGGATTTAGACTCATGTTACAAGCAATAATAATATTCAATACTATCAATAAAACTTACACTAATACTTAGAACTTGTATTTTGTGCCACAGGTACGGGACCATTATCCTGCAGGAGTCAGAGCTGAGCGCTGAGGATGAGGGCGGCTGCTGGCGCTGCTGCACGAAGGAGGCATCAGAACCAACGACTCAGGCGCCACGTTCTGCGAGCTCGCAGGGTAAGGACGTGTTGGATTAGGACGGTCATAGGGAGAATGTTCTTGATAAGTAGGGTTCTTGTGGTTTTAGTCAGCTGATGAGAAAGACGCACTGCTGCTCAAGATTGAGCGAACTTTGCTTTAATGGGCGTTGATAAAAAGTCATCAGTCATTATTAATGAAGAACTACCATGTTATTCATTGCTGGTTGCGACGCTTGTTAGGGCTTCTACCGTTGCGATATGAGGTGAATATATTAAAATATATTTACCTCGGATTGAGTAAAATATTCACCTCGGAATATACCGGATTAAAATAGTTCCCTCGGATTAAGTATTTTAGGCCGGTGGTTTAACAATTTGTAGCATTGACTTCAATATCTTGTCTACAGTGATGGCATACGACAGCTCCACATTTGTGACTATCCTCCGGATGCTCGCTGTCCGTGAGAAGAGAAGTGCTGGCAGTTATGAAGTTTCTGCATTGCTGGAACCCATGACTTGGCCCAAGACGAATTGGCCTCCACCCAGCAGAGCTTATGGATTATTAGTGCCCCAGCTTCCCTATTACATTAACAGCTGTGCAAATCACAATGTAACGTAGCTAAACTCTTTGCTTGAAATTATGTAGTACTCTACACTGTAGAGTACTAACTACTACATAAGAATGCTGTAGAGTCTACAGCATTCTCACTGTTTACTTGGAAGCAATGTCAAGTGTTTAAATTTACAGGATGTCACTATACCGTTAGAAGTTTGTTTGGCCCGTTCATGTTCGCAGTTTCTTATTCAACATTTAGTTCATTGCCTGCGTGCGATACTCATGCAAGGTGCGCTCATGCCTGCCTGCCAGGGCATATCAATTGGTGCATGTTGCACACCTGCCAAGGCCTATCAATGGATGCAAATTGCATACCTGCCAATTAAGGCATGTCAACGGGTGCGCAATGCCTGCCTGCCAAGGAATGTCAACGCGTGCGCATTGCGTCCCGTACAGGCTGCTTCTTTTACTGAGTATATTTTTCATCGAATTTTTTGTTTACATTTTCCCAAAATCGCAGTTGCGCTCTAAAACGCAATTAAATTTAGTCTTTATTCGAAAAAACTCAAGGTGAAGGACTATAAGGAAAGCTGACGGAATACATAACTAGCAAGAAATAAATGGTGATATAAGACAAATTAGAATATCTGGAATTGGGAGCAACAATTCCATATTTTACTTCACATTGGAATGATGCCATGAGGATATGATTCGTAATTCGTAAGGTTTTTTTTATAGCCTGAAGAAGAGGGTGGTTTTGATGTGGTTGGGTTTTGAGACAGATTTTACTGCAGCCTTCCCTCTTCCCTAATTAATTAATTGTCACGTCTAGTGGGGGGTTTGAGTAAAGACTATGAAGCTCCAGATGTTTATTGGGGTTGAAGAACGAAGACGCTGACCGACCAACACCTGCATCAGTGATGGCCGTTAGAATCGACATGACATGAACACAATGAAATAACAATATCAAAGAATACAAAACTCAATTAGTAACTCAGTTATGACAGTTACACTGAATCTTCCGTTATATAATAGGAATTGAATTCTAGTGAAAACTTAGCAGCTTACCCTTAGCTGAAGTTTACCCTACGGCGTCGCCTAGAAAATGACTCTAGGTCTCTAGCTAAAGCACGATTGGCAAATGGTTCTCCACTGGCGTTCTTCTAAACAAAATTCACAATATTTGCTGGTACGATTTAACATAAAATAATTTCGACATTTACTAAACTTTTTATCATTCAGGAATTACACATATGTTATTCGTGCCCAAAAATTTATGATTAACTGACTGGATATTTTTATAATGGTTTAATAATGAAATTGATTAAATGCGAAATAAGTAATCGAGATCAGGATAATTAAGTAAGATATTGCTTCAAAGGTAGATAATCACGAGTTTGAAGGTTTAATAAAATTAATTATGTTATCCATAATATTTAGCTAACGTACTCATATGAGCCAGAAATTTTCCAAAAAGATCTAAGTTAAAGTTCCCCGCCAGTTTAATCTAAAAAAATATTGATATGACTCAGTAGGGCAACATGGGGCAGCGCACCCCCCACTTTTTTTACACTAAATTTTTGATGAAGTTTTAATTGATACGAGTTGGTTCTTTGTTTTGTTTAAAGGTACAACTAATGAGGAATGCATGATGTGAATAAGACGCCTATAGAGTTATTCAATTTTTAATTAAACACTATTTTGTAAAAAGTGTCTAAATGGTCCCATTGCCCCACCCCTGGGGCAATGGGCCCATGTGCTTGGGGCAAGGCGCCCACCCTTGGTCCCTTTACCACAATTGCAAATTTTTCGTTTAAAAATAATAAAACATCACTTTACAGTTAAAAATAACAAAATGTAATAAAAAATATGACATTCATTCATTTATGACATTCATTTTAAAAATATATATCCTTGACTTGAAAAATATATCTTCGCTATAAAAAATTCGTCCTTGACATGAAAAATGTATCCTTGACTAGAAAAAATATATTTAGTTGATCAGAAAAAAACTTCGTTCCAGTTTCGTCCATAATCCTGATATTATGTGCAGAGACTTCGTACCTAAGCGTGATTTCAGCCAACACCATAAAAACTCATAAACTTTTGGCTCATTGGTGTTGACTGAAATCAACTTTTGGCAAGGCAAGAGTCAATAACTCTATAAGGAGTCATAAATACGCACAACTAGAAACTAAACAAGCTGCTTTGAGGCAGCAAATTAAAAAATCATACAATATGAAGTATAATTTGTAATTCAAAAACTAGTCATAGTTTTGAAAAGGTCATTGAGACAAATCTAATTATGTATAACACAAGACTTCACCATGGGCGCTTTGCCCCGTGACACGCGTGGGCCCGTTGCCCCACTAGGTATCATTTCAATTTATATCGTGTCAACATTTTATTTTAAAAGCTAATAGTCTAAACTTGATCTCAAAATTATCCCTATAAATGTTACTTTCAAAACATAATTCACATTAATTTCAAAAGCTTCATCTACAGTAATCAAAAACAGTTTTATTTAGCAGCAAAAAAATTTTATCTGGGCTAAAACAGTTATTCGCAAATAACTTAATAACGCAAACACTTAGCAAAACGTAAACCCGTACACTTCATCCCAGTGAAACTGTCAACCGGCAGTAGCGAACACGGACCAATATCTGCCATACTTAGCGAGAAACCCGCTATGGGCCCGCGACCCGCAGTGGGCTCGCTGCCCCATGTTATACCCTTCTCACTGCAGTGAGTGAAAGAGAGCGCATTTTCTCGTCAACGAAAACGTGAAGTCACGGACGGACAGACGGACATGGCGAGCACAATGAGAAATGAGAAAATGGGAAAATGCGCTAAAAATCGAGATTACCGGAAAAGAGGACAGCACGCGAGCCTCTCTCCTTGGCTGGACGTGGCTCCGATGATCCCGACTCCCGAGAATCGCATCTCAGTGCGACATCTGGTGTGGTCATGGGAGGTATTCCTCTGCATCTTGTGCAGAACAAAATTTCTGTCTTTCAATTATTATGCTTAAAAAGTTATGCCTGTGATTCATGAAATATTTAGCAGTGTGTACACCGTTATAGGCACGCACCATCGCGTCTTATTTTAGAGTGACTGGTTTGACGTAAAATCTTTCTCTCGTCTCGGGAGACAGAATATCTCTAATTCTGCGACCAAAATATCTCTCTAAAGGCTCATGAAAATCCACATCGGAAATATAGTGAATTTCAAAGCTATGAATTATTCAGCTGTAGAGAAGGCTAGAATTCAGAATATTCATCGTGTTAATTTTATTTTTAAGGACCGCTTTTTCCGAAGCTGATGGAGATTATTTCTTAAATACTGGATTTCAACCTTCCGCTGAAGGATACTAATCACGAATTTTTATTTTGAGCACACCTTCTAACTGATCCAAAATATGACATCATTTCCTTCATCACTAATATGGCCCCATTTATTAGTATGTATCGCAGTTCATTAAGTCACTACAGTCCTCACGTAGAAAATAATTACAAGCTAATAAAATCATCGAAATATTCAGAAATATCTTTGGAACGAATTCTCACAAATAACAGTATTCCTAGAACGAGTTACCGCCCCGTACACCTGGCACACACGTCTAGCGCAGGCAGGATATAGAAGCGCGTGTTGAATGCGCCATGTATCTCTACTGCACTCGAAGAACGCGTGACGGGAAGGTGACATGGTGCGGCGTGGTGTGTCAGGGAACGTCGGTTCGAAATTATATTTAGGGGGTAAGCAAATCAAATTCAAGGAGGCAGGTTGCATTTATAAACTACAGTTGACGTTACAGGCTTAAAGTAGACAGGATACGAGGGAATATAATTGATAATGGTACGAAGTGAATATGAATAGGTAAGTGAACTCGTGGGACAAGGTTCAGTCCTAAAGATGGCCTGCTCAAGATACAAGCCTAAATTAGTTAATATCGATGCAATTATATTGATTTGTCTTCACTTATTTCAATTTTCCAAGCATAAATGCCAACATCCATTGTTTTATCCTAAGTACACAAAGGCACAAATATTGTTCTACGCTAATAAGCTCACCTGCTCAGTGTGGGAGAATAGGGTCGACAATTTTATTCAGGCAGGATACCCAGCACTGAGCAAAGTGACGGAATTGAAGAAAAAGTCTATTACAGAAATGTGGATGGACCACATCCACATTTCATCCCTCACATGTGGACATCCCTCACAGTGTGACATGATGTGACATGCGTGTGACGTAACGTGACACCGTGTGACGTACGCCCAACCTGGTGTGACGTAAACGGAATGTCGGTTGACGTAAGATTGACGTTATATGATGAATGAATGATGTGGTGTGACATCCGCGTGACGAGGTGTGCTGTCACCTATATATGACTGGACCCTAATGAACGACATGCAATTCAATAATACCAAGTCAAAAATATTGCGATACAAAGTTGGTTGAGGAGTCGGGATGGAACAGCACAACCAGGCACCGGACTATAGAGGAATCTAAAACCAACTCGCACGTTACCTTGCAGTTTTGACGTGTACCGACTACCGAGGCGAAGTTTGGTGACCACATTCTTATTTATTCTCTAGAATAAGAACAGAGTTTAACCCACCTTGCTTACACAGGGTTTAATTTGTGCCTAACAGTTTAACAGCCCTGAATATCTGAAAATCAGTAAAACGTTTTAAAGGGAAAGCATAAATTCCGGTAGCCACATTGCGGCAACAGCATTGAGTGGGATTACTGAGTAGACAATATCACTATCGTTATGAATTGCTTCTTGCGTCTAGATCGTAAACTCATTGTAGATATTGTTACGTTTATTGACTTCATTGAGGTTTAATGATTCTTCCGATAATGAGTACTTTTCATTGTTTCGTCCACTTACATTATTTTAATTGTTGATTGTAATTCAGTTCACCTCATAACAATCGTTGATTGATACGATCGATTGACCTTTTGGTTATGATTAATTAATTGCTACAAAGGATCGACCTTATGTTTGATATAATTGATTATCGCTTCCAATCAGCGGAACGATAGCTCGCGTGTCTCATCGGCCGTCACGAAGCCTCGTCGCGCACTTAGTCGATGACAGGCAAGCTCTGCGGCAGCCTAATATTCTTCAGGTCATGTTATTCGATCTATTTTATAGCAAGTCATATTACTTTCAACTCATAATGTTCAATCCATAATTTTTCTTTTCGTCTCTTGCATTTTTTAGCATTTATCTGATCCACCTTTTCTATACCTTCTTTCGATAACGAAAAACATTTCTGCCCCTTCTCACTTTTTAAACATCTTCGCTCATATTTATCCTCTTTCTCGGCTTACCGTCATGCTTTCTTTGCAGCTTACTTTCTACCGAACTTTACTAATCCCATCGACAATCTTAGTTTTGTTTTTATTTTTGTAAGCATATTTTTTATTTGATATCCAATCAATGTTCCTTACAACCACACTTTAAATATGTCTCTGCGATCTTGCTTCTTTTAATTTTTCACATTAAACGACATAGTGTCTATTGATGAACGTCAAGTTTGAATGCATTGTGATCATCTTACTTCACTTTCGTTTTATTCCAGTCGCCGTTATTTGTATTCGTGACGCATGACCAGTTTAACTGCATATGATATTCACCACAGGTAATTTGTATAATCACTTTTTTCGTTTATTATAACATGATAACATTTCATATGAAAGTTTCGGGCAGAGACACGCCTCGCTTGTAGACATAAGAGCAGATAGAGAGAGTCAGGCACGCAAGCGCAACCTGTTGCTGGGCGTTCGCCTTATCGATTATTTCGAAATTTTGCGTCTTATTTTAATCCAGACCACAATCCTGCCAGGTTTGATTCTGATAAATTTTGTACGGTTATCGTATTATTATTATTAACGATTAATATGAACCCAGTCACATCAATAATGAGGTGATGTGACTTGATGTGTGAGATAACAATAATTTGTTCTTGGTATCTTTATTGTAGTCCTTATATTATCTCTATATGCCCGCTACAGAAGCTGCAATATATTCTCCTAACGTGGTGCTGTTGCAGGTTAAAACCGACCATGTCGAGGAAGTGAATTTATCCAACACTTCTAACACTTTAGAGACAAATTGATAACAAACTTCAGCAGCTTATTGGCCGTAATTTCTAAAACTGAAATCTATTCCTTCTATATCACCAAGAATGTCTTGTCCGTGAGAATAAATTATAAAAATGTGTGCCGATATGTAAAAACCTAATCAATTACTAGGCCTGCATTAGCTGTTGCATGTGAAATCACAATCTAGACGATACCAGTCGATGATACAAGTCATATATCATAGAGATGACGCTTATATCGCTCCCTTGCATCTTGCATGTCGTTTTCTTTGGCTCCTCAATACCCTCATGGGTCTTTGCCCATCAGAAAGGCTACAGCATAGTTCTTGAGCGCCAAACCACAGGGCAGGGTGTGCTTGTCTCACTTGAGGGATCAAGTTCATATTTTATGTACCTTTCCTGCCCTTCCCTTGGGACGCCGTCTCTTGCGATGGGGCTTCTTTTACAGGACGTGCCTTTGTTTCTGTTGTCTTCTTCTGCTTCTCCTTCATGCTTCATCTCACTTAGATGCTCCGCTTCTCCCTTTCTTTTCTCACTGAGACGCTCCACTGCTCTCTTCTTCGTCTCACAGAGGTACTCCGTTTCTTTCTCCTTATCCCTCTAAGATTTGCTGCTTCGCTTCCTCGTCTAATTAACTGAGACGCTCCACTTCTCCCTACTTCATCTCTGAGATCCCCAACCAGCGTCAGTGCGAAGGCCCCGTGAGACTCCCTGCTTCTTGGAAATGATAGATAATTTTAACTTTAATATCTTTAGGAACTTGGCGACAAGTAAAAACCTTAACCGGGTAGGTAATATCTATTTGTGATTGAGGTATGAATTATGCGTCAGTAACCTTCGCATTTATTTTGATAGTACTAACACCATTATACTAACTGCACTGCATCTGACCCTACTGCAACAACTTGTCCTGCTATCAACAGCTCAATCCTCTCGCGATAGACACTGTGTACAAGTTGTTATTGATATTGTGTTGCTCGGGTGTAATAAATCTATAATTCATTTTCTTAATGAAATCATTGTTCCAAAATAATCTATGGTTATTTTAATAACACGTGTATTTGTTTGGCTCGTTTGTTGTGTGTTGATATTATTGGGAACTCGGAGTTACGTAAGACTTTTGTATTGTGCATTGATGTTAACTTTGTAACGATTGGTAATTCTTTCTTATTTTCCAACCTCCCGATCCAATAATATATGAAATTTTCGATTTGAAGTTATCCACTATTGCAAATAAGTGATAACAAATAAAAATAAGTTACATATTGAGACGGGCAACGACTTGCAACTTGAAAATACTTCAGCATTATTTACTTCCATTATTCTCTCAATTAATATTTAATTTAGAAAACTTCGTTTTGCTCTCATACTCGTCATTCAAGCGCAATGTTAAAAAATAACGGCCGCCATAAAAATCTTCATGAAAATGAAATTGGAAACGAGTTCATGGATCAAGGATATCATGGTGACAAATATGAATGTATAGGACAACATTTACTTAATGATGAGGATGAAGAGCCTGAACGTAATGGTGAGGATGAAGAGCCTGGATGTGATAGTGAGAATGAAGAACTTGGCTCTAATGGTGAGGAAGATGAGAACCGCAAAAAAATTGATCGACTGCATCCCGTTCCCAAAATCATGCTAGCTCTTCACGGCAAGGAGCCTCATGATTGGTAGGTTTTATTCAACCATTCAGAATTGATAACTTGTAGTTTAATAATATTCAACAAATTGATAAAAATTAATAACAAATGATTATATTAATTTTTTCTCAACTTACACCTAATTGTTGTACCAAAAAATTTATTGAAATAATTATTGTTTCGCTCAAAAAGTCTGAACAAAAAATTATTACTTGCTTATATTTTGTCCAACGGTTAAACTTTATGCATTAATTAATTTACTAATAAATAAACATCATTGATGTGTATTACTTAATTCGATCAACTCGCAAAGTAGAAACTATTCATAATACATTTATGATTGAAACTAAGATTAGAAATTTTATTTGTGATCTTAAAAAATGATAGAAACATTCTTGTTTAAATGAAATCTTCGATTGAAATATTTTATTTTATTTTAATGATTAGAAAACATTGAAGGTAGCGGTATTTGTTTAACTGTGTTTCGATAATTGACAGCTGAATAAAAATTTCAATATACAAGTTTATTCCAAGTTCCATAGCTCATTAGAAAAATCTTCCAACGGTCGAAATTGGGAGCAGATATCTTACTAACTAACTATGATTTGTAACGTCGATTTAATATATTAATGACCTCATGAATAACGATAGAAATTTTTAATCGATAATGACCTAATTTGCACAATTTTGTTTACTTTTTCATTAGCGGTAAAAAAGCGAATGACGATTTTGTGGTCACCTATACACCAACTTGGCCAACATGATCGAATAAGGTCATTTGGTCACTGATATTCTCTAATTAAAATAACTTTATTGCACAATCCATCCACTATAATGTAAACAATCCACGTGCTGGCCACACTGATACTTCATCTAAGTCTCGTGTCTCAAGTCATGGGTTTGAGGCTTTCCTAACAGAGTAAAATGGACAATAATTAAACCTCTGACTAGTGAATTTGTGTAATGTATATAGAACTCAAATAACACAATACAAATAAATTATATACATTAATTAACATGTCATAATTTAATACTACACGTCAGGACCTAACACACTACACATTTCCGATCGAGCTTCACACCGCACAATACGCTAGCAAATCACACCTTCCGCATTCCGACTTTTGTAAAGTCTAAACTGAAATGGCGACGAACAACTTCAAAATAATGCTTGAATTACATGTAAAATGAAACGTAATATGATGAAATACGAGCTTTCCCCTACAACAAACCTTTCTTCTATTATTCAGTCAACGCTAGAATGAGGAAAAATCACCTTGACCAATTATTATATTATTGTAGTTGTTATAATATTTTATTAACATGAACTCAAAATTATTTCTATCTAAAATTCTTTTATTTATTTATCATGCTAATATGATATTGATTAAATTATGCACGCTATCACTCTAAGTATTAATTGAATGCAATAATCATTGCTATAATAAATAAATGCAAGTAATAGTTTAAGAACATGAAGCCAATGATTGAAATCTGAAATTTCCCCTCCCGCAGCGAGGAAGGTTCGGTGGCCGTTCAAGAGTCGCTGCACCGACTTGTGGCCGCTTTCCAGCGGCGGACAGACCGCACCAAGGCGGCCATCACTCATACCTCCTCTCCTGACTCACTGTCCTCCGATGATAGTGCGTGCCGTGACCTGATGAACTGTTCCCTTGTTGGTGTCCATGCCTTACTGAATGGACAGTTTCATTGATAGTCCTTAGCTTGACCTGATGGACAGCTCCATTGATGGTCCTTACCGTGACTTGATGGACAGCTCTCTTGATTGTCCTTACCGTGACTTGATGGACAGCTCTCTTTATGGTTCTTTCCGTGACTTTTTGGACAGTTTCATTGATGATTCTCACCATGACTTGATGGACAGCTCTCGTGATTGTCCTTACCGTCACTTGATGGACTGTTTCATTGATGAAGTTCTCTATGGTTCGAATAAACAGTTTTATTGATTTTCAATATTGATAATGGCTTGTATTTATTGTGGAATTGATTGAAATTCAGAACCTCGACGGCCATTGAATGGCCGTACTTCAGACACCCAATACATAGAAATGACTTTATCAAAAAGTTCTGGAAGCAAGTTCTTGAAGACCTGAAATGAACATAAATATATTATTCTGGAAATATAATATATGTTTCCAAAAATATATAGTGTTTTTTCAAGGGATATAAAATATCAAAATAAAACACAATTTTGCCGCAGGTTCTAACGATGATGGTGAGCATCAGCGTCGTCGTCAGCAGCGACTAGCGTCCCTAGTTCCTGACATATCGTCCCGTCCTGACACTAGTTGGCAGCAACTAGTGGGAGTTTCTGGCACTAGAGCGACACTCAAGAGGATGGCACTCAGGGCCAGGAAGTACCTGGCACCTAGTGTTGCTATCGAACCTACTAGTGAGTGCGTGACAGTAAAATATATGAATTACAATTCTTATCTTCTAAAGTTCTTATCTTCTTTTTAGTAAAAGTGTTTGCTAGACCAACTACTTTTCTAGGACCATTAGTTCTCCAAGAACCACTATAGATTGTATTAATGTACGATGCATGCATAGTACCTAAAACTATTTTGTTCAATTTAGCTACCGAGTGTTTCGAAAATGCCAGAAATCTGTTAACTGCTTAGTTATGATTAAAAGTTTTTATTATAAAAAGTAAAAAGTACTCTAGCAATGTTATTGTGTTTAAAACTGGAATGTATGGCAAGAAATGTATAAATAATGAAATGAAATATCTGGATTTACGATAAATCATTGTAATTAATTTTTTCAACTGTAGATTCCCCATGTACTCTAAAGCATTCTAATATATTCTGTTTGATTACAAGTTTCATTTCCTGCTTATACCGCAGGATATGCACTAAAACTTTTTTCTATGAGCATACCACAAATTCTGTTGCTTGTTCAAACTTCTCGCTAACAACTTTATTTCTTCTTTGAAATCTACAAACACTTTCATACTGAAGAACTTCTTTCCTACCTGAAGGTAGGATCTACCTTACGTGGCTGGCTATAGCCAATGCTTGCTACATCTACAACGCCATCACCATACCTCTACGAGCTGTCTTCTCTAACTATCAGGTATAGTATTTTATAAAATATCAAAATAAGAACACAATTTTGACGCAGGTTCTAACGATGATGGTGACAATCAGCGCCGTCGTCAGCAGCGACTAGCGTCCCTAGTTCCTGACATATAGTATTACCCTGCCTACCTTCAGTAACCTCCTACGATATTACCTGACCATTTCGGCCATATTTCACCACAACTATAACTACATATGACTACCGTAATGAATCCCCTCAACATTCAAATAGTTATTATTTTAGTGGTAACTAGCTTAGTTTACCGTCAAATAACCACCTTATCAGTAACTAACTCTGCCTTTGCATATCGTCAAATTACCACTAAGTATTTAACTACTTGAATTTACATTTGATTAACCATGCAACCTGTTCCAGCTGTCTTTCCAGCAACCTGGTAATTAGTTAAGCCGTCTTCTGATTAAATTTATTCTGTTCATAATGTTAAAAGTGGCACTTCTAATCTCATTTAGTTAGTTTTAGTGTCTATGCTGAATATTTCCAATGATTACATGAGAAATGAACACAATTAGAAATGAAAAAATATAATTTTTATAGAAAATCCATAAGTAATTAATTGCCACGATATTTCCACTAAAATTTAAGGTTTAAATTTATTTTAACACACCTAATTTCCCAAGTAAGACAAAATTATTTTTCATTCTATTTTGCAAAATAATGAACTGTTAATTCTGTATATTTAGCCAATTCGTTTGTTACACACGTTCCTACTAATAAACAAACTTCACTAGCATTACCTATATTTTGTACCTACTGCACACGATAACGTCCAAGTACAGCGACGTGTTGTTTTACCCGAGTCCCCCTCAACTTAGACGGCCTCTAACTGGCACTGGTGGCTGGCCTGCGATTGCGTATGCGACGCAATATACGCGCTCGACGTGCTGCTCTTCAACTTCCGCGTCAAGTTCATCGACAATGGCTTCTGGGTGGGCGAGCCGCGCCAGATACGCAGGCACTACGCCAGGAGCCGCAGGTTTAAGGTCAGGCACTACGCCAGGAGCCGCAGGTTTAAGGTCAGGCACTACGCCAGGAGCCGCAAGGTTTAAGGTCAGGCACCACGCCAGGAGCCGCAGGTTTATTGCCAGGCACTATACCAGGAGCCGCATTTTTAAAGTAGATTCTCGGTTTAAGGTCTGCCACTACAAAAGGAGCCGCAGTTTAAAGGTCAGGCAATATGCCAGGAGCCGCATGTTTACGGTTGGCTCCACGCCAAGAGCCGCAGGTTTAAGTTCAGGCACTACGCCACGAGGCGATGTGTCAGGTTCAGAATGGCTTCCTGTTGAATTTCATTCAACGTAATCTCATGGGCTGACTTTGCAAGCACTTGTGCAGGTCCGAATAAATGGCATAGATTTAATAAATTTGCTATAAAGTGAGTTTCAGGTAATTTTAATTACGGATAAGTTCAAGCAGATGATCAGATGCTAACGGTTTAACTCGTCCAGCTTGATCTACTCGCACTGCTGCCCTTGGATCTTCTCTACCTGGTTGTTGGTCCTGCCCCCGTCTTACGTCTACCACGTCTCATAAAGGTTCGGTTAATTAATGAGAGTGCTTAATTATCATTTATGAACAGATTCTTTAATTTACATTAATGGTAACCCCATCTAGTTTGGATCAATGTTCTTCAGATGGAATTATGACATAATTGCTTTGTTGAAGTGAAAATATTTAAGAAGCACGGCCAAGTTAAATTAAAATTCTCGCGTGTAAACCTTTATTGTTAGTGCTTGGTATACAATGAAGACTCTTCATGATTAGGAAGTTCGCTCCCTGTTTCACTAGAAAACCTAGCATCCTCCAAAAATTTTAATTCGGATGCTTGATGTCCTGACATAGTAACTACCCCACAGATCCACGTGTTCTGGGACTGCTTCAACCGTCTAGACTCCTACTTATCCTCACCGTACATCGTACGTCTGACGCGCACAGTTCTGTACATGCTGTACATGATTCATCTCAACTGCTGCGCCTACTACGGCATGTCCAAACTCGAGGGCATCGGGTCGAACGCTTGGGTCTTTTCGGGCGAGGGTCACAGGTGAGGAACCAAAGGAAAAGGTACAGATTGAAACGAAGGGTGACGGTACAGAGGGAACCGCAGGGTAAAGGTACGGAGGGAACCGCAGGGTAAAGATACAGAATGAAGCGCAGGGTATAGCTGCTTAAAGAGCAGCCGGGTATAAGTACGGAGGGAAGCGCAGGGCAAAGGTAGAGAAAGAGCCGTAAATTGAAGGGTACCGAGGGCACCTCATAGTAATTGTAGAGAGTAAAATACTGTGGAAAGCTACAGAATGCCTAAAAATTTTAGTATCATATTTACCTCTCACCGGAATGTCGGTTGATTAACAACACCTTATAAATTATGAGTTTGATTACTGTTCATTGGGTTTGTATTATAGTAGGCTGAAAATTTCCTACTACTTGCCATTAGACCGCTAAGATCAAGCATTAACAGCTCTGACATGGGCGTTACATTGCTTGTAGCAGTCTGTTAAGCTGCTGATCCCCACTGGTATACTGGTTCCAGCTACTAACACCACTAATATTTAATGGGATAAAATGTCTTCCATGTTAAATGTATTAATATTGTGATGTTAAATGTACCGTTGTGATGTAGATTACCTCCACCCATAGTTACATCAGATGCTTCTACTTCGCGACCAAGACGGTGACAAGCATCGGCAAGAACCCGCGGCCAGAGAACGACGCCGAGCACGTCTTCATGACGGCGTCTTGGCTGCTGGGGGTGTTCATCTTCGCGCTGCTCATCGGCCAGGTGAGGTGTTGGGTGTACGGGGTGTTGAGGTGGGGTGTTGAGGAGTTGGGGTGTTGAGGAGTTGGGGTGTTGTGGATTTGGGGTGTTGTGGATTTGGGGTGTTGTGGATTTGGGGTGGTGAGGTGTTGGGTGTGCTGGGTGTTGAGGTGGGTGTTGAGGAGTTGGGGTGTTGAGGAGTTGGGGTGTTGTGGATTTGGGGTGTTGTGGAGTTGGGGTGTTGTGGATTTGGGGTGGTGAGGTGTTGGGTGTGTGGGGTGTTGAGTTAGGGTGTTAAGGAGTTGGGGTGTTGAGTTAGGGTGTTGAGGAGTTGGGGTGTTGAAGAGTTGGGGTGTTGTGGAGTTGGGGTGTTGAGGAGTTGGAGTGTTGAGGAGTTGGGGTGTTGACGAGTTGGGGTGTTGACGAGTTGGGGTGTTGGGTTTCACGAGATGAGGTGTTCGAGGCCAGAAACGAAAATTCGCGACTTCATTACTGTACCTTATCATTCATTCTCTCCCCACGTCGGAAACATGACATCACGATTTGATGGCAGATTAGGTTTTTTTAATGCAAAATTATTTATTATCATTAATAGTATTAAGATTTTCATATACTGTTATTATTAAACTAACTGTTGATAAAAATTTAAGTAATTAACTACCGCCATTATTAACTATACTAAAAATATGCATCCCTAGGGGGCAGGGTGGCCCAGTGGTTACAGTTCAGAGTACCAAGATTGGAGCAGAGAGGCGCGGGTTCGATCCCAGCTCAGTGCGCCAGTTTCTGGTCAGAATCGGCGAGAAGGCCGGGCGGTTAAGCGAAGCAGAATTGTAGCAGTGAGTTGTGAGTTCGAGACCGCAACAAGCTGTGGGTGTTTTGCGATGTTAAGAATCGGCGGCAGGCCTATGGCCTAATAAACGCTGAAACCGCTATATTAATTATCGTTTTAATCTTGACCTCAGATCCGCGACATCATGGCTACGGCGACGCGGGCCCAGACGGAGTACCGCGCCGTGATGGACGCCACGCAGAACTACCTTCACAAGCTCAACCTGCCTGTGGCCCTGCAGGCACGCATCAAGCTGTGGTTCACCTACACGTGGCACAGCCAGAAGACATTGAGTCAGTCGCCGCCTGCAGTTTATTTTGAAATTACGTTTTTTTCCTAATTTTTTTGGCAATATCTTGAAATATTTAAAATTTAGAAGCATTTCAGTCATTTTAAATAGTACACTAGTTTTACATTTAGCCATTTCATTATAAATAATGTTTTTTGGTAATTTTTCAAAAAGAAAAGACTAAAACCACGACGGTACCTGCCTGAATAAAGGTCTCTTTTGTGATACTTAAATTAATTGCGATCAAACTCATAACTGGCCTCGAACAATTTTAATTTCAGTCCTTATATCTTGATCCCCATCTCACCTCAGATGATAAAGTCGAGATAATTCCGCGAATACGTATGAAATAAATTACTCAACTATTATTCTACTTCTTAACATCTGCACCAAAATCAGACATTTTTTTAACTCCTTTATCTTCACTGAAACCTTCGAATAACACGACAATCACTCATTACGGTCTACATTATCATCAAATTCCATCCATGAAATTTGCAGTGAACTCAATTATTCATTTTTGAATCACCGGTACCCACCAGACGAGAACGACGCGCTGGGCTACCTGCCGAAGAAGATGCGCACCGACGTGGCCCTAAGCGTGCACATCAGCACCCTGGCGAAGGTGCAGCTCTTCCAGGACTGCGACAAGGCGTTACTGCGCGACCTGGTGCTTAAACTGCAGCCGGTCATCTACCTGCCAGGGGACTTGGTGTGCAAGAAGGTGGGTCTGGTGCAGCTATTCGTCTACCTACCTACCAAGGGACGTGGTGTGAGTCGTCTACCTACCAGGGGACTTGGTGTGCAAGAAGTTGGGTCTTGTGCTGCAGCCAGTCATCTACCTGCCAGGGGACTTGGTGTGCAAGAAGGTGAGTCTTGTGCTGCAGACAGTCATCTACCTACCAGGGGACTTGATGTGCAAGAAGGTGGGTCTGGTGCTGCAGCCAGTCGTCTACCTACCAGGGGACTTGGTATGCAAGAAGGTGGGTATGGTGCTGCAGCCAGTAGTCTACCTACCAGGGGGCTTGGTGTGCAAGAAGGTAGATCTGGTGCTGCAGCCAGTAGTCTACCTACCAGGGGGCTTGATGTGCAAGAAGGTGGGTCTGGTGCTGCAGCCAGTCATCTACCTAGCAAGGGACTTGGTGTGCAAGAAGGTGGGCCTGGTGCTGCAGATAGTTTTCTTCCTGCCGGGTGACGTAGGTATCGGACTTATCCCCCGCAGGGCGAGGTGGGCAAGGAAAGGTGCACCATACTTTTCCCCGCAAGGCGAGGTGGGTAAAGAGCTAGATGTACATAGTACTTATCTCTTACAGGGCGAGGTGGGCAAGGAGAGGTACACCATAATTTTACCCCACAAGTTATGGTTGGCAGGGAGATGTTCTCAGTACTTATCCCCCACGGAGCGAGATGCTCAAGGAGATGCACTCAGTACTTGTCCCACACAGGGCGAGGAGGCAAAGTAGATGTACATCGTACATATACCCCAAAGGAGCAAGATGGGCAGAGAAATGCAAGCCTTACCTATCCTTCCCAAGGGAGGGGGAGCAATGAGATGTCCACGTACTTATCCTCCACAGGGCGAGGTGGGCGAGGAGATGTACATAGTACCTAAGAGATGTACATCGTATACAGGGCGAGGTGGGCAAGGAGATGTAATCTTAACCTATCACTCCCTGGGGGGAAAAAGGAGATGTGCATCGTACTTATCCCCCACAGGGCGAGGTGGGCAAGGAGATGTACATCGTGCAGAGCGGTCAAGTGCAGGTGGTTGGAGGACCCGACAACGCGACGGTGTTCGCCACGCTGGGCGAGGGCTGCGTCTTCGGGGAGGTGTCGCTGCTGGCCGTGGGGGGCGGCAACCGCAGGACTGCCGACGTCGTGTCAGATATGTTTCTTTCATGCTAGCATTAAACTGTAGTCTCAATAATACGTAGCACTTTTATTATTCAATTTATTTGTTTTGATGCTAAGATTAGAGATAGTTATGCCCCTAATTGCGTTCTTGTTATGATTATTAAGGCCCTATGATGGATGGAGAGAGGTTGGGCCTACTGTTCGAATGTATCTTCTTTTCTGTAGTTTTTCTCTTCGGTTTCTCTTCTCAACGGGAACTTTATTTGCTCGAATAGCCAGGTTTATCGATATAAATAACCTACGTAAACAATTATATTGATTGTAAATATAACATAAACGTAAACAATTCATGATTTTCAGTGACTTACTTCGTGTAAATTTGAATTTGCTCGCATATGATACCTCACGAAAAATGAATGCAGGTAACTAAGGCAATTTTTGCTCATGCGGTAAGTTTCTGAAAAATATTTATAGATGTCATGAAGTTCACCACTAAATTATTGACTTATGAGCATACCAAAGTTTATTACTTGAACGCGTAGCTCGATTATCAATAATTTTTTTTGCATAGCCTAACATGTGTATTGAAAATAATGACTATAGGTGGACTCAATACAGCTGAAATTTAATGTATATTTAGAATATCTCTTAATCTAGAAAAAATCTTTAAAATATAATAAACCAAATTTACAACGCGATTTCGGTTGCAGGTCGCGCGGCTTCTCTAACCTGTTCGTGCTGAGCAAAGCTGATCTACACGAAACTATCAGGGACTATCCCGAGGCTCAAGAAATTCTGCGTAAAAAAGCCAGGTTTATTTTCGAATTTTGCTTTATTTTTTGTGCAGTACCTATCTCAAGATTAACTAAGTTTCATTTGTGATTTCAATTCAGCGCTTATGCTTCGCCAATTACTTTTTTCCGATTGATTAATCACTTAATGTGTATTATTACAATTTTGAATATCAAAATGACTATATCCTGTCTACATCCTGAGAATTCGTTATGTAGTAGGCATTTTTTTACTTTCGCGTAAATCATTTATTGTGATATCGTTTTAATTTAGTTTATAGCTTTTTATGCACGATCGTACGCAAGGCGCATTGCACATATCTCTCTCCTTTTTAATTCAAAAATAATCTATATTCAATGCATTCTATCATTTTACTCGTTTCGTAAAAGAAAAATCACTGACAGAAAAAATAAATTCAGTAATGGGATACGATTAGCAGTTGATTCATAAATGCAATACTTCACCAACTTCTACAAATTCTACAGGTAATATTTATCAAAAAGATTTACTTTTTCATTCATAAATATTTTCAAATTCTGGTTGACTTGTATGCAATAGAAAGTTTTTTTCTTTGAGTTTTTTAGGGCTGAACTTTTTATTTGTGTACTAGCTTTTGAAAATTTATGCTAGCGCAAAATTATCTTTCAAATCTCATTTTTATACCTAGCTTTTGTAGATGCTTCCGCTACTTAGCAATAATATTCGCAGATTATTTGTGCCTTGCTTCACTGCCATGCTAAGAACATTGAAGAATAATTCGCTTTTAAAATACCAATATGTCTCTCAATTTTTGCTTATAAACACAGAACATCCATTAATTTTTTACTTCTGACAAGTGCTGCCTATGTTTAACACTTCAAATTATCATAAGATCCTTTAATCTATTGTACGCCTTGCATCGGTCATAAAAAAAACATTAAGATTACCATTGCAGCAAAACCCAGCCGAACAAAAGCTAAAGTGAAATAATATCATTATATTTTGAGACGCAGCACTGATATTATCATCGAAACTATGGCTTTGTTATACGAAATCTCAAATATAAAATATTTCTCACAGGAATTTATGTTAAGTGCAAAGCGCCTCTCAGTTAAATTTATTTCAATGAATGATTTGTAACCAAGTTTACCCCAACTATTTGAGGTGCTCCACTTTTCCAAAGTCTTTCTGTGTTTCTATGACTTACAATTTCAGCATAAATCTAACTTGAGCATACCACAATACCACAATTCACAATATTTCACGTACGTTCAAGGTAGAGTTAGTAAAGTCTTTAATGAACATTCGATAATTTGAAATCTTTCCTGTTTTAGTCGCTTCTCCTATGCGTTCTTTCGCTAAACCCATCCTTTTTTTAATGTTTAGTATGAAGAACTTGTTGCTTCGCTGCAGCTTCTCAAAACCCTTAATCAAGGACCGATCTAAATTTATGCCTCTTCCAACCTATGAATGTTTCAAATGAGATTAGTTCCTCTTTACATAGAAAACACTTCAAAACATAGAGTAGATATTATAAATCATAATATTCCATGACATTAATATTAAAGAAAATCATATTAAAATATCACCTTCAAAATCAAATGGAAAAACTTCGTCTAGCAGATACATCAATTTTAAGTTTATTGCTGGCAATAGTTTGACTTAAATTTTGTTTGCGCGACTTTTCTGGCCTGGTCTGATTAAGGGTTAAATACAGGCTAACCAAATAATCGCTATGCTTGTGCTTATATATCCCTCTACTTGCAGTAAACTATCAGATGCGACCGCTTCTCACTCAGCACGCATGTAAGTAGCTATTCTTTTTTGACAGTTATTTTATTTGTGAAGATTTTCGCCATAAAAATTTTTTATCTCGCCATTCAAAATACTTTACATCAAGCAGTTAAGTTGAATCAGTTCTGATAGTTATCGAATGCCAGGATTCTTGATATTTTATCGACGATTAGTAATGATTCTTAGCAATTGCATGATTTTAGTATCAATGCAACGACCACGACCGATGGCAGTTTAAGGGGATCGACCTAGCATTTTGAAAACTTCTACAGTTATTATCCGATTGTCATGAAACTTCACATCCATACGTAAAATGTAAAAAGAAAAACATTTTGCTTCTATGTATTTTTCGAAAAAATTGATAGAAAACGTGAAATTCATAGAAAACGGCTAAAAAGGGGTACTTCAGAAAATCTATCTCCTCCCACAAATATCATCCTACAACATCGAGACACGTATCAGTCGATTCGTAAAGACCATATCTATCGATGTAGAAACTATATTCAAAGATTTCAGCAGCTAATTACTTTATATCCAATTAGTTAAAGAACTCTCTCACCCGCTTCCCTTTAAAGAGACGTCATGAACGTAAATATTCATGTAGAGAGATGGCAGTGGTACCATTGGAAAGAGCAGAATTCCAGCTTTCAGATGAGCCCAAAAACCGAAAAACGCCAAAATTGAAAATTTTAGCTAGGTCGATCCCCTTAAATACAGGAGGAATGGATGTTAACTTCTTTTCCAATGAATAAGCATTTAAATAGTGGATATGAAAATAAAATAGAATGAATATTCATCCTATTTAACCTAAATTTTTATTTGAGCACTACCTTCCTCCCCTGTAGGATGGAAGTAGGGTGCGGCGGTTGTCCTTTGGTAAGCCCAGCTACGGCCAGATACCGCTGACGCGGTGCTATAATTTGCGAGTTGGCTGACATTATAAGAGGATGAAATCTCTATACCTCGCTTCTACACAATATTCGTAGATGAAATACTGCGAGTATAAAATTATTTTTCTTTGTATTACAGCCACAAGTACCGTGCATAAAAAAATTATAGTTATTTTGTTGATAGCAAGCCACCAGCAGCATGATTTCAACAGCCTCTTTACGACCTCTTGGCTAATTGAATATCCATTAGAGGCTCTGGGTCTTCAAAAGTTATCCGCAGACTTGTATAAATAAATAAAATGCTAGGATTTGAATTCAATTATTCTCTCAACTAAACAGACAGCCGAATGCGTCTGTCTGTTTGGCTCAAGGATTCGAGAACTTGTAGATGGAGAGAGAAAAGCTTCACCGTCTCCATTGTTAAATTCACCTGCCCGTGCTTTTCCTAACAATTTTACCCGTTTAGCTTATTATTATTTATTTTTAGACTCTTCGACTACCAGACTTTTTATGTTAGTGAGTGACTTCTCCAAGTATTGAACGATATTATTTAATTATTATTAGTACTTATGTTTTCAGTCTGCTTATATCGCAAGTTCACGAGGAATTTAAAAACAAATAAACCGCCAAACAATTTCACCATATCGATATTGAAAACGTTTCGGAATCCAGCTCCGAAGCGAAACTGGACTCCGATATCGTCGATCTGATGATGGAGCTAAACTCCGAAACGTTTTCAATGCCAATATGGTGAATTTGTTTGATGTTTTATATGCTTTTAAATTCCTTATAATTATTATATCCCTCGCGACCATGGCCAGGCGGCTGCTGAAGCAGACGCTGGGCGACGTGCGGCGGAGAGTCCAACCCGAGGACGACGTGGTCATCAGAGAGCGCCAGGAGACGCCCAAGCTGATGAGGGCTGTACTGCAGGTGACATATGAGGGCTTCAGGTTACAAATGAGGGCTGCAGGTGACATATGAGGGCTGCAGGTGACATATGAGGGCTGCAGGTGACATATGAGGGCTGCAGGTGACATATGAGGGCTGCAGGTGACATATGAGGGCTGCAGGTGACATATGAGGGCTGCAGGTGACATATGAGGGCTGCAGGTGACATATGAGGGCTGCAGGTGACATATGAGGGCTGCAGGTGACATATGAGGGCTGCAGGTGACATATGAGGGCTGCAGGTGATCGATGTAGTAAGGATTCTTTATGTATCAGTTGAGCAAAGTTTGCAATGCATAATCCATAAACACATAGGGCATATTACAATAGGAAGTAATTAAATGCTGGCACCACAATCCGTAGAGTTTGTCAGTCGCTGACGCGTGCTGCAGTTATTACGATACCATCTGTCTCGTGGTTGTAGAGATTGTCGAGTGCAAATATCAGTGAATATTACCTCATCGTTATTATATGAATTGTATGTAAGTAAATATTTAATGTAATAAAATATTGAAAATAATTCACGCAGTTTAATTAGGTTTTAATGACAGGTAATCGATTTGATTTGAACTATAGAAACAAGGGAATGAGGTCAAAATGTACTGAATCTGATTAGTCAAATTAAACCAATGTGCATATTAGTTTCATGTTGTTTTAATTCAGTTTTAATTTCAAATTAAGGTTCATCGAGAGGATTATAAATTTATATTTGCATGTCTCATTTCTATCATGATAATTTCGTCATTAAATTATTGGATTTAAAAATTAGGTAAGCCTGGTCACCGATAACTTTTTATAAAAAACTGATTACTTCACTTATATTATTTTATGAGCATTATTGTTAAATCGAAAATCATATCATTCATAATTCTATATCAATCATATCAAACCTAATTCTATATATCAATCATATCAGACATAATTCCATATCAATGATATCAATCATAATTCCATAGCAATCATGTCAATTATAATTCCATAACAATCATATCAATCGAAACTTTTATTGTCTTCAAACTCATCACACATATACCGTTATCAATGTAGATGAAAGTTTTGAACTGAAAATATTTCCATACTCGTGAATTATATAAATTTAACAAAAATGTTATCAATATTTGCAGGTGGTGCGGCAGGATTCGTTCACAGCTTCGGTATTACGGAGGTCGTCCCGCTCTCTCTCCCCACTCCCCTTGAACGCTTCCCCTTGTCCCCTACACTCTTCCCACGCGAGTGTCTCTTCTTTGGGGACTCAATCCCCACAATCCGTACACTCCCTGCAATCCCCACAGTCCGTACACTCCCTGCAATCCCTCTCACCTGCTAAGCCAAACCCGGCGCCAACAAACGCCAGTGCTACGCAATATGGAAAGTTAGTGCCAGTTCTAATTAGTTGGAAATACGATAATAACCTAGGGTTATACGATACGATAATAAAAATTATTATCGAAATACCATAGTAAAAATTATTATCGAAATACGATAATAAAAATTATTATATAAATACGATAATAAAAATTATTACAATACTTCTCTTTAACTTCACTTCTTGTTTGCCAGCTACAAATCTTATAATCGATATTTAACACACTTCTACATGTCTAATCGACCTGAAATTTCGCATGCTTGCGTGGAGTCGGAGACAATGCTTGAATCAATTGACAGAATAAATAATTTTGAAATTAAAAAAATATAGATATTTTAATATGAGTAAAAATAGAAATTCATTGTACGTTAGTATTATCGGAGACACTGGCCTCTTTAGAAGTGTTTAAAAAGCAATTTTTAACTGCATATTATTATTTGGTTATTAATATTATTGGTAAGTTGCCTGTAGCAAAAATCCGTACTTGTAAATAAAACCTATAACCATACAGAGCGTTTGGTGAGCTGAATAATGCAACGTTTGCCTGAAATGCGCACAACCTGATAGGATGAATAATTTGGTATATACGATAATAACTTATTTGATTATTTATACTAAGTTATTATTAGGTTCTTATTATTAGGTTATTATTATTATAGGTGGGTTGCGTGTAACCAACATCCGTACATGTAAATAAAACCTAAAACCATGCTTAGCATACGCAGCGTTTGGTGAGCTCAATAATGAACTTGATAGGATGAATGATTCAGCGTATACTTTACTTCCCTCCCCCCCAGACTCTTGGGGGTTCCTTGCTTGGGGTGTGGGGAGGACGAGAAGAGGTTGTCACTAATTGGTAACTTCCCTGCCCGGGGTGAGTGGTCAATTAATTGGCTATTTTCGCCAATTGGTTTCGCCTCCAGTATGTCGTCTTTGTTCGCAATCGCACTTTATAACTTTTTATTTGTCCTTCTAAATTATTATCGTTTAGAATGTTATTTTTATTTGAAATAAATTTGCAGCCGAAGCCGGGATTAAAATACAAATTTATTGGATACCTGACAGCCAATTTATCGTGACGATTATTTCTTTGTTTTTTTAATACAAATATTTTAGGTGGATTAGATAGCTTGATTTCATTACCATATTTATTAAATCACAATAATTTTAATGAGTATCTCAAGATGTTCTGGTACGTGAATGTAATTGGTTATTATTTTGGACTATTATTATTATTAACTCCATAATTAAATTTATGTATTAAATTAATTACTAATCAATTTAATAGCGCGGGAGTCACTGAAATTACCAAAAAATTTGAATGGCAGATTTTATATTGAATACTGATCTAATGTCAAGTAAATTTTAATTCCTAGTTCAATTTTAAACGAATATTTGCAGGAGACAGCGTGACCAAAGAGCAGCCGCCTGACATGCAGGATGACGGGCAGGCGAGTCTCCCGTGAACCTAATCGAATCAAACTTGTGATTAACAGCTTTAGCTACATGAATTTCATTGAAATTTTTATTTTAACTTAATATTATATTGATATAACCAAGAAGATTTGGTTGGTCCCGCTTCTGGCTTTCCATATCGTGAATTTTCGAAAACGAGCGGCCAGCATAACAGTAACTATATTTCATTTACAGGGTTCTTTTGATGACGCGTTCCTGCCAGACGGTTCGCAGCATCACAACACGACCGCACCCACTAGCTCGTTGGAGGAAATTAACACTGACCAAAATGAACATCAACCTCTCAGCAAAAATCTACACGTCGATCTAGATTTTCAAAGCAAAATCCAAGCTCAAGAAGGAGGCGTATCACTTCTACCTCAAAACTTGCGTGCTTTAGGTCGTGGTTCTTATTTCGACACCCCAACCACCTCCACTAACTCATTCGGGAATGACACCGAGACTACCAGTGGTCGTGGTGTCACTGGATGTTTTGTGATCGATGTTGACGGATCCAACAATAACCATTTCGAAGATCACCCGCACATGTGTTTATTTTCCAAAGAAACTGATCTAATGAACGGGTCGCCGGAATCCTTTTCGTCCGTAGTTTTTGGGAGCCTGCCTAACCCCAAAGTGAAACCCAAAAGCTATCACAAGTAACCAGCAAATCACAACATGCATATGGGTTATGAAAGGCTGCTTTATTTTCCTATCATTTCCTGTTCTTGATTTACATATATATCATTTTACGTTCGTCTTTTTTAATGTTAAAAAGGATTTCAGAGCGGAGGTATTCTTTTATAAAACATGTCAAAAAACGTCTGGATTTGTCGAGTGCATTTTACCACATTGTTTTTCATAAACTTTAAATAATATTATGCCTCCTTTAGATTCGAATTTATAGTTTCATTTGTTCTATTTTTAGATTTTACGCCGTTTTCCCATTTGCCCCCCAAATGGATAAAAATAGTTGAGGTAGCTTATCCAAGAAGATACGAAATTTGCATCCAATCAAAGTGTCTGAGAAAACATCCAAGATGAAACACTGAAAGCGTTTGAGGTGGCATGCAAAATTAGCACATTTCAGGGTTCTGATGTGACACGAAGATGAAGATACTTGACGCGTATGTTGAAGCACGAACGCTGAAGACACTTGAGGTGACTGAGGAAGTATAAACAATGAGGGCACTTGACTCATTTGATGAGGTATCTCCATGTATACCCCAACCAAATATACAAGATGCAGAGATCAACAAGATGCAAGAATTTTGATATGCCTCTCGAATAGACTATATATGGTACGTGCCTTAGCTAAAATCACTCACTAATCGGGCATTAAGCATTAAATATATGCACTTTAATTTGACAAGAACTGACGCGTTCCATAGAACATGGACAACGTTTCGAGTTATTCCATGTAATATTAGACTAAATGCCTTAATGGACGCTGCTGCTCGACTCGTGTGCAATAAACAAAAATTCGACGATGTGAAGCCGATATTGCGCGATCTTCACTGGCTGAGCATTCAGCAGCGCACGCAGTTCAAGGTCGCTGTTCTGACGTTCTGATGCCTTCACGATCTGGCGCCTCCTTATCTCACGGAAGGTCTGCAGCGTGTGTCGGATCTTCCTTATTGAAGACGATGGCGCTCGTCATCAACAGCGGACCTCGTTGTACCATCTACACGTCTATGTGCCGTCGGCGGCAGAGCGTCCCCGGCCGTCGCCGCCAGAACCTGGAACAGTATGCCAGCTTCCGTAACTTCGGCTCCTTCGTTGCAGGTGTTCCGTTGACGCCTAAAGACGGAACTATTTCGTAGAGCCTATGAATCAAGTGCTTAGTAATTTTATCCGTTCCCATACTTTCTCGTGTCTATTTATTTTTCACCTGATTTTAATCATACGTGTGACGTGCCCATGAAGTTCCTTTACATCTGACGCCACCATAAATGCTTCGTATAATAATAAAAAGTATTACAATATCATTCTTTATGTATGACAATGTAATAAACTTCTTCACAAACAATTCAACAAGTTTTCCTTGAAAATACTCCGAAAATTCAGTATAATATGCTTCAAGATAATTACACTGGTTACAAGCGAACTATTATCTCCCAAATATATACTTTTACTCGTCTTCCGTTTTTGCTCTTTTCTGTCTCGTCAGTGAAAAAGGACTGTTAACTTGTGAACGATCATCCGTTTGATCAGTTGATAAGTGCCTACCTCAAACTCACTACTTCGGTCTGTAGCCTAGAACTATCCAGTATCCACCCTTAAATTGATCTAAACTATTGCTACAATCCAGGATCTCATCATCATAATAGTCTTTAGAGAGGTTATGGACTTCAAGATAGTTCAATGAATATTTCATTTTCATTGCTGGCTGTATATGGCTTAAAATCTCAGTCAGTTCGTGGAAGCCGCAAAATTCAGGAATCCTGGAAGAGGATTTTTGTACTCGAGTCCTCGTAGCGGTACCATATACCACCACTTTATATGGTATGCTTCAAATTGCAAGTGTTATTTTAGTGGATTATCTCGGTTAACTACATAAAGCTTCATTTATACACATCTGTTACATTACATTTTGCCAGAAAAATTGATAATAATTATACCTAACTAGTGTTTGCTTTGTTTTACCATCATCTAGAACAATTTTAAGGTAGACCTTTTTTCTACTACATTTAGAAAAACCGTCACTGCCACAGCGCTGTGTTAGCGCTGATCTTGAAATCTGTCAATGAGTGAAGCTTGGACTTGGTACGTAGAAGCCTTGAAAGCATTTCAAGCGAGTTTTCACGCAGCGGGGGGAATGGGTAAAAGTACTTCTCATAGTATTCTCATGGTTCATTGCGATATATTTTGAGAGTGAAAGGATAACTTTTAAAATTGGAACATCATTTAAAAGAATTTTAAAATTTGTTACCACTGCAGTCTGCATCTGACATGTGATGCTGTTAAGCAGCATGGTTGAACGAGTATATATAGTTCAACTATGGTTAAGCAGCCTCTAGAAAGGAAGGACCGAATCGACACTTCTCCGGACTCAATGTTATTTTGCAATATTCTGATTTGAGCAGTATTTTTGATCATCCAACATTGGAGGTTAGGGCAATATTTTGCCTGATTTTCAAAATCTTCCAATGATATTGAGGAAAGATGGTGTTCTCTAATTCCTCTTGTATTTTTATAATAATAATAATAATAATAATGATAACAGCGGTTTCAGCGTTTAGTAAGCTGTAGGCCTGTCGCCAATTCTTAACATCGCAGAACATTCACAGCTTGTTGTAGTCTCGAACTCGCAACTCACTGCTACAGTTCTGCTGTGCTTAACCGCCCGGCCTCCTCGCCGATTCTGACCAGAAACTGGCGCACAGAGCTGGGTTCGAACTCGCGCCTCTCTGCTCAAATCTTGGTACTACAAAGTACAAAGTATTTTACACAGCCCTCAACAAAGTATGAGTCTGAAGGCTGGTCTATATTAAATAACTACGTTGGAATAATTTTTTGTAGCAGCAGTAAATTTTTTTAAGGTGAAGTGAACTCTAAAGTTTTCGTAAAATTTCTCCTAAGTTGTTTATATGTTTCAGTCAGCGCGGAAGGTTTCTTTTCGAGTCTTGAATCTGTGAGCGGGCAGCGGATTTTGAAATTGTGCGTTTCGGTTGAGAATTTTACCGAAGACTGTTGTTGCTCTTGTTTACATTTCAGAAAAGGTTTTTACTTTTTTGCATTTAATTTTTTTGATACTAGTTAATGGAGCGATAATTTTCATAATAAGGCTAAATTTAGGTATGACTATGGTCTATGGGGCCAGTATGGGCTATGGGAATTAAGAACTTGGTCACCCACTCACAGTGACTCACCTGACTCTCGGTGAATCACCCTTCTGACTTCTCATCTGTTCTGTAGTCTCTACACCGTCGCACGCGCACCAAAAAGCCACCAATGATCCAATCATCACAAATAAATGAGTAATGACCAGTAAAACATTTATAGTTATTGGATACTAGGACCAGCATTATCAAAATTAGGATGCGAGATAAAATCTTGAAGCTTACTAGCAAATTAAAAACAAACTGATGGCTAAAAGTAAATCAGTAAAGTGACTATAAAGTCTCTTGGAAGTTGGACTTGAGTCTTGACTTATTATTTATAGTACAAATAGCCTAGGATCACGATGCTGGAAAAAATGCTAGGTAGCACCGTAGCCAATCAACCAATTGTTAGTGACAGCTCACAGCAGGCTAGGCTAGCAGCAACTGCAGCATTTTCAGATTTAGAGAGTACCTATAGATATTTTCATCACTAGTGCAGCAGAGCAAAATGTATAATATCAGGCATATTATAGAAGAAATGCATTTGCTAATGATTTTACATGTGGATTTTTAATAATAACATAGGTACCGTACTAAATAAAATAAATATACCTCCTGAAGACCTGAACTCAGTTTTCAAAACTAAAACTAGCAAACTAGGTAGGTATGCCTGGTACGCCTACGGTAACTACTAACTTGGTAAGGTACCTTAGTCACCGTACCGTACCATCCTACCCTACCTAGGCAATCACGGCTGACGGCAGCATGGCTCATGCAATGCTGCAATTCCAGGCTATTATTATTTTCCAGCTTTCCTGCCATTTCTAGAGATCAGAACCATGAGATTTTTGCCAGAAGAATTACCTCCTATATCTAATTCAGTAATTGTTAACAAAAGTACACAATCAGGCCGGATGATTCTAAACATATTAAAAATTTGTCACATTGGAGCTGCGAGATTTCAGAAACAATAAGGAAAATTTCAATCCTGACTGCTCTGTTAAACTAAGCAAAATATCTCTAAACTGAAAAATAGTGGCATAAAGTTCAACATTTTTATTATCTATGTAGCTTGAAGCAAGTTAAGAAATCATACAATTACTACCTCAGAAAAATACCTGAAAAAGTGTGAAACTGTGAAAAGTGAGATCAAACATTTTTCATTCATAACTTCTTACCATGAAACATTTCATAAACAAGTTTAGGCTCATTTCAAAGCTCTTTGCAAGGGCTATCACATGGCTTCTCCAAAAAATTCCATATGCTATTCATAATGTGCCAAAAGCAAAAAAGAGTGTCCCCATGGGCCCCGTTGAACGGGGCTACTCGGCACACTTGGAATAAAACTTCTTTTTAAAACGTTTGAAGCATGCAGAGTGTACTCATCCATTACTAACAGTACTCTGAAGTCCTCCTCTTTTATTGTAGATGATGTAGAGGTAGAATAAATGACATTTTCTGTGATTTTTACTTGTTTTTCCTTTATTGATATGTTACCGTATACCTACATTAATTACTGTATTATTGATGCAATATTACCGTATCCATGAACATGCCATTGAGCATTTACAACAACCTTGTCCACTGCAAGCTTCATATCAGCAGCCCTATAGCATTTTTTCTGTATCTGTAAGCTTACAGGACAGCTTGTAATTTCACACCATTTTAATTGGGTTAAGTGAATTTACTATAAAAAAAAGATCATGAAAAACATACCTGAAACAGAAAGGAATGTTTTAGTGACAACCATCATATGTTTTGGAGAAATAAATCATAGTTTAGGTTAATTACTTTTCATTCTATGATGCCTAGTGCGCAATTCTATATATGACATTGTATGAACAATTTAGTGATGACTGATGATGCACTAATTTTTCGATAAGTGAAATTTTTTTCGCTGAGTGAGGTACCGTAAAATGGGGTAACTTTGACCACTTTTTTTTTTTCTTAATGATGCCATTTTTTTACTAGATAAGTTAAACTTAAATTGAAACGTGCAAAATACAGGTCTATACTCTAGCTTTACTCACCATAAATTGCTGGCTCCTGCCTCTCATAGTTTTGATGTTTCTATTGTGTTACGTAGCCTCAGTATTAGGCCTTTGATGGCCATTGACAAAATTTTTCTATGTCAAATCGTTTTTGAGTTTTGGGGTTTTTTGTTGAAAAAACGAAAAGTGGTCAAAGTTACCCCGCCGGTCAAAGTAACCCCAGTTTACGGTACGTAAATGTAATCAATATTCTTTGTTATTAATAAATTTTTTTCGTAACTGGAGCCTTTGCTAACTGAGGTTCTACTGTAAATGCGTTTTTGGGAGTGTCCTGAATAGCCCCTGGGGGGTGTCCCAAGTAGCTATGCCGTGCGGAAACGATGCCATTTTTTTTTTTTTTTTTTGAATGAGAAGGCAAAATATGTCAATTACATTTTCAAGCCAACACCTGGGTGCAACTTTTATGTAAGTAAAATTTTTTAATACGGTGAATATTTTTTTTACTACAGACCTTAGCAGAAGTAACTTTTCAAAATATCATTTTTCACCATTTTATTCAGGAATTTTTCAAAGCTAGTAAATGTAGTATTTTTGATCTTCCTTTATACTACATAGATATGAAAAATGTTGACGTTTATGCCACTTTATTTAGTTTTGCAATATTCCAATTGGTTTTGCTACTAAAACAGTTTTACGCCTTGTCGGAGGACTGTCCCGAGTTACCTACTCCGCCCGTCCCAAGTAGCCCCAGTTGACGGTATAGTGAAATCACTTGACTCTATTAAAATTGTGCAAAATTACAAACCATCCTGTAAGCTTACAGATACAGAAGAAATGCTACATGGCTGCTGATATGAAGCTTGCAGTGGACAAGGTCATTATCAATGCTCAATGGCATGTTCATGGATACAGTAACTGAGTAATATCACATTAATATGTACGGTAATGTATGGATAAGGTATCATTATGTCAATGAAGAAAAAACAAGTAAAAATCACAGAAAATTTCATTTATTCTACATTTACATCGTCTACAATGGAAGAGGACTTCAGAGTACTGTTGGTAATAGAGGAGTACACTCTGCATGCTTCAAATGTTTAAAATTGAGTTTTATTTCAAGTGTCCCTTTTTACCCCATTTCCGGATTAATTCAGTTGCCTTTTATATTGCGTCTAGCACCTTACAAATAGCATATGGAATTTCCTTGGAAATGCCATACGATAGCCCTTGCAAAGACCTTTAAAATGAGCGTAAACTTGTTTATGAATTGTTTCATGGTAAGAAGTTATTAACAAAAAATGCTCATAACCGTCCCTTTTTACCCCGTTTGATGGTAACATCATATTAATAAAGGAACAACAAGTAAAAATCACAGAAAATGTCATTTATTCTACATCTACAAAGGAAGAAGAGGTCTTCAGAGTACTGTTAGTAATGGATGAGTACACTCTGCATGCTTCAAACGTTTCAAAATTAATTAACTTTTATTTAAAGTGTCCCGGATTACCTCATTCCCTGGTATAATTTGGGATGTTTTTATTTTGCATCTGGCACCTTGCAAATAGTATATGGAATTTTCTGGAGATGCCATATGATAGCTTTTTCAAAGAGATTTAAAATGTGCCCAAACTTGTTTATAAAATGTTTCATGGCAAGAAGTTTTTAACAAAAAATCTCAAACACATCCCTTATTACCCTGGTTGACAGTATGGACATTATTTGACATGATAAATACTTTGCCTACTACTATATTAATAAAAACAATGATAAATCAAGCCTTTTGTAATCATTTTCAAAATCTTTTCACTTACAGAACCTATATTGACTGAGTCATCAATTAATTATTGTATCAATAGTGCTGATCAGATATTATCTATCTTTGTGTTGGTGATTCCTTCAGTATTGTAAGACAAGCTTTTATGGCTGCTCTACCAAGCGGTGGCAGCCCCAGTGCTGCCAACAAATGCCTTTACTCAGCACTGGTGTCACTGGGTCTTGATATAAAAACTATAGAGTCATCCGAGGGCTTCATCCTAACGGCTGTGAGTTCCTTGTACAATACCGTAGTGTCTGCTCCAATTAGTATTAATTGTTTATATTTTATTACTGACATTGTTTGTCTCTGGCATTATTTATTGTTGGCTTCAAGAAAAATAAATGCTTTTTATTTAGACACTGTAATTTTGGCAGTTTTCATTCTACATTTCTACACTTTATCATAAGATGTTGGTAAATGAATAAAATGCATCAATAATACATAAATATTGTCCAGACATCTATTGGACTTTAACAGCCACAGTGAAAAATTTGTTGTCTAATTTTAGTATCAGAAAAATATTTGTATTTTTAATTGAGGAAACATATGCATTTAAATTCAGATTGTTGATGTTAATATATACCTACATGCTTTATTGCAGGGTAGCCTGAATGACCTGCCAAAGCGGGTGGGGGAGCACATCCTGCATCACCTGCTCAGTGTCATTGATAAAGAGAAGACACTGAAGGCTTTCAGGGACTGCTGGCCACCCTTTGACAAGAAGAGAGAGGCGCAGTTCTATAGGGGTGCTTTTGAGCTGTACAAGGGCCTTATGATGCAGGTACATTGACTTACATAATCCTGGCTGCAATAAGTACCTATGCCTGTTGTGTCTGGATCTTAATTTTGACCATAGCTTTAAGCCTGTTGTGTCTGGATGTTAAGCATGAATACCTAGTCAGTAATTTAACATTAGCATCAAATGTCTTCATTATGTCTGGTGTTAATCATGACCATAAGCAGCTAGTATCCCTGTTATGTATGGATGTTGAAATCTAGCATTTTTTATTTTGCCTCATTTGCTCGTATGCATTGAATAAAGTCTCTTAATGATATTAAAACTGAATACTAGTACTCTAGGTAGATAATAACACTACAACTAATTACATTAAGTAGATTTAAAATTAAAGTAATAGCAATAAAGAATAAGTTCATTTCAGAAGCTAAGTCAGGTTCTCTATGGAAGCTCATTTATCATTATACATTTATCATTAGTATTTTATTAGTATTATATTTATTTATTTGTATTACGTACTTGCACTACAATTGCTGTTGTTCTGCTAAGTACTATTCAAATCGTCTAGAATAGTGGCAAATACTATGTATGCATCTGACTGGTTTAACCCTTTTTATACAGACTGTAATTCTTGTAACCAATTTTTCTAATAGGAATATTGCCAATGGTTAGTGTATGCACTGACACAGTTAACAAGCCTACTGATGTCCCTCAGAGTGGAGGGGCCGGGACACGCCTGGTGGTGTCCCGCTCCGTGGTGGCCCCCGGCTCCCCCAGGTTCATGGATACCCTCCGTCAGCTGGTCAAGCTTGCACTGATAGCCTCTATGAAAAGTAAAGGTGTGTACATTTTTTCAATTATTGTACAGAAAAATATTGCTAGAATATCTCAATTGTTCCACTATAACTATCAAAATTATTCAGATTATTATTCCCACCCAAAGATATACCTACTGTACAAAATCTTCAGTTGTTAGATAATTTTTTAAGTGCAGGATAATAAGGCAACCATTGTATTTATTGATTTACTGGTATCAAAATGAAAGACTTTAAATTACCATGTGCTTGCCTGAGCATCAGCAGTTTGTGCTTGATATCTTTTGATGACTTATAGATAATTGTTTCAAGCGTGCATTAATTCTTCCACTAATTATTGAATATGTAGTTCATTACCACATTAATTAGTGTCAATAATTTAACAATTAATTAATAATAATAAAGTTATTATAGATTATATAATTAAATTAATAACTACTAGGTAATTATTATTATTATTAATTTGTCCATTTTATGGATGATGCAATTATTTCGACTTGTGCAAGGGACACTCATTGACTGCTATGTTGCAGGCGTCACTGCAGAGCTGCTGCAGCCTCCTGCAGCTGCGATGACCACTGAGCAGCGGCGTGCATTGCTTGCAGTGATCCATGTACACGCTGTGCAGCAGGTGCAGATCTTCTCTGCACAGCAGCGCAGTGCTGCACAGCAGATGCAGCGTCTTGCAGCTGCTGCCAGGTGACGCTTCACTCATAACATTAATGCCATGTTTATTAGCGCACTTACTCATTTATGGGAAAAATGCACTATTGTGCTCGTCATGTCCGTCTGTCCGTCCGTGACTTCACGTTTTCGTTGACGAGAAAATGCGCTCTTTGTCACTCACTGCAGTGGGTACTGAGTTATATTTTTTTATTATTTTTCCCACCAGGCATCTAACTCTTAATTAATGTTTTTTTTTAACAGAACCTACTATTTAATCAGTGTTGTTTAATTTACCTACAGGGTATCTCAAAATATTTTCTTGAACATTTGATTTTGTGTGTTTAACAATGATAATAATAATTTTTAATTAACAATAATAAATAATTTTTTGTGGGTTAAAGAAATTATTGGATTTAGGAATTAGTTTACTATAATAAGAATAAATTGACTGCAGAGAACGAGTGCAGCAATACCGCAGCTGCAGCACTCAGTGTGAGCAGCTGAAGCAGCAACTGCTTGCCTCCCCTGCACCTGGAGGAGTGTACCCCCCTCCCTCCGCAGGCGCTGAGCCCCCCACCTCTCTTCGTGCAGCTGAAGGTACTTGCTTCAAAGAACAATTAACTAGTTGTGCAGCTGAAGGTACTTGCTTCAAAGAACAATAAACTAGTTGTGCAGCTGAAGGTACTCGCTACAAAGAACAATAAACTAGTTGTGCAGCTGAAGGTACTTGCTTCAAAGAACAATAAACTAGTTGTGCAGCTGAAGGTACTCGCTTCAAAGAACAATAAACTAGTTGTGCAGATGAAGGTACTCGCTTCAAAGAACAATTAACTAGTTGTGCAGCTGAAGGTACTCGCTTCAAAGAACAATTAACTAGTTGTGCAGATGAAGGTACTCGCTTCAAAGAACAATAAACTAGTTGTGCAGCTGAAGGTACTCGCTTCAAAGAACAATAAACAATAAGCTAGTTTACTGCTACTTTAATGACCTGTAACTTTATGTAATATTTCAACGTTACTTGCTTTCTGCCTTGACTTGGAATTGATGCCATTAAAGTCAAGCTTAGAAATAGGGGCATTTTTGTTGACTGTGGTAACATTTATTATATACCCACTTAATGTGTAACTATATATATACTCGCATTGATACTCACAGATAATTTCACTGATATAGGTACTCACATAAATAATCTCACATAGACACATATTTGCCCACTGTTATTTACAGACCAAGAGCCACATTTATAATCGTATAGACACATGTATTGTATACCACTGACTGGCATTCCTCCAACTACATGGTGAAGATACACCAACACACACAGATATAAACATTGTGATGACCAGCATTGCAATGATGTCAACATTGAGTTAGTCAAAATTGCAATGATGTTTCCAATCAGAACCCACATACATACCTATTAATAATTTACATGCATTTAGCAAATTATAAATTTTTATAATTTATCTACTATATTTGACCCTCCAAAGCTCATTATAGCCCCACAAAAATTATTGTTTTCGCATAAAATATATACCTATTTATGTAAGTTGTTATTGCCAATTTTAGGGCTTGTAAAATTAATTGTTGATTTCAGAGACGGCAATGGAGCGAATGAACAGCGCCGCGGAGCGCGAGTGGCGACGTCTTGACGCCACCGCAGCCCGTGAGGCACTGAGCTGGCGGGTGCTTGAGAGCCTCGTGCAGGTCAGTGGGTGCCATAGTGATCATGCTTGATTTTTTTTTTTTTTGATAAATTTTTGTTTGATAATGACTCAATTTGCGTGGAGGTTATTAATCGGCAGATGACTTGCATGATTAATTGAGTTGTGACTCACGTAATTAATTGACTGATGACTTGCATGATTGAGTGGTGACTCACGTAGGTTAATTTATTGGCTGATGACTCGCTTATGGATGTACTCGTCAGGTGACGTCAGACGGCAGCCACATCGACGCTGGGAAGCTGACAGCAGCGCTGCCAGCACCCGCTGTCAGGACCCTGCTGGCTGCAGGCACTCAGGTAACACTGCTGTCCCTGCCTCAGCCTCTGTCCCTGCCTCAGCCTCTGTCACTGCCTCAGCCTCTGTCACTGCCTCAGCCTCTGTCACTGCCTCAGCCTCTGTTACTGCCTCAGCCTCTGTTACTGCCTCAGCCTCTGTCACTGCCTCAGCCTCTGTCACTGCCTCAGCCTCTGGTTACTGCCTCAGCCTCTGTCACTGCCTCAGCCTCTGATACTGCCTCAGCCTTTGTCACTGCCTCAGCCGCTGTCACTGCCTCAGCCTTTGTCACTACCCCAAAATCTGTCACTGCCTCAGCCTCTGTCACTGCCTCAGCCTCTGTCCCTGCCTCAGCCTTTGTCACTACCCCAAAATCTGTCACTGACCTGAAATAGACACAAGCACAGTTCTCTATTGTAATGAACCTTAGTTTTCTATTGGAATAATGGGGCAAGATTTAATAAATGTAATACAGAGGTGGGCTTCTTTCTTTAAATTAGCGCAAAAAGAGACGCCTAGTTCACGTTTTATTTATATAACTAACGCCCTCGTCTCCTGCAGGTGCCACAGCTGTACGGGGGGGTGGATGGTCGTGAGCTGCAGCTGCCAGCGCTGCTGCATACAGCTGCTCTGTCTCTGCGCACTCTGCACGCTGCACTGCAGCACTCTGCACAGCATCTCACTGCACAACAACACCCTGCGCAGCAGGGCACCGCATCAGGTCACTTTCAGCAATCTTCTTATCTTTCTTTTCACAGCAACGACAGTTTTCATTCTGGATCATTATTCATCTCTCATTCAACTTCATCACGTGAACGGTGATGATTGGCGCCAGCTCATTAATTTAATGTGTTGTGTAGACAGGCCACACTTTAGGTGCTGTATTACCTACCATGTGTTATCTCATTAACTGTGTTTTAATTTTGCAATGATGTATTTATGTCTTGATGAATTTCGCATTCCTGAGCATGTGGTACCTCAGTTATGACGCGTGTTGAGCACCTCGAGACCCTTCACAGGCATGACTGGATCCTATGAGTTTTTTTTTTTCACTAATTTGCTTCTACTTTGCTCCACTCGTAAATAAAATTACAATCTGAATAGGTATTTCCGCGCTTATACACAGTGCTTTAGCTTACCAGCAATATAGCTGATATTGTACATAGCGCTATTACTTGTATACACTGATAAAGCTGCTATTGTATATAGCGCTAGGTTTTACCGTACTGATGTTATAATGGTGTTTTTATATATTGATTGTGTGTTAGTGGTGTATTGATGTCGAAATGATGTAGTATTATTGTGTAATAATGTCTTAACACTGCGACATTTTTGCAGACTGCAGTGACAGTGCCAGTGACAAGAGCCTTACAGAGCAGAAAGCTGTGAGTCTGTCAGCGTGTGTGGCAGAGCTAACACAAGAGGTAGAGCTTTGCGCTGACCGACTTCAACATCAGAACCTGCAGCTGCTGCAGCGTCAGAACCTGCAGCAGATGCACGGCAAGCACCTGTCCCAGACCAACGTCTCCGCCCTGCCAGAGGGGAGCTGTGGGCCCCGCCTCTCCCCACTGCCCCTGAAGGGGATGAGTGGGGGTGATCCACTCCCTTCACTCCCCCTGCTCACGGCCTCCCCAGGTGCTGAAATCAGGACTTGATAATTGTACTGCATTGTAGAGTACCTGTACTGCACTAAATGCAGAGCAATGTGACCATTGTACTGCATTGTACACTACCTTAACAGCATTGTAGAGTACCTGTACTGCACTAAATGCAGAGCAATGTGACCATTGTACTGCATTGTACACTACCTTAACAGCATTGTAGAGTACCTGTACTGCACTAAATGCAGAGCAATGTGACCATTGTACTGCATTGTACACTACCTTAACAGCATTGTAGAGTACCTGTACTGCACTAAATGCAGAGCAATGTTCTACACTAATTCAGTAAAATGTACTGCACTAAATGCAGTAGATTGTACAGCACTAAATGCATTAAAATGTACTGTACTTGCACTGAACGGCAGTGCAAGTGCAAAACTATTTTATTTCGTACACTCTACAAATTTTTATTTTATGAACTAATAGCAAATTGTACACGCTGCCGTACTGACTTTGTACCCATACTCTAACGAGTTGTAGTGGCAGTAACTGCTGTAGTGGCTGTAACTGCTGTAGTGGCAGTAACTGCTGTACCGGCAGTAACTGCTGTAGTGGCAGTAACTGCTGTAGTGGCAGTAACTGTAGTAGTGACAGTAACTGCGCCTGTATAACCCAGTGAAAATTTACAGACGCGGCAGCTTCTGATTTGTATTACCAGAAGCTGGGGAGACTCCAAATTTTATTAGGGAAAGTCTTCGTCTGCCCGCAGATTCGCTGCAGTTGCTGACACGACGCGTTGCCCTGGAGCGGTGCCCTCTGACGGAGGTGGTGCTGCAGACGCCTTCTGTGACCTCAGCGCAACCCTGCACCCCTGCAGCTGTGGAGGACAGTTCGCCTGTAAGCCCCTGACACCCCACACCCCTGCGGCAGTAGTGAACAGTTTGCCTGTAAGCCCCTGACACCCCACACCCCTGCAGCAGTAGTGAATAGTTCGCCTGTAAGCTCCAGACACCCCGCACCCCTGCGGCAGTAGTAAACAGTTTGCCTGTAAGCCCCAGACACCCCACACCCCTGCGGCAGTAGTGAACAGTTTGCCTGTAAGCCCCTAGACACCCCGCACCCCTGCGACAGTAGTGTACAGTTTGCCAGTAAGCCCCTAGATACATCGCACCCCTGCGGCAGTAGTAAACAGTTCGCTTGTAAACCCCAGACACCCCACACCCCTGCGGCAGTAGTGAACAGTTTGCCTGTAAGCCCCAGACACCCCACACCCCTGCGGCAGTAGTGAACAGTTCGCCTGTAAGCCCCAGACACCCCACACCCCTGCGGCAGTAGTGAACTTGACTCATGATGGCGTCCCGAACCCTGACTCATGATGGCGTCCCGAAACCTGACTCATGATGGCGTCCCGAACCCTGACTCATGATGGCGTCCCGAACCCTGACTCATGATGGCGTCCCGAACCCTGACTCATGATGGCGTCCCGAACCCTGACTCGTGATGGCGTCCCGAACCCTGACTCATGATGGCGTCCCAAACCCTGACTCATCACGACGTCCCGAACCCTGACTCATCACGCGCTAACTCTTTAATGAAATCCATATCCTGTTATGCTTTTTAATATAATAATAATTATTGTAATGATATTCAATATATTGATTTTAAATTGTTCTTAATCTTAAGGCGTGAATAAGAAGTTGTGTTGTGCAGGCAAGCGTGGCGGTGGGGCGTCGCGCTCCTGCAGTAAATCCTTCACAGGCAAAGAGAACAGGAGTCGTGGGGGTGGGGGGCACCCGCTCCCCTGCCGCACCCCCCTAGTGCCCCGTACGGGGAGCAACATCAGGCTCCCTGCAACTGAAGGTTTGTCGCATTAGTTATGGACGACTTATCACTAACCAGTATAGTGGTTAGTGATAAGTCGTCTCCTATACTTGTGAGTATATGAGAGCGAGTAAGTAGGTTTGTGAGTAGAGCAGCAGGACCATGTAAAACATCTCCTGCATGTGTCGGTTCTTGTACATGTCTCATCTGTAGCCTTCTTTGCCCCCTGTTGCTGTTCACCTGTTTCTTCTTCAGTCCCGTTAGGCAACGCATTTTGTCTTATTGTGGTTGATTTTTTTTATTAGAGATAACGTACCTAAGCTAGATCACTACTGCATGCATGATGCACGAGTGTTCAGCTCTTTCTTAACAACACGAAGTAGGTAAATGTCACTAACCTCACCTACCGCCATGATGTCACTAGTCACTCCTACCGCCATGATATCACTAGTCACTCCTACCGCCATGATGTCACTAGTCACTCCTACCGCCATGATATCACTAGCCACTCCTACCGCCATGTCACTAGCCACTCCTACCGCCATGATGTCACTAGCCACTCCTACCGCCACCATTTGACTAGCCACTCTTTCCGTCTTGATGCCACTGGGATTTCGTTATTGTATTGTCCACCTTGAAAAGTTTTAACGTGAGGCTCTTATTGCAGGCAAAGCGACAAAGCAGACGTCGGTGGTTAGAAGCTCGACTCAGTCTCGCAGTACCTTCTTGCGAGACGCACCTGTTGGGGGCGCTGGGACCTTCTCACGAAACTCGACTTCTGGGAGCGCTGGGACTTTCTCAAGAGACTCACCTACTAAGGACGCTGGCAGGAGTGTCAGTCGAACTATACGTGACTACGAGACGAGAGCCAATGCCTCATGCCGCCTCTTCTCGAATGTGCAAAAGAAAACCCAGGTAACCTTTGGTCCACCTGGGGTCTAGTTCTTTTTTGATGATACTATAGCACTCGGTCCTACCCACGTTTCTAGGAAGGGACAATAGCAAACCCGGTCTTCAGATAACCCGGTCCTCCCCACCTGTCTACCTGTGGGGGACACTGGTAGGAAATCACCGTATGTGATGGTCTCATGTGTGCAGGGGGTTCGCACCGGAGGCCTGACGGTGGAGGAGGACGGCCATATATCTTCCAGCCAAAAGGGCGTTACTCTATCGCACCAGCGGCATGGTTCGTGGTATTAAATTAGTCTTTTAGGGGACTTTAGGGGTCTTTTAGAGGGCTTGTAGGGATGTCAAAGAGCTTGTACGGGTCTTTCAGCGGGCTTATTGGGATCTTTCAGGGCTTGTTGAGGTCTTTCAAGGAAATTGTAGGGTTTTTCAGAGGGTTGGTAGAGGCTTTCCGGCATCATGTTGGTGTAGCTTTCCTACCTTCAGACTCCGGTGGGGCTCATATGTTAGTGTGTCATTTGTACCCTGAATTGTTGATGTGACCTTTGTGCCCTCAGATGTTGGTGTGACCTTTGTGCCCTCAATTGTTGATGTGACTTTTGTGCCTTCAGATGTTGATGTGACTTTTGTGCCCTCAGATGTTTGTGTGACTTTTGTGCCCTCAGATGTTTGTGTTCTGCCATCCCTGACGCCAGCCCGAGATCCAGCAACCCCTAGAGAGGACCCCCTCTTAGCCACCCCTCGACGGGGGATCACTACTCCTGACGGCCCCAACGATGATACCGTCTTTGATCTCCTCCCCCTCTCTCCTTTCGAAGACGTGGTGGGGACCAGGATGAGGGAGAGTCGAGGGTTTCCTTCTCTCCTCACAGCGTCCGAGAATTTGCAGGATCTTAATTCTTCTTCAGGAGACCACGGACAGACCCGTAAGGTTGTGGACCCACATTGTGGAACGGAGATTCAAGAACCTGGACATTCTGCCGTTGATCAGAATTCTATTGTTCATCAGAACTCTACGATTGATCAGAATTCTACCATTAGAAAAAGGTTCCCCAAAGCTGGGGATTGTTCTGACCGGGGCAAGTTTGTTGCAAAGGGCCCGGCTAGCACGGACTTTGTGTCCTCTGTTAGTCCCCACCTCCTGCTGGGGAGCAGTGAAGGAGATGATTTGTGGGACTCTGCTGCAGGCGCGTCTGGTGAGTTGAGGTTTAACGAGGACGTGGAGAAGCTGATGGAAAAAATGAATTTTTTAACAAGGAGTCCTGATGTGGAGGCTCTCCCCCAGCACTTCGTGTCTAAGTACAGGCTGGGGCGTGGGGAACCAGCTGCCGAACTGCGGTGTTGGGAACCAGCTGATGAGTCTGCTACTCTCAGGGATCTTGAGAAAGCCGTTGAGGAGAAGGGAACCTACGTGACTTCTTATCTTCCCTCCATTGCCCCGTGTAAAGAGATTGATTTGTTATCATCAGTGAGTTTGAATGAAAATAATAATAAAGTTGCATATGACAACCAAAAAGTTGAATTGAATGAAGGGCCAAGATCTCGCTCATTTGCTTATGATGAAACCAATGACCTCCAAGACATCAGCGCTGAGTTGGCTAAAATATCGGCTGGTGTTTGGTCTTCCAGCACAACGCAGAGGAAAGTCTTTGGTTTAGAGACTTGCTACGAGGAGGTCGTCCCCAGCAGGAAAACCGTCCGTCGTAGCGGGGAGCTCAGCAGCGTCCTGCCCAGTATCAAGGAGGCGATATTCGAGAAAACTGACCCAGAAAACCTGGACGATTTCCTGACGCAGTTCAGGGAGAAGTTCTTGGATCTAGACATGGACTCGCGTGCTGCTGAAGAGGACGTAAAGAACAAGACTCAAGCACAGGATTGCGCTACTGACGAAAGAGTGGAGGAGGTGGGTCTAACTTGCTGCTGATGGAAGAGTGGAGGAGGTGGGTCTAACTTGCTGCTGATGGAAGAGTGGAGAAGGTGGGTCTAACTTGCTGCTGACAGTGGAGGAGGTGGGTATAACTTGCTGCTGACAGTGGAGGAGGTGGGTATAACTTGCTGCTGACAGTGGAGGAGGTGGGTATAACTTGCTGCTGACAGAGTGGAGGAGGTGGGTCTAACACGCTGCTGACAGTGGAGGAGGTGGGTCTAACGCGCTGCTGACAGAGTGGAAGTGGTGGGTCTAACGCGCTGCTGACGGAGTGGAGGAGGTGGGTCTAAATGTGCTGCTGATAGAGGAGTGGAGAACTTGTAAGAGAGTACACACCACAAAGCACTTGGCTGTTCATCCAAAACATTATAATTTTGAGCGGTATGACCAAAAAGAAAACATTTTTTTAGAAGATCCAAATATTGGGTTACCTAAAACTCCAAACCTTTTTTTTTATTTTGCTCAAATATCGAGGCCATCCGATTTACCGATTCGTCTTTGCTTTATATGCATCCTTACCGAGCATGCTACATTCTATAAGGATATATCTCTGGGATCTAAATATTCGCCTTAAGTTTCCAATGTGTTTGTGCACTCGTTGGAGATCCATTTTCTCGATAGGATACCAGGACTCATTCTATTAACGAGATACAGAGACGATATTCTGATCGTAAGTGAATCAAGTAAACTTGAATTCAATCCATAAGTCCTAGAGGAATGAGTGAAACTCAAGTCAATGAAATTTAGAAAATTTCGGGGAAAATTCCTCAAAATAGAAGACATGACTATACACTTATGTACTTAACAAATAAACGGGAAAGTTTCCTTATTGATTACATCACAATATCTAATTTTAAAACATTCATTTATATCTATTTACTATTTTATCACCGTATCAGTCATCGCTATTTTATGTTATTATATCACTTCAACATATATCACGCTATTACATCATTTTACATCGCTATTGTATTCATTTTCGATATAATGTTAGGCCTTGTTTATGTTTTATGTCTGTCTTAGAATTTTGATATGATAATATTATTTTATTCATTTTTAGTTTTTCGAACTGATGATGGAGCTGGACTCCGAAACGTTTTTAATATCAATATGGTGAATTTTCTTGGCGTTTTCTTTGCTTTTAAATTCCTTGTGAACTTGCGTTATAAGCAGACTCGTAATATAAGTACTTATATACATCATTTTGTCATGTGTCGCATCAGCTCCTCCATTCAGGACTTGCATTCATTTATTTCCATTACTACGTATTTTATCACCGTATCAGTCATCGCTCTTTTATGTTATTATATCACTTCAACATTGTTATCTTATTATATCCCTTTACTATAACACTATTACATCATTTTATGATGTGTCGCATCAGCTCCCCCATTCAGGACTTCTCATCCTCTGCTGCAGGAGTCGTGGGCGCTGGAGTTCCCAGACGACGAGTTTCTGGACGGCTCCCTGGCGGCGAGTCTCCTACAGGAGGCCGAGGACCTTGACGATGGGGCGCCCTCCGTGCCCCTTGGCCTCCTGCCCCTGGACTCTGTCTTCAGCAGCGTCACGGACTCCATCGTGTGTGGCGAGACTGACGTCAGCGCCCTACGTCAGCCTGCCGTGGGGCTCCAGGTGGCCAGGGGTGAGTGGGTGATGTGCAGGTGGCCAGGGGTGAGTGGGTGACGTCAGCCCGGCGTGGGGCTGCAGGTGGCCAGGGGTGAGTGGGTGACGTCAGCCCGGCGTGGGTCTTAACCCCCATCACCCCCTGGTCCTCCCCCAAACTGAAGAATGCAGGTCTCTCCAGCCATGAGATGAAGGCTCCCAAAAGACGAGTTATTATCACGTTAGCAGCTTCTTCAAAAAACGTCTAAACTTTCTAAATATATAATTGATATATATTCATGTGCTAAAATAAAGTGTCGGTTACTTGATGGATTTTAATCCCTTCGTGCTGTTAATCGAGTTAACGGATCATTTGTTTCGCAGTAAAAATTTCACAGAGGTATCAATTTTGAAAACAAGGATAATACAGGAGAATGCAACTTACTAAAGAGATTGCCCATAGTGATGAAAATTCTATCAAGTTCGAACTAAGCTTTGCTGAGATCTAGCAATGATAAATTCTAAATAAGACATCGGTTAAAATCTAAGTTAAACAATTCAAACTTAGTTAATTCGTGTGAGGATCTTTGTAATATCGGCATGACAATGTGAAATCTGGCATAAATAAGTAAAAGTACAAGCAAATCCGGCATCAGTTGTAAAACGTAAATACGAATTAGCCCCGAAAGAGCATCGAACTATCCAAGGAACTATCGGTGTCACAAGGAAGCGTTCTCGGGCCTGTTTTATTCGTTGCGTTTATAAACGATCCGCCAGAAGCTGTCTAGTGTGTGTTCGATGTACGCTGACGACACAGAAGTTTAAAATACAGTGAAGAATATGTCGCAAAAATTATGGTTGCAAGGTGATCTTGACAGGTTGCTTGACTGGGCTGATTAATAGCAGCTGCGTTTTAACGCTGACAAATGTAAAGTAATCCACCTTGGCAAGATTAGAATAATGAACAGCAAGATTACAGTTTGCGAAGACAAGGTTGCAACGACAGAGTGATGATGTCGAAGTCGACAATGGAAAAAGACTTAGGAGTTATAACATAGTGATGTCGGCGCTGAAGTGTAGGCCTGATGTGACCTTATTATCGACAATGAGCTGAAATTTTCTAAGCGTATTGAAGCTCAAGGTATTAAAGCCAATAAACGACTTGGACTGATCAGACGCTCATACGAGTACTTAGAGCGATGAAACTGTTGTTTGTCGCTGTCGTGCGTCCGAATCTAGAGTTTGGAAACACCTTGTGTTTACCAAAACTAGAAAAGGACAAAAATTTAGTCGAGAGTGTTCAAAGACGTGCAACAAGGATAATTCCGGGATTAAAGGCAAGCCAAATGAAGAAAGGTTAATATTATGAAGCTTCCAAGCCTCTGGGATCGACGTCTGCGTGGTGACCTCATTGAAGTTTACAAGTATACGGTTATACCCACAGTTTATACAAGGTTCCAGAAATATTACTAGAATTTGAAACAAGAACCAACACCAGGGGCCACGGCTATAAACTAAAAAAAACAGCGTTGGAACACATCCATGCGACAACATTTTTTCTCGCTTCGAGTCACCGACATGCGGAACAGCCTCCCTGATAGCATCGTTGACGCTCCGAGTATGAACGCCTTCAAGAACAGACCAGACGAAGCTATGTAGGGGCATGCGTTCAGTCTTGAAATGCCTAGCACCTTACGAGCCTCGCAATAAATCCAGCAGCTATCTCAATCAATCGTCAGCTATGGAAAGATCGGGTTCAAAAGGCCGGATCCCTAGCGGAGTCAAGTCACGCTAAGTTCAAGAATCTGTAACAGGCCATGGGCCTATTTCTTCAGTGCCAAAACTTCTATTCTAAGAGAAGCTCACAGGTACCATTCACACGTTTTAACCCCCATAACCAGACTTCGCTAGACCTCTTCGATTTGCGACGCGACATAAATTGCGCCATATATTCGGTTGAAGTATTTACATTTCCGACCTCACCTCATTTCCCACCTACCTGAGTATCCTTTCCATCGAATGTTGTATTAACGTCACTTTTTTCCGCACTGTGATATATTTGCATAAAGCCTGTACTAACCACAATGCCTCATAAAATAATTTTTGATAATATGAAAATAAATTTTGTCGATTATAATTTAATTTTTATACACATAAGTAGTTTTCAGTTTCAAGTCAGTGGTAAGTGCAATAGGTTTCTTTGTCCAAATGCTCCTCGGTTCTTGGAAACAATGAACGCTGAATCAATCGGAGACCATTCTGGGTGAAAGACTTGTTTGGTCATTAAAATTGCTCGTTTTCGCCACCCTTCTTCCGTAGAGTGGTTGAAGATCTCATCGCATACCTGGACAGGTACTTTCAAACATTGAGAAATGGACGTAACTTATTGAACTTAAAATTGCGATAGAGAACCGCGAGCCCTCAGGCAGGCTTGGCTGGATCCCTATAAGAATCTATCACTACGTAAAGTCGTTATAACTCCTCTCGTAAATGAACTATCAATCTAAAAATTTTCATGCTTATTCAGCTATTTATTTACAATTTCCCGACAGTTGCAAAATATATGTAAATTTTGCATAACATCAGTTACGATAGAGTAAAATGTTGCACATCGATTTTCATAATACATGCGAGTGATGTGACTTTCCTAAATTTTTGAGACATGAGGAAGTAGTACTATTTATTCTATAGTGATCGGTATTAAAGTCATATTTGAATCACCCTCTATTTTGTAGAAATTTCCTAACAAAATAATTTTTCGTCACTCCTGAATCGTAGATTTCCCATTTTATTTGGAAGCTGGCCTCGAGCATGTTAAATTTGTCGTACCGTTCCTTGACGGTCATAAATCAGCTCGAGTGAAGTGGCATAGTCCTGGTCTACCCTCTCCCTTGGGGATAGAGTGACAGCCTCCATACTCTCCTGCCTGGTTGGTGTTAAAGGATTAGCACGTTTACATTACAGCCTTCCATTGTTAGTTCCTGTGCGAGAACACTGGCGCCTTTATTGATCAAGCGATGTGTTCGACGACAGGAAATTATTTCTGCAAAAAGCAAGATGAGACACTTCATGATAATTTCGCTGTCGTTACGCGTAAACTATTGGTCTTAATTACAGTCTCTGTAGTCCTGTTTTTCAACATAATGTTAGGTCTGGTTTAGGTTTTTATGTCTGTCATGCAATTTTGACTTATAAATGATTTTATTCATTTTTAGATTGTTAAACAAACTGATGATAGAGCTGGACGTTTTCAATATCGATATGATGAATTTGATTGGCGTTTTCTTTGCTGTTAAATCTCGTGTTAACTTGCGATATAAGCAGGCTGAAAATAGAATTACTTATATACGATCTAGCGACAATGTCTTTCGTGAAAAAATTTATACTATCTAAATTAAATATCATCGACATAATTTCGGCATCGAATATGATGCATTTATATGCTGGGGATGAAAATATAACAGTCGAAAACAGTCTATTTGGCTTGAAGCAGCGGCTCACATTACCAAAAGGGAAAAAATTTACATTGCTCACTCGGTTCTTTCATGTACTCCCGACGGGACTTCCAATTTAATTTCTAACAAAATTTGCATTAATTTAGTAAAGCCTAAATTAATTCTTGATTATTCGAGCACACGCAGTTGTTTCGTAGCTTAACATTCTGTCTTTCTTGAGTAATGACTTAAAAGAACAATCCTCCCTGCACCCGACCCGGTCACCCGTGTAAGTGTAACAGCAAGCAGTCCAATTTTAAACAATCTCGGAGAAAGTGCACGAGGTGACCGTCATCTCTCCAATCTGATCGTCTACACCTTCATTCAATCGTTTCAATATGTTTTCATTTATTCAAAAATTAACGCTGAGAGGCACTAGGAAATTGTTAGGCTATCGGTGACAGGTGGCAGCTAACATTTGGGAGCTGAAGAGGCCACGGCGGTCCACGCTGGTAGAATTAGTGATACATTGGGTTAACTCTTAAGGCGCTTCAAGAACTTCATGCTGACGGGACGTTCCTCGTGTTTAAGTATAAAGTACCGCCGGTAATGTGGCGTAAATTATCTGAAGAGTTAGAAACTGCTGCTACTACCACTAATATAGCGTCAAGGGGTGGGGGAACAGCTGTCAACGTCACTGATTACTAACCGGCACCACCTTTCATGGGGTTAAGCTGAGGTAAAAGTAATGCGCACTGCTCGTAGAAGCTTTTACATAATGCCGGATTCCACCATTGTATGGTATAACTACCACTTGTGCCGGATAAAAACTAAATGAAAAGCTGCAGTCCGTATTATTTAGAGAACTCTTTCTATTTGGCGTCTACTAGTCTCCGACACTACCTAGGCCGGGTTGCCCGCCGAAGACCACCACTGCCCTGGATGTAATGGACCATCATGATTCCTGCCTTCCGGAACGTAGCCTTCAAAACATCAGGACAATCATATCCAGGCCGTGCGTCGAACCAGTCCTCGGTCGAACGGCCACTCGTCGAAGGACGATAAATTTTGGAACAGAACTATGCTATCTGAAACCTAACCTAAGATGCAGTGAACGTAAAATTACGTTATGTAACGATGCCCGGAAGTCATATATTCGATTCACAATCTGTGCGTTCACGGCAGGTTTTATGCAAGGCCGGAGGAGGACGAAGGCGAGTGGTTCACTGCTGATTGGTGGATCTAGCATGACGCGTGGGCTAAATCGAGAAGCCAGAATCCTGCACTGTCTAGTCCTTTGCCTTTCTGCCTCAGCCACCTCCAGGTTTGCTACCTTCTCGGTCGGTGAACCTAGCTTACATATTTCTTCAAATATTAATTGACCTAATCGAGAAGCCATTATACCGAAGGCGTTATTTTCGATATCCATTCTATATATTCCGAGTACAGGTAGTACTAATAGCTATATACTGACTAAAGATTACGTAAAATCTTCACTATAACTTGAGATATGAACAAAACTGTAATTTATCCATGCATTACTTTAGCGTGTCACTGCAAGTAGATGAGTTCATTCTTAATTGATCAGATCACTGATCAGCTTCAGCGGCAGTTATCATCTAACCTTCAGGGTGGGAGGTGTACGACTTTCAGGTGCCCCGCGAAGCTGTAGGATGGGACTGGACAAATGAAAAGTGATCGTTCATGTAGTATGTATTTTTGCGTTGTATCGTTTGAATGCTGCGGTTCTGTATATAACGTATGTAGATCTCTCGATTTTTCTATCAATTGCGGTCTAACAATAAAGTTCTACTTATGCGCTAGTAAGGAGATCGACATTGAAATGACAAGATCGTTCTTCGAACATTCTGAGTGCGCTGTGCAGCTGCGGCCGACCGGTGGTCATAACTTCTTGGACGTAGCCTTGCGCGGGATTGTTTACGCAATGCATCCGTATGAAGATAGTCTACTTAGCATTTAGCAATACTAACATAAGTTACGCAACACGTCTTGAGTCACCATGGGTACCTAGGGGCTGTTTTGATAATCCGGCCCCTGGGCAGTATGTGCGTGCTACAGATTCAGGAGTACGAGCTATCGAGTGTTGTGCACAGGGATCTAACTTGGGACGCTAACCAACATTTCTTTCTTGGCAACTTCTTACGTTAATTTCTGGCGTTAATGGGACTTTGATGTTACTTGTTTTAGTTGTTTAGAAAGATTCCACCCCCTTAGAGAGGGCGGTATTTCGCAAGAAGTGGCAGGATAGAATCAGGCGGAAAGGCAAGGAAAATCAGGTCAATCTCTTCCAAGCTGCCAAGACAACACCGGCTGCTCAAGGACAGTCAGAGGAG